ATAAAGAGAGAGAGATGAATACTGGATGGGGCAATGTTAGCTCTTATTGAAGCTGGCCAGGTATGAATCTGTATAATATTATATAAGTAATATTATATATAATAGTTTAGGTAAATTTATATATAATCATAGGAAAAGAATAAAAAAATCCAAGCTACTATATTATATAGGTCAAAAGATGAACCCAACAGAGCCTTTGCATGGTGCATGCAAGAAGTGGATAATTAATCACTGGTGGAAAACTGGAGATTTTTCCGACAACAGGTGAATTTTCCAAAAGAGAACTTTTTGCTATAGTGGAGTGATGTATAGATTTTTTTATATATTATTGATTATGTGTGTGTTTATTAGAATTTTTTTGGCTAGGAAAATTCATTGGGTTTTTTAACAAGAATTGTATGAAATTGAGTTTCTCCAATTATAGGAATAATCTTTTCCTAATTTGGGCTCTTGGTGGACATATCTCAACCATGTCTTGTTTATCTCTTAAATTGAATGTCTCGTGCAAACAACCCATGTTACAAAAATGGAATTCATATAAGAAGAATGTTATCTTTTTTCCTCATGAAAAAAAATAATTTGTTTACTTTTTTTGAGCATTGGAGGAGGGAGATTTATACTTAAATCTATTGTCGGATCATTTATAAATCACTTGGTGTGCAAAGTAATTTGCACTATGCATTAAGTGGTAGTATGGAACTTTGGATTTCTAAAGAATGTAAATATTCAAGGATTTATTATATGCATCTGCTGGTTTGTAAACTATTAATATGTTTGAATTTGATAAAATGTAGAAGATCCGATGTAAATTCAAAAACAGCAACTCTTTGATCATTTTTTGAATGTAGATTTGTGCCTTTATCACTGCTTTTATTCTTTTCTTGCTAAGTCACCCCCACGCTGTAAAAACCTATTAAACAGATATGAATGCAAACAATATGGATTTAATATAACAGATGAATTTTGAGAAACTGGCAAAAAATACTTCGTAAAAAAAAGAGAAAAAGCAAAAAAAAAAAAAAAAAAAAAAAAAAAAAGAGAGAGAAGTCATTGTTCAATGAACATCATAGTGAGAAATTTAAAAGAGAGAAAAACATAACTTTTTCCTTTCTTTCTTAAAAAAAAAAAAAAAAAAAAAAAAAAAAAAAAAAAAAAAAAAAAAGAAGAGAGAAGTCATTGTTCAATGACATCAGTGAGAAATTTAAAGAGAGAAAAATAACTTTTTCCTTTTCTTCTTACTGTTTTATCTTCCACTGAGGCATAAATTTTTCCAAAAATAGTAATGGAAAAAAAAAAAAAAAAATCAGGCAGAAAGTATCTACTTCTATAATAAATATAGGAAAGACACAACAGGATTTGCAGCAAACTGCCACTACTAACTGCTTTCATCCATGAGATCATTTCGACCACAAGATTGAGATGTTAAATCCTCGTCATCTTGTCATGATTCCTTAGAAACTCTGGAAACCGAAGCTTCAAGCGCCTCTAGAAAGCACGCAACAGCGAACTTGTCTGCAATATCACAGAAAGAAAATAACAGTTACTCATGGCGTCTTTCACTCATGAACTAAAAAAGGTTAATGACAAATAAATCCAAAACTTCAATTAAGTTGTGTAGTATAATAAAATTAATTTTCTGTCAATTACGTAAGGTAACTTTAATTTTTTTTGTCAGTACATTTTGCAAGAGCACATAGGAGGAATTTGCACAATGGATATGACAGGTATAAGCAGTGCAAAAAGAGTATTAGTGCAATAAGCAGTGGAAGGTTTTAACCTCTAGCATAGAATACACTTCATGGGATAATGCAGCTTTGGGGATCGAATTCGGTATACCCTACATCAACAAGACAAAGCCCATCTGGGGGTGCCGGAGGAGCACTGGCACGTCTACATGAAGCATCCATCAGCTTTAGCAGTGCATCATCTTCTGCACCTGCAGCCGCTTCCCTTATTGATGTTGCCACAAGAACTCGGACCATCTGTCACAAAAAAATCACCCAAAATGACGACAGCAAATACAAAAACCCCAAAACAGTAGACAATGGCAGTTGCTATGATCAATTGAGAGAAAAAGTGACTATGAAGAAGCATAAAAAATTTGTCATCAATTTTTAACTAAAAAATATAGAAGGCTGCTCCCCATACACATTAACTGCACAAAAATTCCAAAATCATTCCATCAGAAATGCTAACAGTGAACTGTTCCACATGTAAAGTTCACTTCCAATTTGCCAAATAGAAATCTTCTGATGTCATGAGAGAATACATTCATGCTGATATACTTTACAATATATAAGTCAAGTAAAAGACCTTGCGTAGAAACCGATTAGCAACCAGCTCAATACAAATAACTTTTCTTCCTTGCCCGTGATCCTACAGGAATAGCAGTGCTATTAGTAACAGCGGCAGATTGCAATCATATAGGTAAATACACCATTTCTGATAAATCAAGCTAACTTTGATCGCCTCAATAGAGGATGGGATTACTCTGTTAAAAGTTGATTTTGAAATGGAAAAGCCAAAATCAAACAGAAAACAACAAATTTATAAATGTAAAAACCAAAATGATCTGATTAGTTCAAGTTAACCTAGTTTTTGTTTCAACTTGCTGTTTGCAGGAACTTACTATAAGGCAAAAAAAAGTGTAGACCTTTTCCCATGGTTATTTTACTTTACCATGCAAACCAAAACATTAGACAAAGAATCAGACTCCTTGTATTCTCTATACTGAAAAACTTCTGTACTCTGTCTCATATCGAGAGATTAATTTGTTAGTGCTTTTATTTTCTATTTTGGATGATTTCAGTCTCTATGAGTAGGGGCTGCAAAATATGCTATTTTTTCCTCAGGTGCTTTTACTATAGGAGTTTGTTTCATTGTTTAGATTTAACAAATTTCTTCTGTTGCTGATAAAGACACATCATACTTATAAGGCATCACAAAGAAGCATAATCCACGGCAATTGAAGATACAGTCCACAGAAAGCCATAGATAACTAAAAGAACATACAAGGACCATACATGGACGCAGATAAATGCATGCCAAAAAGTACCACATGCATATTGGACTCCAAAGGACAACTTCAAGTCAAACCATGTAAATTGTACAACAGGAAAAACAAGAATACGAATTTTCAAGGACAGAAAGATTTACAGAACATGGTAATCTCATTTCCGTTGCCCGAGCATGATAAATGAAGCACTCTGTTGGTGGACCTCTGAAACAGAAAGATAGATACCACTGGCTATCAAATTGAAGGATCGCAAACATTGAAAGAAAGCAAATTTCAGCAGTTGTTACAGGCCAAATCAGTGAAATGCAAATGTCCAAAGCAACCCAGAGTGTTGAAATGAACTGGTGAAACATTTCATCAATAAACGAATATCAGGTTAAATTGGTTGAAAATTATATTGTTCCAAGATAAATAAGCGACTTAATACCACAACAACCTCCCACTTTACCTGCTGTTGGTTTTTAATGAAATATAGGTAGGATGGGGACACAGAGAAAAACAAATAAAAGCTTAGACCCCACAAGCAACATAACAAATTCAGTAAAGTAGCATATACATTCAGTTCTTGAGTCAAATTATAAGGAGCCAGAGTAAATACAAAGTAGTGGATTTGGAGCACTTTCTGCCATAAAAGAACAAGGGGTGTAACTGCATAGTTGCCAATTCATGACAATATGACAGTGTTAGATAATGTAAAAATTATATTCTTTTGCCATGTACAATTAAGAGGAACAACTGCACAAGTACTAGGTAGGTTATTGGAGTCATTACACAAGTGAAATTACATTTGAAACTATGGAGCAAAACATACAACTCCAAATTGAGAGGACAGGTTAACATTTCTTTAAACAACTTTTATTGGTAGTTGCTGACGATTCTTGAGAATTCTGACAATGCATACGATGGTGTATATTCTGCACTTACGAGTTCATAGACATGCAAGAAATTTTTACTACATAATTTTGTAGACCGAACATAGATTTAAGGATTTCTTTTTAAAGATGATATCTAACAATATTTTAAGATGAATATACATGAAGCTAATATTAAATGCTATTGACAGAAAATTTTGACTGAATTTAATCCAAACAGCACAACTACTGATAAATGCTATAGCAATGCAAGCAGAGAAAATGCCTGCTTCCAGTAAATACTTACTCATTTCTTGAAGCTTTTGTGTCTCGTGCAAATATTTTGTAGGACAGTAACTTTCCTTCTAGCTGTTGTAAAAGCTGGTTAACCCTGCATACACTGAATGTCCTAGGTTTTATTGTACCTTCAGGCTCATCCTTGTCAATAATAAATGATTCATCAAGTTTCTCCTTACTGGTGAGTTCACCACTCCCAGGTCTTTGCTCATCATATTTGTCATGAGAACTAAAATTTTCAACATCCTCCCCATTTTCTCCATCATTTAGTGGAAAGATATATAGATACCGTCTCCATTTGGCAGAAAAATTAGGATGGAAAGCACGTGAAACCTATAACAAGTTCGTATCTCATTAGCATGCAAAATTGGCCATTCACTAAACCCAGTTTTCTAAAGTTATCAACAAAATCTGGCATTCAAAAGTTTGAAGCACTTGATACCTCAGAAACAGATACAACTCTAAGTTTTCCGGGCGCTGAACTGTTGATGGCATCTTCTATTTCGTGAGGTCTAACATCCTTTCTCCATGTATCTGGACATATGATAAAATTAAATCCAACCAATAAAGTATCCAAGTGACGGTAAAACCTACATAAATCCCCTTAAAAAATTTAATCAATAACCTTTTTGTTAATTTTGTATGCATGTTCTGCAAAACAAGTTGATTCACCTTCCCTTAAAAAAATTAGCATCAAGTAGACATCCCATCATTAAATTTTTACAGAATTTGGAAACTTTACGAACATGGCTACTTTGATCATATGATATCTATTCCCCATGGCCCAGGAGGAACAAATACTACGTTTGGAATAGAAAAATCCACATTGAGAAAAGAGAAATTAAGAGACGAAAAGGATTATTTAAAAGAAATATCTATTGAAGAACTAAATTTAGTGATTCATCAAAAAAATAGACAAAAGCATAATACAGTTCATATTAAAAATTATGCTCCACTTTTCTCTTTCTCTATGATGTTCTAATTTTTTTGAAACTTCAATAGATTCTTTGAGATGTGAGATAGCCCAGGAGAACAGAATAGAATATTTATAATGGGATTTAAGATGAGAAACAGTGTCAGAGCAATGCACCTTGTCAAACAAATCTACAAAAAAGCTAATCCTTCTAAGTGATTGGAGAGAAATACACATAAAGCTGAAATTGTCACAGGAAATCCTTATATAAAGCTTTAGAATTTTAGGAATTTATACTAATAAATGCAAGCCGGCAACTAATTGACGGGATGACGCAAGTTAGATTTAATGCCAAATTAGAAAACTGAAAATCACTTAACAACTCAGATCCCAAAGCCTAGTAATCCAATTCAAATTAATCAATTCCAAATCTTATGTTCACATAAATAAATTTAAAAAAAAATCCAAAATCTGAAGCCCTTTGAAGATTCCTAATATATAATTAATCTGTATTGTTCTTTCCAATTTGGAAAAACACTTGTCTTCAAGTTTTAAAGTTTAAAATTAGCAAATCACATTCATGACTGTCATCTACATTATAATGAAAGGAACCCCAGATGTCTTCCCTGTTTTAAGGAAGGAGAAATGATAGGGGGAGATCAATGCCTCAAATACTGCTATTGGATTTAGTTGGACTACAGAACCAGCAGTGGAGCCATACTGACCATCAACATAAAGCTATTGATGTTAGAATTTGCTACTTTCTCCAGTCACACAGAAAAGATAATTACACTTTTTTTTTTTGTGCTGTTCATTTTGAACATATGTCTTGGAAGCTTAAAATTAAATATAAGAAGTTTCATTTTAATATTATCTTTATATTGCCATGACCAAAATAGTTAAATTGTATAATATGTTCAAAGGATGAAGAGATATCTACAACAGTAAATGGAAGATAAGGCACATACATACTAAGGCAAAAAAAAAAAAAAAAAAATGTTCAGTCATCCGGATAGTCTTACTAGAGAACAGTGATGTCCGTTGGAAAGCTTAAAATTAAAATATAAGAAGTTTCATTTTAAATTATATCTTTATATTGGCCATGACCAAAATAAGTTAAATTTGTATAATATGTCAAAGGATGAAGAGATATCTACAACAAGTAAAATGGAAGATAAGGCACATACATAACTAAGGCAAAAAAACTAATATAAAAGAGGTAACCACAGCAAATTAAACTTACTTTTGCAGGGAGTCACTTGAGGAAACACAGGTTACCATTGAAATTAAGAGAAGGAATCTAAATTTGGTTTGAATATTGACTCCAAAGTTTAATCTTTCTTGAAAAATTGAAAAGTCAATAACAGAGTACACAAACAATAATAGACATCATGGTCAATAACAAATAAATACTTTTGTTTAAGAGAATATTGAGGCAGGTTGTGTGCAATTCTTAATGACAAAATCATAATGTAGGTCACAATGTACCACATCTTTGAAAAAAAAAAAAAAAAAAACCACAGCAAATTAAACTTACTTTTGCAGGAGCACGGAAACACAGTTACCATCAAATTAGAAAAGGAATTAAATTGGTTGAATTTACCTCCAAAAGTTAATCTTTCTTGAAAATTGAAAAGTCAATAACAGAGACACAACAATAATAACATCATGGTCAATAACAAATGAAATACTTTTTAGAATATGCTGGTTCATCTTATGACAAAATCATAATGTAGGTCACAATGTACCACATCTTTGACAGCATCCATTAAAGAATAGTTGGGACCAATATTGTTCAACACCATTTTCAATTTTAAAAAGCCAATTATACCAAGAATACTTCATCATGAGTAATATGTGTTTTGGATCTTTGAATTGAACATGAAATTAGCAGGTCATAAAGAAACAAATGGCAATCATCATTAGAAAATATTAGAAATTCCAGAAGACATAAAAAAATCAAAAATTCAAGTCACTTGATAAAAAAAGTTTCAAAAAACATATTACACTAAAATTTACTCAGACAGTCAGTAAAGAATTAAAATGGTAAAATATCATATGAAGAACATGCACAAATTAATTGATTACAACTGAAAGAAGTTAAATATAAATAAAAGACATGAGGGGAAACAAGGCAATCACTTACAGAATGAACAAATTTGTTGAAAAGCTGAGACACCTTTGTCTGTGCGCCCTGCTACAACAGCACAACCTTCCAGGGGTTTACACTTGTCTTTCAGCTGTTGAGATTTCTTCTCATCAACAAATGTTCCAAGCGATCTTTCTACTAAGCTGTAAAAAGTAAAGAAGTAATTCAAGAACACTCAATTAATTTGCAAAGTAAAATAAAGGGTTTCTCTCTAAAGAAGAAAACTAATTTATTGTATTAAATTAGAGCAAATTTTCCATGTCTTAAATATGCTTTACAATATTTTGAAGCAACAGACACAGAAAAAGAAATAAAATGAAGAAACTATGAACTAAGAAAAATAAGATTGTTATTTCCTTTGAGGATCAATGCCTTTGTATCAGAAACCTAAGAGCAACTAAGTCAAATGGCTGCAAAAGAACAACAGAGCGAGATCTATCTATCTCAAAGTATGCATGACCAAACTACAAGTTGACAGGAAATAAATTACCCCTGAACAGTGTTCAAACCAGGCTGTTTCTGCCACCCATCAAACGATGCCCCATGATATGAAAGAACTATCTTGAATGTTACTCTTGCCCACCTCCCAAATTTATCTTTATCTGAAAAATCCTCTAATTTACTTTCGACGAAAGAGTCTTGAATTTTAGCATTATCATGAGCAAAATGTATCTGTTGATGAAATTATCTAGAATAAATATAACAGATGAGAATACCATATATGATAAAATGATTAAATAAAAAAAATGAAAATATCATATAACATATAGCAATTAATCAATTTGAACATACATAGTGGTAAAATTAACAGGGGTCTTATTCTTTGAAATGATTCTATTTTATTTTATGGACAACAACATTGCTGAATTTTATACAAAGAAGTCACTTAAGATTTCCACTGTACTTTGTGCTTTCTATGTCCCAACCCAGTTTTGTTTCAGAGAGAAAACATACACATAAATGCTAACTAATATAAAAGAACATCATTATATTTGAATAACAATGTAAGGTGATCTGATAGTGCCCACAAAGTTTAACCCACAAGAGAAAAGCACACATTCAGTGCCTAACTGTTTGAATGCAAGTCAAACCAACCAAAGTACCAACAATCACATTTCGAACATGTTAATAATCAAAGACTCTATAATGGCAATGGTTCGCTTCAATGAACATCTCTTAAAAAGAATGCTTTGCATCCTTGACCGAGTAAGCATAACAATTAGTGGTTTTTACTTCAACCATTCTCTTGATTTTCTTTTTTGTCCTATTATTTTCCAGATCTTATTACTTTTTTTCAAGTTTATTGGTTGTTGCAAATTAATTGAAAAGAAAGACTGATTAGCAATTCAGAAGCAATTAAACTTAAAATTTAACAAAAACAAGTGAATATTCAAAAAAACAACCACTAAATCATAGTCTTGGTTACTGATTGGTGATTATATTTTCAAAATTTATAATTGGAATCCTTGAATGTGGTTTACAAGCCCTTAGTCATGAGGCAAACATGGTTACTTCACCTCCTTCAAATATTTCCTAGTGCTGCATTTGGATAAAGAATTGAAATTCAAAAATTTAAATTTGAAAATTTCTCTCAGATTGTATAAATACATATTTGTGCATGGCTAACGAAAAACATTATCTTTACAGATCCTCCCATCTTCATTGCCTATTTTTCTCTCTTTCCCTTTTTCTTTCTTTCTTTCTTCCTATCAGCAACTATAGTTCATACAATTCATTTCATATTAATGAGTCCAAGCACATTAATACCCCCAAATCATTTACCTTTCACATAATCCCTCCGAAAACCAAACCAAAGGTTAAAGAAACCCAATAATTATAAGTGCCTAACAACTAAAATTCAAGAAAAGATAAAGAACCCACCTGAGTTCCAAACAACTCCGACAAAGATAAATGGCCATTCACCACATTCGAATAGAACTCCACGACTTCTTCCCAAGGCCTTGCATACATGAATTGGAAGCTCTCTCTATCCAAAAAAAAAATAATAATAATATCAACAATTAAATCCCAATGATCTAACACAACTCAAACCAAATATTAACAAAGAAAAATAGAGGTAGTATACCTAGCGGTCCATCTTAAAAACTTGCAAGAATCAGTGTGATTATAGTGAACATAGACTTTGTTTTGTGCTTGCATCTGCCCATGCATTTGCAAGGATCTATAAAATCTCTGAATCTGCCGTCTATTAGTAACAATAGTGGCAAGTGGTTTCGCGTTGGCAGCCCAAAGGAAATCTCTTACCATGCCCGTTACTGAAAGAGGAGTTCACAGTATAGCCAATGAGGCAATTTAAAAAACAGAAATTAGAATAAATTATTATTGAGCTAATTACCTTGTAGTCCCTAATTTTTGGTAAATACACTATGAAAGACCTTGGATTTCAAAATTATACAATTTAGTCCCCGTATTAAGTTGAATTAAATGTCTTACGAAATTGTATTGCAAGGCTTCTTGCAGTAAGCAAAATAGGAAATGAAATGCGCGAGTGGGAATTTATTATTGGTGGAAATAACTTAAGATTAGTATTTTCAGATGCAAAGTTGACACTCTTAGAGCATGTTCCAATTTAGGATTAAGGTTTAACTGGAACTAATTTTTCCCTAATCTGATTAGGATTGAAAAGTTAAACAATTAGGAACCAAACCATCACCTCCTAATTGAAAATTTAGGGTTATGTTGGGACATGAAAACCCTAGAATTAGGCTTCATGCATATAAGAATTTCTTCCTCGGATTTGATTATTGATTGGAATTGAGAAATTAGACTTGCTGATAAAATTCATCAAGAGTTTTATTCATCTTTATAAAGATTTAAATGTTACAAGTTTGACTTTATCTTACTTTATATAAAAAGAACCTTATTAGTCATTTGATTCTAAAATTATATTAAAATAGGTTAAATATATCAATAATAAATGTGCATATCTTCATATAATTTTAGAATTTAATTGTTGATTTTTATTTTTTTATTTTTTTTGCTTATCAAATTTTAAAGGCAGACCGAATATATCTCATTCCAAATACACTTTCTACTCATAAAACACCAATGAGCAAAGACTTTGTCAACCTCTTTACACCCCCATTTCCTTTTCCATGCTTCTAATCTTAGCATTCTCTTTTCTCTTCCCCTCTCTCTGTCTCTGTCTCTCTCTCTCTCCTCCCTCTCTCTCTCTCTTCTTCCATGCCATCAAAATTTCATCACCTTCCCAACCTTCTTCTCCACTCCCCAGAGCACCTGACTACAAGCATTATAGTCCCCATTGCCGCTCCAGCCTGTTAAGGGCGGGCACGCCGCCCCAACAGTGCGCGCTATTACCACCACCATGGCTTTTAGAAATAAACCCTTGTTTCTTCTTCTCTTTTCTGTTATATCCATGCATTTCATTGTCTCTTCAGGATTGACAGAATTTGAGAGTCTCCTTAAGTTTAAGGGTTCTTTATCTAATGCCTCGGCATTAGCCGATTGGAGCGACAAGACCAAACCATGCAAAGGGGACGTTACAAATTGGCATGGTGTTCTTTGTTCCAAAGGTGTGGTTTGGGGTTTGCAACTTGAAAGAATGGGGCTAACAGGTAAGATTGACGTTGAACCTTTAGAGAATTTGTCAGAACTGAGAACTCTTAGCTTCAAGAATAATAACTTTAATGGTACCATGCCCGAGATCAAGAAACTTCGTGCTTTAAGATCAACTTACCTGTCAAACAACCATTTTTCCGGGGAGATTCCAGGCAATGCTTTTGAAGGTATGCCAGTTTACAGTTGTTTTATATTAACATATATGTTGCAATTTAGGGACACTTGTTGTATCAATTGAGCTAACCAGGGCACTTTATCGTTTCAAGGCATGATGAAACTAAAGAGAGTGCACCTAGCAAACAATAATTTCAATGGTGCCATTCCTTCATCCTTAGCTACTCTGCCAAAACTTTTCGATTTGAGGTTCGAGGGAAACAAGTTTAAAGGGAAAATACCAAATTTTGCACAAAACTTTTCATCGTTCAACGTCTCCAACAATGCATTGGAAGGGCCAATTCCTGCATCTCTTAGTAAGATGAACGTAACATCATTTTCTGGTAAGTTATTATTTACTCTTGTGATGATTGTATATTTGTCTTTTTATTTGTTATCTCAAACATCCATTACTATTATATTAAAATCAGATGTTAAATAAATCATGATCCAATGTATTTTTCATATTTAGTAAGAATCCTATATTGGTTAAATATAGCTAATTAGTAGTACTAATCTTCTAGCAAATTTGAACGTTTTTTTATTATACTTTTGACGGCATTATTTTTTCCTTCTCTCTTAACTGTTTGTCCTTCTTGTTTAAACTTTGCTCCTCTTAATTTAAATTTCTGGCGTTAACATTGTATGGCCTCATGACTAAAAATGTAAAGGATTGCACCATTAGTCAAATACTATGCAAGTCACTTGTGAATAAAAAAGCAATGATATACCAGAAATAGCAAGGTTGGGGTAAAGATTTTGAAAGAGCCAAGAGTCCATCTCATGAAATGGACTTAAATAGAAAAAAAAATGATTTGAAAAATCCTTAATGTTCTGGCAATAATTTTAAATGAAGAAAATTATTATTCGAAAAGAGATTACTATTCTCTTTCTTAACGTTTCCTATGCATAAACACCAGGTCACTAAATTTACTGATGCTTAGTTTTTTTGATGGAGCAGGCAACAAAGGACTATGTGGGCTTCCACTAACTAAATGTGATAATGTTGGGACCTCCACAAACGCCTCCAACTCTGGATCAAACTTGCACATTGAATCTAACTCTAAGAAACCTTCAGTTGCAAGTATAGTTATTGTGGCTGTAGTTGTAGTGGTAGCACTGGCAGCCATATTTGCCGCTGCCTTCATCCTCCTCCGACGACGGAAACGAACATCAGCGTCAGTAGAGGCACCGCGAGGACCAAACCGTCGGAAAAAAAAGCGTTTGAAAAATCAAGACCCTTCAGAAAATGGCAAAAGGCCTGAGACGTCAAAGTTATTGACATTTGTAAGGGATGATAGGGAGCGATTTGACTTACCTGACTTGTTAAAAGCCTCAGCAGAGATTTTGGGTAGTGGTTGCTTTGGAGCATCTTATAAAGCTTCTCTAAGTGGAACAGTTATGGTAGTTAAGAGATTTAAGCAAATGAACAACGTTGGGAAAGAAGACTTTCACGAACATATGAGAAGGTTAGGGAGGTTGAGTCATCCTAATTTACTACCTCTTGTTGCTTACTATTATAGGAAGGAAGAGAAGCTCTTGATAACTGACCACGTTGAGAAAGGAAACTTAGATGCTCATCTTCATGGTATGTTATATATGTTTTTTCAGGGTTTTAATTTTGTCTTTTCACTGGTTCTAAGTGCTGAAAACTCTCATTTTCATGTTTATCTTTTCCTTTAGGTTATCGGGCTTTGGGCCAACCAAGCATGGATTGGCCAACTAGATTAAAGATTGTTAAAGGAACAGCCAAAGGACTTGCTTATTTGTGCAAAGAGCTTCCTAGTATAATAGCAGCTCACGGGCACCTAAAATCCACAAATATTCTTCTCAACCAATCCAATGAGCCTCTTCTCACAGACTATGGACTTGTTCCTGTTATCAACCAAGAGAATGCCCACGAATTCATGGTGGCCTATAGATCACCTGAATTCTTGCAGCTAGGTCGGATTACCAAGAAGACCGATGTATGGAGTCTTGGGATATTGATTCTTGAGCTTGTAACAGGAAAGGTTCCTGCAAATTTGTTGCCACAAGGAAAAGAAAGTGAAGAAGAAGATCTGGCAAGTTGGGTTAGTAATATTCCTCAAGAGCAATGGGTGAACCAAGTGTTTGATAGGGAGATTAGAGTAACTAAGAATAATGAAGTTGAAATAATAAAACTATTAAAGATTGGGTTGAGTTGCTGTGAAGGGGATGTAGAGAAAAGGATGGACTTAAAGGAGGCTGTGGAGAAAATTAATGAGTTGAAAGATAGAGAAGGTGAAGAGGACTTTTACTCTTCATGTCCCAGTGAAGGGGATGGGGATGTGAAATCATCAAGAGGAAAGTCTGATGATTTCACAGTTTCCTGAATGAGGAATGTTAATTAGACTTTTGATCAATCCATACTTAGAGGATTACAAATTACGTTGTTCCAAAATTTGAAGGAATTAAAGGTGATAATGGAATTGGTAATGCACACTAATTAAGATTTTCATTCCTTTTCAGTCTAAAATTGTAGGGTGGAAGTTGGAGTGGGATTGGGATTGGGATTGGGGTTTGCTAATGCAAGTTTTTGTTTTATTTTGCCACTAACAATGTTAGGATTTCAGATTGCATCTCTCTTTCTCACTCTCTTAAATTTTTTTAATAATAGTTTTCCTAGTAAGAATGTAAGATAGGTAAGTGAGAAGACTAATTATTAAGATGTACAAGAAAATAGGAAAAAGAAATGTTTGCTACAGAAAAAAAAAAAAAAAAAAACATAATTTAGTGAAGCTAATTTACAACCAAAAAGAGCATTATGACTGCTAGAACAATTTGCCATTCTAAAAATTCACATTCAAAGTTAAATTATTTATGATTCTTCTAATGATAAAATACATAAAATTTTCAAATGTATGATGTTATTATACCTCTAGAAGGCAATTTGATTATTTTTGTTTGGAATGAACGTATATTGTAACTTCAATATGAGTTTATTCTGCATTTATCTAATTTTTTCTTTGTAGGAAAATGATTTTAGCTTATTTTGAGTTTGGATAAAGTATTACCAAAATGTTAACAAGTAAGTTTTCTATCCTTTATAGCCAATTGAGTCGAACCGTTCAATTTGTTCACCTCTATAATAATTATAAATTCAACTGTATTTTAAATATTTGATCATGGATCAGGTTAGGATTGAATTATATGTAATATCCATATTTTATCCACCAATAAATAAATAGATGCATCATGCTTCAAATTCTGGTAATAAAATATATTTTGATAAAACAATATTCATTCCTCAAATGACATTTGTCGAACATTATGCATTAAATCTTAAGGTTTTGAAGAGTTGACAGTCTCTGACATGATTGAATCATAAAAGACACGAAGATGAACTAATTCTTAAAATCCCTTTAAGTTTGAGGAATTGTGAAGACAAAATCATTTGGCACATGGAAAGGAGGGGAACCTATTCTATAATATCGGCCTATCATGTAGCTTTTAGCTTGAATAATTCTATTACAGCTTATGGGGTGCAGCTAGCGTCTCTGAAAATATTTGTGGAAATTAGAAGTTCCCTCTAATGTTAAGAGCTGTGTTTACAGGATGAGTCGGGATTTCTTACCAACCAAGTCTAGCTTATCGAGGATGAGAATTCATGTTAGTATACATTGTGCTTATTGTGATCAAGCTGAAACTATTGATCATCTGTTATTATGGTATCACAGGGCTGCATGGTTTATCTGGTTCCATAAGAATTTATTTATCTGGCAGAATTCGGTCTCTGATCCGTGTCAAATGGTTCCTGTGGCTCTGTGTTACTTTCAAGAATGGAGAGAAGCTCGGTTCGAATTCGAAGATGGTGATAATAGGCCATGTCGTGCTGATATTGTGCAGCAGATGGGATGGTCTCTTCCAGTTTCTGGGTTCTCGAAATGTAATGTTGACACAGCTATATTTGAAGGGTTGATAAGGCGGGTTTTGGAACCGTGTTTCGAGATGAGAGGGGTCAGTTTGTGCAGGCCTTATCTGGTTTCTTCAATGATATTCTGTTAGATTATTTGATAATCTATACGTGGCTCATGTAATTAAAAGGCTGGTTCTAATTAAGATAGTCTAAAATTATGGTTATTGGACTTAATAGAGAAGGACCAGTTAGGGTTCTAATATCCTTTCTCTGCCTTATAAAAAAAAAAAAGAAAATCAACAGTTTAGGTTAAGAAAAAAAAAACAGAGAGCGTGACGTCTACCTCAAACACATACTGTGATAAGTTGTTTGAGAGAGCGTGAAAAGAAAACTTTCGTGTTCTTGATAATTCTCTGATCATTAAGAAAGCACTTACAGACAAAATGCCAGAGTGAAGAAACATACATCTGCTGTTACGGTGAGAATCGAATTGCCGCAACGAGATAATCAATAGCTATGGATCAAGATACGCTTCTGCTTATGAGCTTCCTAGAAATATAGAAGCTCTCGTTGTATCTGATGTTTTTATTTAATGCTAATTCCATTTTTTTCCTAAAAAAAAAAAAAAAAAAAAATCTGATCATTAAGAAAGCACTTACAGACAAAAATGCCAAGAGTGAATGAACATAACATCTGCTGTTTACGGTGAGAATCGAATTGCCGCAACGAGATAATCAATAGCTGATGGATCAAGATACGCTTCTGCTTATAGAGCTTTCCTAGAAATATAGAAGCTCTCGTTGTAATCTGATGTTTTATTTAATGCTATCCATTTTTTCCTAAAAAAAAAAAAAAAAAAAAAGTTCATATGGTGAAAACTAAAAAAAAAAAAAAAAAAAAAAAGTTCATATGTGAAAATTTATGTATTAAGATGAAGAATCTTACCAATGCAGCGTTACTTGTTACTATCTTTGTTCCCCAAATTTTGACGCTTCTTGACTTTTATTTTCTTCTAACACTTTTGGAAAATCAACTTTACATTTATATTAATCAAATTATTCTGTAGAAAATTATAGATATAGTTATTAAATTCAATATAAATAAGAATTAAATTTTTTTTAATAAATAATTAATTACACTTAAATATTCTTAAAATGACTTATTTTTATGGATAAAAAATTATCCTAAAACGATTTATATTTATGGACAGAAAACATATTTAAATAGTAATTTAGTTAGTTACACTTATTTTTTCTATAATTGAGATAATTAATCTTATTAATTTTTATAAAAAGTTAAAAAAAATATCAAAACCGAACGGAGATAGTAGTCAAAAGAATATTTTGTGCGGGAGAGAGATCTAAAGTTACATTCCTATTCCTCTCCTTCTCAATTATCTATTTATCTATTTCAAGACTCAAGAATTTTTCTTTTTACTAGTTCATTCTCAATCTTAATAATGCATGCAGGAGCCATGTTAATGGTTATCATAATCTGGCATCTAGGCAGTGCAAAAACCTACTGTTTATCTACATTTACGGACTAAGAAAATGATTAATTTATCTTGATTTTACAAAAATTATATTTCAAATTACCTCAATACCTTTTTATTAATTTTTTTAATTCTTTCTTGAATTTTAAAAAATGACACTTAAAGGTAAAAAAACAAAAATCAAAAAATTGACCATTCGAATGGAATGAATGAAGTAATATTTGTTAGAAACATTTGAATACCAAGCCACCTAACCATATGAAACACTCATGTGGTTTAACATATTGTTATTACCAAGGTACAATGTATATTTAAATCATGGTAGGCTTTGTGGATAAGAAACATTTGAGCTAGCTATGAATACCATTTTAAAAAAATTTGGAGCCAAGGAGCGAGGTTCTGCTGGTGTATCAAAATTCTACCTGACCACTAACTTTAGTATCAAAATGGCTCATACCATATGTTTTATTCAGAGGGCAAATCAAGGTAAAGAAGAAAAGAGAGAGAGAGAGTGCCTCTCTCATGGTTTGGTTGCTATATATAGTAAAGCCAAAAAAAAGAAGAAGAAGAATTCTCTTTCTTGTATTTTAGGAGCCAAAATTGATTGTTTATGTCTCTGCAATTTGTTATGGCTACACATATTTAGCCATTGAATATGTGGGCTTATTGTATTGATAGATCTTGTTTATGTCTTATTTAGTCTTGTAATTAGTTATTAAAAGAGTGAGAGGTAGGAGAAGGAAAAATTATGTTGAATCCAAGAGGGAGCAATGTCGATAGGACCATCATTCAACCCAGAGGGAGCAATGTCGATAGGACCATCATTCTTGGAAGAGAGAGCAATGTCGATAGGAACATCATTCTTGGAAGAGAGAGCAACGTCGATAGGAGGAAAGAGAGAGGCAACGTCGATTAGGACCATTCATTCAACCCAGAGGGAGCAATGTCGATAGGACCATCATCTTGGAAAGAGAGAGCAATGTCGATAGGAACATTCATCTTTGGAAAGAGAGAGCAACGTCGATCGGAACATCATTCGAGGAGGAGGAGCGGAGGAGAGAAAAAAATGCATAGCAGTTGGCAATAGATAAGGATAAATCTAGTCAACTTACTCTAAAAATTGTCGATAGGACCATCATTCAACCCAGAGGGAGCAATGTCGATAGGACCATCATTCTTGGAAGAGAGAGCAATGTCGATAGGAACATCATTCTTGGAAGAGAGAGCAACGTCGATAGGAACATCATTCGAGGAGGAGGAGGCGGAGGAGAGAAAAAATGCATAGCAGTGGCAATAGATAAGGATAAATCTAGTCAACTTACTCTAAAATGGGCTCTTGATAATCTTGTAACGTCTAAAGATGATATTTTGAAACTCATCCATGTTAAAGAAAGACAATCAACAACAGGTAATTTTGTAGAATTTTTTTTAAAAAAATTAAATTATGTATTTGCATTCTTTTTATTTTAAATTTTACGTGATTATAGTGCAGAAAGATGATCCATCAATGGAACAACAAATTGATAGCATTACCATGGAATTATTCCTTCCATTTAGATGTTTTTGTCGACGTAGACTGGTGAGGTTTCATTTATACTTGATATTAATTTTAAATTATTTGGTTTATCAAGGAAAATTATTGAGTAATTAGTAATTTATCTTCTCGATTCCCAGATTCTGGTTTATCAATTTCTTTGCAGAAATGAGCAAAATGTTATTTGTGGAATATTCGATGCTCGGCTCAAGAATTGCTGTACACATCCATTGTTTGTAAAATAATATGACTTCTTATTTTATGTTGTTAATTAAATTAGGTACAATGCGAGACAATTGTGCTTGAGGATCAAGACATAGCAAGAGCAATTACTGATTATGTTTGCCAAAACGGAATTGATACATTGTTACTTGGTGCTGCGGCAAAGAATGGGCTTTCTAGGTATTCACCAAATGATGTTTAATTGATTCATTAATCAAGATTAATTAGCAACTACATATGTATTAACTTAATTGTTTCACATACAGACTTTTCAATAAGACTGCAGATGTTCAAAACAACGTATTAAAATGGGCACCAGATTTTTGCACAGTTTATATAATCTCAAAAGGAAAGGTCAGCAACGTCAGGAATGCAACTCGTGCACCCCCACTTATTTCTTCCGCCCCCGCCGGAATGCCCCCGCTTCCAGACTCTGTACCTCATAATATCCAGTAAACGCTGAACGAATAGATAGTTGTTTCATTTCCAGGAAAAAAAAAATGAGAAAAAACTTGTTTGGTTACCTAGAAAATGCAAGAATATTTGTTTATTTAAAAAATGAATGATTGTGCAGATCATGGTATGATGAGATGTCAGCATTAGACATTGACCCAGTAACAAGCTCTGGAAGGCCAAGCACCGATAGCAATTTTTCTCACTTTTATGAAAATCTAGGGAGTGATTTAAACAAAGAACAGTCTCCAAGACGCTCAAACTTAAATATGTTTGAGTCCCCATTTTCTTCAGGTTTCAGAAACCAATCTCTATCTGATGACTGTAATAATGGCTTGGATGCAAGAATTTCTTGGTCTTCAAACAATATGGTTAGATATAAATATTCACTTTTACAACTTCTTCTTCTTTTCTTGTCAAATTTAATTTTATGTTCCAATCCAATTCTTGCAGGAAGAGTATGAAGAAGAGATGAGAAGGCTCAAGACTGAACTTAAGCAAACAATCGACATGTATCATGCAGCCTGCAAAGAAGCACTAGCAGCAAAACAAAAGGTATTTATTAAAGAAGTGTATATTTCTCTTTTTCGTTTTCTTTTCTTTAGCACCAGTTTGGACCCAAATCAAACTAGAATCAGACCAGAACTGGTTTGAAATTTTAGTTTTGAATGACAGGGGAATAGGCCTGATTTCAGTTCCTGTCTCCCCTTAATAGGACCAAAACTAGCCTGAACCACTAGTTCAATTGAAACCCAGGAGGATCCATCTCAGTTCCTGAGCCTCACCAACCCAGAACCACTGATTCATTGAAATGAAACTGCCAACTCAATCAACCAGCCATAGATAAAACTCTTTGAAAAAAAGGTGTTTAATTAAGCTTTCGAGAAAAAAAAAGGGATTTGTTCTTCCCTAAAATACATTATTTACAATAGAAAATCCATTGGTAGGCTGCTGAACTTGAAGAATGGAAAAGAAAACTAGAGAAAAGGTTAAAGGAGGCACATACAGGAGAGGAAAATGAATTAGCAATGGCAGAAAGTGAAAAAACAAAGAGCAAAAGTGCAATCGTTGCAGCTGAAGCAGTTCAAAAGCTTATTGAGGTAGAAGTACAAAAACGAGTGGATGCAGAAATGAAAGCTCTCAGGGACAATGAGAGAAAGCGGAAAGTTTTAAATGCTTTAGCCCAATCCCACGTTCTTCTTAAATATCAAAGCTTACTTCACATGTTAATTGTTTTCTTTCTGTTTTACTTTTACTTTTCACTGTTTAAGCCCTAATTATTATTATTTGAAATATGTATAGTTTTTCTCTCCTAAATATCTCATGCTTTCTTCGGACACGAGACTAATCTGTAAATATCACACACACTAATGCTTTTAACTATTTAAAATCAAGCACACACCAACAAAGAGAGAGAAACATATGAGCAATCAATGGGAAGCGCGGACAGAAGGCAAATTCGAACACGCATCATTTCGTTTCATGCAATTATTATAAAGAGGGTTAAAGCATACATGCATTTACTATTTGAAAGCAGTCATTTTGTCTAAAGAAATGGGAGATTGGAGACGTACCAAACAAATTTGACCTCAGCTTTCGTACCAACTACTACATTTATAATATTATTATAAATTAATTGAGTTTGAAAAATTATGCAAATGCTTTCTCCTACCTACAAAGAATTAATTATGTTGAGCCCATGGATTTCCCTTTGAAAACCATTGGACATGCACCTACCCTCCACCTACCCCACTTCCATCTCTTTATATAAATAAATCCATTTCCCTCCTTTCTGTCTTCTCATCAAATCAAACCATCTACGATGGCTCATCTTATTACTAAATCAATCTTTTGCTCTCTCATTATTGCACTTTTCACCAAGTTTCTATACCCTGACATCTTCCAAAATGGCTCATTACCACATATTTCAATATTCATCCTTTTACTCCCTTTATTCGCATTCTTGTTTACCTCAATTTCTAATTCTTCCAAAAACCTCCCTCCAAGCCCTATTTCTATCCCCATATTTGGCAACTGGCTTCAAGTAGGAAATGACCTTAATCATCGCAACCTAGCTTCTATGTCACAATCTTATGGTCCTGTATTTCTACTTAAACTTGGTTCCAAAAATTTAGCTGTAGTTTCTGACCCTGAACTAGCTACTCAAGTCTTACACACACAAGGCGTAGAGTTCGGGTCTCGCCCACGAAACGTGGTGTTCGATATTTTCACCGGCAACGGTCAAGATATGGTGTTTACGATATATGGTGATCATTGGAGGAAGATGCGTAGAATTATGACACTGCCATTTTTCACTAACAAAGTTGTGCAAAATTATAGTAATATGTGGGAGAAAGAAATGGACTTAGTGGTATGTGACTTGAAAGCAGACTTAAAGGTGAGAGATGAAGGGATTGTTATCAGAAAACGTTTGCAATTGATGTTGTATAATATTATGTATGGAATGATGTTTGATGCAAGATTTAAATCGCAAGATGACCCATTGTTCATTGAAGCTACAAGGTTTAATTCTGAGAGGAGTAGGTTGGCTCAAAGTTTTGAGTACAATTATGGAGATTTTATTCCTTTGCTTAGACCATTTCTAAGAGGGTACTTGAACAAGTGCAAGGATTTGCAGCAGAGGAGGCTAGCTTTTTTCAATGATTATTTTGTTCAAAGAAGAAGGTATTCAATTTTATTTTTTTTTAAAATTTTGTTTATAGAAAAAACTAGAAAATTATGTTATTAGTCATATCAAAAGTATAGGACTGTTCGGTTCCGACGGTTTCGAGCCTTAAAAACATAAGTTTTTAGAAGAATTAACCCTAATTCATGTTTTGTGAATTTGACAGGAAAATAATGGCTGCAAACGGAGAGAAACACAAAATAAGTTGTGCAATTGATCACATAATAGATGCTCAATTGAAAGGAGAGATTAGCGAAGAAAATGTGTTATACATTGTGGAAAACATTAATGTTGCAGCAATTGAAACAACATTATGGTCCATGGAGTGGGCCATAGCTGAGTTGGTCAACAATCCATCTGTACAACGGAAAATCAGAGATGAAATCTCAACCGTCCTTAAAGGACATCCAATTACAGAATCTAGTATACAAGAGTTACCTTACTTGCAAGCAACTGTAAAAGAGACATTAAGATTGCACACTCCAATTCCCTTACTTGTACCACATATGAACCTTGAAGAAGCAAAATTAGGAGGATTTACCATTCCTAAAGAATCTAAAGTAGTAGTCAATGCCTGGTGGCTGGCTAATAATCCTAAATGGTGGAAAAATCCTGAGGAGTTCCGGCCGGAGAGATTTTTTGAAGAAGAATCTGGAACTGAGGCTGTCGCTGGAGGAAAAGTCGATTTCCGATATTTACCCTTTGGTATGGGAAGACGGAGCTGCCCAGGAATTATATTGGCATTGCCAATTTTAGGACTTGTGATTGCAAAATTGGTATCAAACTTTGAGATGAAAGCTCCAAAAGGGATTAACAAGATTGATGTGAGTGAAAAAGGAGGACAATTCAGCTTGCACATAGCTAACCATTCCACCGTCGTTTTTCATCCAATCAAATAAGTTTGTAATGGACAATGCAAAATCAAATAATAATTGAGTGATTTGAGTGAATTGGTTTGCCCCTACGACAGTCTCATGCACTTGTAAACCCTTTTTCTTTTACAGCATGTAAGATAATTTTCTATATAAAGATTAATTCAATATGGATATTGCATATTCAAGATTTATAATTATTGCAGGAACATCACAAAAATTGCCAAAGACTTCTATCATTTAGTTCATATATGCAAATACCAATGAGTTGCCTAAAATTGATTTGCTTAGTAGAACTATATCAACAGTATGCAGAATCACAATAAACATTTGAAGTTCAATACCTTAAAAACAAAAAACTTAATCCCAAATTTGTTGAAGTAGGCTATATGAATCTTTGTTTCCTTTCTGCTCCCTCAATACCTTAATATGAGAAAATTATAACATAAGATGCTATGCAGAAATATGAATGATAAGATGAGGGATGCAAGTCAAAGTAGAATTTGCCGCACAAAACCATAACTTACTGAGCAACAAAATGAGATTCATTATCAGTGACTAAAATATTAAGATCGGACACAAAAGTAATCATCCTGTTGACTGAGGAAATAACATAAAGAAGTGATCAGCTCAAATGTTAAATGTTAAACAGCTATTGGAAGGATAGGATTTCTTTTTCCTTATAGTAAGTAGCAAGAAGAGAGAGAGTTCGAAAATAGTACCGTCTTGCTTAAATTCATCTCTGACACTGAAAACTGAAATAGAAGACATTGTTTGAAAAAGTTAAGCCTCTAAAAATAGTTTGTAGTTGGAAAAACTAAAATCACTAGCATTAATCCACAAATAGGTGATTAAAACCAAATCTGTCAGTATCATTGTCACTCAAAAATCATAAGAAATTTACACTATCCGGACAACTCATATGAGAGCTTTAGAACGAGATGGAAGGCAACAAAGAATTCCTTAATGCAAACCTACCCACTTCTTGAAGCTTAATACTGCTTCTCTCCTTTTTAATTGTGATTCTGTCTGGAATTTGGGAGCTTTTCCCTTATGCAGTGTTTTATGGTACTTCAAGAAGAGGGTTCGGTATTTGTACTTGTCGACAAACATGTTACCTTTCTCCATCATATCCGCAACTTCATTTGCTCGAACAAAAAATCCACCTCTAACAAATGTGTAAAGCACAGAATCCAGGAGTTCCTGGTCAAACTTCATAGAGGTGGACGAAGCAAGAGATTTCATTTCACCCCATAACTCTGTTACCTCTATATATTTTCCCCCAATAGCAGCGTAGCCCGTTACCATAGAATGGAAAGTTTGAGCATTTGGAGCATGTCCTAGACTTCTCATCTTCTTCAGAGCCTTCTCTGCATCATTCATCAATCTTTTTTTACAGAAGAAGTGTATTACATTATTCCAATCATAAACTGCAGAATCCACTGTCTGACCATCCTTGATTTCCCTCAAAAGCTTAGCCATCAACCCCACTTCACCACCCTCTGAACAGCCCTTAACCAACCTCTCGAACTCTTGACAACCACTTTTATTTAGTTTAGCATCCTTCATTTGTTTAAACAAGTGGAGAGCTCCCTGAGTATCGTTTTGCAAAACTTGGGATTCAATCAATGCCTCATAACAGCTTGAGTCAAGTTGGATCCCAGCTCTATGGGCATCTCTCAGAAGTGATGCAGCCTCTCCTGCTCGATTGGCTTCACAATATGATTTTAAAAGGGAGGCATATATAGAAGAACTAGCTCTAACCCCAGCCAAACGCATCTCGTCAAGAAGGTCATGTGCCTGATCTAGCCAACCAAGTGAAATGCATGAATTAATGACATTAACCAAGATTGAATCATCATTAGAAGCAGGAGAATCTTCTTTCTCAGCCTGGTTAAGAAAGGCGGCCAGCTCCTTGGTCTTGCCAGCTTCCAAAAATGCCTTGACTAGTTTCACATAAATTTTATCAGTAGGCTGAAGAATACCCCGGTCAGTGGTAATCAATACAACTTGGGTCTGCAACTTTGATAGCAAAGAATTGAGAAGTTCCTTTGCCTCTGCATCAAGTTTCAAAAACTTTAGATCTTTCAAGAACTCTTCATAAGAAATCATAGGATTTCCAATTGATTTATTTTTCTTTAAGCTATCAGGTTCTCCATGGTTCAAACTTGAATAGGACTTCCTATCAGATTGAATGCCAAGTGTGGCTGTGGCGAGAGAATTCTGTGCCTCCTTTGCTTTCCGAAGCATTTTCAAAACCATGCTAGAAGCAGAATCAAGATCCCCAAATTTCAAGTGGCATGTTAACAAACAATTATAGAACTGCCGAAATTGACTATCACTTAAACCTTGAGCTTCATCTACATGTCTCTGAAGTTTCTTCAACTCTTCTCTTCTCCCATTCCTTTCATATATATGTGCCATTGTGATCAACAGAGATGCATTAACTTTGATAAAAATGCGAGGCATCATGTCAAGGAGCTGCTCAGCTTTCCTCGTGGTACCAAACAAGAGACACCCAGCCAAAGCAATGTTCATAGAAGTAGCGTTAGGCCTCATAGCAATCAAAGGTGCATTGCTTTTCTTACGTGGATCAACTCTCCCATCTTGGAATAAATAACCTATCTCAAGGATCAACTCAGCAGCAAGGTAAGCTCCAGGAGCTGTTAAGGACATGTGGGCCAAAATTGCAGACCAAGCAGTCACAGGAGGAAATTTTTCCATTTCTATTAACTTTCTTATAATAGTTGATGCTGGAACTGGTAAACCACATTTAGCAAGACCATATGAGAGATATATCAGAGCCTCCTTTTCCAACAAATTCTGTTTACTTTCTTCAATAGCCTGTTCCACCAAGCCATAAGCCTTCTCAAGCCACTGAATATCCATGCTTTCTGCAAAACTTGCAAGAACCTTATTTACAATGGTTTTACGAGGAAATCCTTCCATCTGCATGTGTTGTTCAAACAGATTCCAAGCATCATTATATCTATGATTATCAATTGCATTTTCAATTTCTGCACTTAGTTTAGCTGGATCTCGAGCCTGGACCAAGATAGTTCCAGCCATGGTTGATAAAGAATGCGATTGATGAGTGAACCCATTACACATTCCTAAAACAACAATTGACATGTTTAAGTTGGTCAAAGAGGAATTGACAAACTCACTGACAGGCTTCTGACTTGAAGAAACTCGCATCTGGGGTCTGAAAATGTGAGTGGAATCATATCCACTGTTGAAAAGTAAGGACAATAAAACAGTAGGGGAAACTGTAGTGATATTGTGCCTAAATTTCCTTGTGGATAGCATTTTTTTTTTTTCCAAACTCCAATTATCAACTCGAAATCCTGCACTAAACGAATCAATACGTGCAATGTATTGACCAGCTCTTCAAGTGATACAAAAGCATTCACATCTACCAAATTGCACACAAAAGTTCAAATTAAAATGAAAGAAAATCAATACAGAATGAAACGAACATGGGAAATTACATTTCTTAAAAAATATAGAAAATGTAATCGTGGGAAAACATGCAAATATAAAAGTATTCAGGCATTTTTACAAATATCATATATTTTTTTTGTATAAAATGTATAGACATTAATTAAAAACATTTTTTCAAGCAAATATTATTAACTATCAACATTTTCCCAACTTTTTTTCAATGGTTTCATCATGTCTAATTCAATTTACTTGTTTTATTTCTTTTATTTCTTTTTTTTTTTTCAAGTAAAAATATGTTAAACTCGGTAGTGTTAAATGATAAAAGTTATATGCTTGACAAAATAGGAAAAAGGAATTCAACTCATCAAAGCAACTGCATTCCTATTAAAAAAAGAAAAAAAAAAGGAGCTCTATCAAATGAATAAATTAATGAAATCCAATAACAAGAACAAAATCAAGAAAGAAATGAAAACTACGGAAATTGAGAGGTAACAAAAGGACTGGCCTATAAGAAGAGAAATAAGAAGCTGGAGAGAAGCAAGAAAGGTTGAGAGCTTTCTCCGCCACCACCACCCACCAGAATCCTCCGCCAGCAACGCCGTTACCGTTACCGCCGGAGCTGGGAAAAGAAAACCCAGTCCCCAATAAACCATATGGAGCTCAAAAATTTAAAAAAAAAAAGAGCATGAAAGAAAATACCTACAGATTAAGAGGCATACCTTTCCATAAAACCAAGAACCGAATTGCAGCATGATGAGAGAGACTGAGCGACAGTGTGACGGACAGAAACAGAAAGAGGTGGCTTGTAAGAACCGGGGATTTTTTTTTTTCTTTTTTTTCACATAAAGAAACGCGTTTCTGAGAGAAAAACACTTTGTAATTTTCAAAAATTACAAAACCGATTCGAAACGCTTGAAAGCCGTTTACTTGAATTTCATTTTAAAAACCCAAAAATAATAAATAATTTAAAATTAATAATCACTGAAAATTTAACTATTGAATGCTACAATCTCAACATCAATTATATAATTTCTCTATATCATTTTAAATCTAACTTTTTTTTTTGTCTTTTTCTGTTTAATATTCAATATATCACTTCCAAAGAACATTTGTAATAGTTGCACATTTTCTCGAATGTGTTGAATTTGAATCTTGTATAATTATACATCCGTCTTAATATTTTCATTTGTGCAATATCTATTGAATTGGGAGCTTCAATATATATATATATATATATATATAAACTACCCCAACAAGTACTAAAAGAAAATTACACAAACCAATTGGTCTAATATTGTCAATCATCCTCAGCTTTGGACAATCTAATTTGGGACAGTTTTATACAATGCAACCACAACTACAAACTTTCCATGTAACCTCATATACATTCAAGCTCGAGGCAATTTCTGCTGCAAAATGAAGAAATCTACACATTTATATACTCAAAAAACAGGGCATACAATTGCTTGCTTTTGCTTTCTACAACATATCTGAGTGGAGAATTCTTGGCTACTAAAGACATAAAACAAGTTGAGTATTAAACATTACAACAACATCAAACATCTCAACCAGTTTACAGGCATAAACTAAACTGGATTCTTTATAAAGCCGGACAAAACCTTTAACAAGTCTTGTACCAGTTGCATACCATCAATTGATCTGATGAAGAAATCTCTGATTTTCTGCTTTTGATCTTTGTTCTATATTTTAGACCTAGGCCAAATTGAAAAAGAACCCTAACTGCCAAAATACAACTTCAGCTTACCTGCTACTCGTGCAAGCAGACAGGTCGGCATAATATTCTCTGTTTGCCGGTGCTTTTGCTAGCCAGCAAATCAATGACAAACCATCAGCCAAAGTAAACATCATATAGAAAAGCTATTGACATAATTGAACAAATAATTTACGGTCCCAGCGTGGAAGAATATGGTTAGCATTTTGGTAGACTACTTTACACATTGCCATTATCCGAGCTGCTGCATGCTTGATTTGGAAAGACAGAATTCCCAAAGTCTCCATCCAAGCTCATTTGCTGGACTTCCTGAGGCGATAGGATCTTAATGCAGCGGACACAGTTCACAAACTCTCTGCATAAACAAACCGGTGTAAGAGACAAACCAACTATACACAGAATTATGGGGGATATTTCAGCACACATTTGAAATATATCTGAATATTGAACAGAAGAAACCATATGTTCAACATACTTCAATTGTTCAGGAGAATGCACAGGAAAAGTGTGAAGTTCTCGCTTAATTTAATTAATGATTCAGAAAATTCACTTTTATAGTTAAATTTTCAGGATTATCAAATTATATACCCAATGTTGAAGTAAAGTTTTGTCAATAAAAGCATAAAGAAGACCGAAAAAATGAGGACAAAAGACCAAAATAATTTGAAAGTAGTCAAGTGACTTACTCCCATGGATCATCCCCAACTAACAGGACATCATTTTCATGATCCACATAGACAAGCTTCCAGCCTATCCTCTGTCTGTCTTCCAACTGTCCCTCTATACCAAACCTCCGAGCCAGGTCTTGCTTAAGCTCATCATAATCTGAATACCGGGTTATATCAATTGACCTTCCCACAGCTCCGCGTTTGTAAACCTTTAAAATAAACATAAACAAACTTAGAATTGTAGACTAAGAAGGAAAACCCAACACAAAAAAATATACACAAACATACATGCAAGTACATACTTGCATACTTGCAAGCGTACAAATAGCATTTAATAGGCCAAAACAATAAACCTTTGTATATGTTCGCATTCGCTGAAACTGTGGTGGAGGGGCCCAAGGACCTCTGTTCAAGAAGCTGCTATCATTGATTGTGGAGTCGATTGAATTGAATGCCATATCTGGAACTCCAAATGACTGGGAAACCATTGAAGATGGAGCATCTTTTGAGTTTTCACAGTTAGCAAGCATACAACCTGACGAGAGATTGTTTGGTAAGTCTTTTCCCAAACCTATAACGCCTTCTGACAACACATTATCAGAGTTCATAGGTACGCCCAACTGGCTTTCAACATTAGTACCATATGGAACACTATTCCTAATATCTGCCTGGAGCTCCCCATCTTGGCTTGTGTCTCTCAACAACATTGATTGTGGATTGTATGAAGATGAGTTGTTCTGCTGCAAATGGACATCATTCTGAGAAACACAAACTGAAGTTGTAGAAGAAGACGTATCCAAATAATCTGCCTGGGCAGTTGCACCATTTAGGTACGTTTGTGGAGGAAAGAATCCTTGGCTTTGATTCTTGGCAATGTTCAATGAGGGCTTAACATCAGATTTCTGTTGCAAATCTTTAACCAAGTTAGCACTGCATGACATTGTTTCTAAGGCATTGGGACTTAGGAGTGTTGCAGCAGACTGAGCCGCGTCATCTCCCAAAACTGTGTTTTGATGCACCCGACTGTTCATTGGTTGAACCAAATTCGCACAATTGTTTGTGGAAGGTGAAGTTGAACAAGATGGGACCTCCTCAGTAATTCCAGACAGACCTGCTCCTGCAGCTGAAGTTAATATAATATTACCAGCAATAGAGAGATGATTGGCAACTGAGTGATTGACAACTGAGCTTGTGGTAAGGCCCATATGTCCAGGCATTTCAGACAGTGTGCCAGGCTGCTGTTGTTGGAATTTCAGCTGCTGTGGCATATGTGAGAGCCGGGCATTAGTCTGGTTGCCATTCTTTGTCATCTGCTGTTGAATAATATTTGACTGAGGAAGCGAGGCAGGAGTTGTTTGAGGCATTTCTAATAGTTGATTGGCTGGCATGGACCTTGCAAAGCTCTTGGATGCCTCTAAAAACTGCCTTTGTGGATCCTGAAGCTGTGAAAATTGACTAGGTTGTTGCAATACAGACTGCTGCGACAAAAGCGATTGCTGTTGCTGTTGAAGCTTCTGCAACAGCTGAAGCTGAATCTGATTGTCAGGCATTTGTAAATGTTGGGTTACTTGATCAGGCAACTGAGTTTGCAATAAACTTTGCTGTTGGTTCTGTCCCATAATATGCTGCTGTTGATTCTGCTGCTGTTGCTGCAGGTTCTGAGAAATGTTTCTAGGAAGCTGATGGCTTTGAAGAGATGGCTGTTGCTGAAGAATGTTAGTGTTTTGGGCTAGAGTTTGTGGCTGCAGATTTTGGGGTTGAACTTGACTTGACGGTATGGTTTGAGTTACCAAATTTTGCCTCGGTTGTTGAGTGATGTCACCTAACTGGTGCTGTGACTGAATGATGGAACCTAGTGGATTTAGTGAGGATTGCAGCTTTGGAAGCTGATCAAGCTGCTGTGCTTGCTGGGGCAGCCGCTGGGCATTGAACTGTAAGTTGTTTGGCTGAGGCAATTGTTGTGCTGACAAGCCTAACTGACGGGAAAGATCAGCCCCAGGAAGGTTCTGCAGAACAGATCCCGACAAGGATTGCATGTAATTGGGCTGCAGTGAATTAGCAAGGGAAGGGTTTTGCTGCATGTTCATCCACTGGACTAAGCTCAGGCCAGGTAGAGAATGGGGATCTTTCATGTACATATCATCACCAAGCCAAGGCATGGTCTTCTTAAATAAGTTGTCTAAATCGGCAGAATCACCTTCTACAAAATTTAATAGAAGAAGTAAATCAGAACTACAACAAAAACTTGAAACATTGAAAGCTCATGACAAAGCTTAAAATTTGCCTTTGAGGTTGTACAAGTCAGGAAACAATCAGAAGCATCTCCAAGATTTTAATCATCAGAAGCTCCTGTGGTACCAGCAGACATGGGCAAACCTTGAGGGTCAAACTTTGACACACAAGAAAGACAGAGAGAATCTACCACATATGTCTGTCCCACAGCTTTATTGTATTGTTAGCTTAATTGAAAATTGAATTAGTTGTTGTGTCCATCAGTATCCAGGACAACACCTTTGAAGGCCCAACACATGGAAAGGTAACACAAGGAAACAAGCAACACAAACGAATGCCCAGCAATATACCTAAGCAAAATACTCCTAATCCTAGGCTAAGCAAGGAATCATAATAAAACATAACATCAAATAAATGTTTGAGAAAAAACCCAACCCTATGAGGTAAAATTTTAGAATAACAAAAGTTTGCCACGTCTTGTCTTGTACCTGGCATTCCAGGTTGCCTGGGACGCTTAGATCTAAAGAATGGAGGTGGGCATATGAAAAATGGAGCAGTCACGGGTTCAATCTCCCAGATTGAGACTCGATTGCGCCTTTCACCAGCAGTTGACTCATCCCATCCAACCTATGAAAGAGCACGGAGATATACAATGATTATCCACATTTTTATTTTGTCATTCTGGCATAACTGGAGCACCAAAAAGTGGTACAATTTCTACCTGCAAGTTACGCCATTGTGAGTTCTTCCATCTTACAGGATCAAGATCACTAATGCCAGTAATTGTACCCATATACCTGCAGAAGAGATCCCTTCTTAAATTAGAAAGAAGTATATATGAAACATAATAAAAAATTTTAAAAAAGAAATCTAGATCAATTTCTCTTCATCAAACAAGAATTAGGAGTTACGCCTCTAGCTAGTCAACATGAAAAAGATACCAAACAAAAAATTTATTTATCTTTCTTTCCAAATTTTACTTCTCCAAATACCAGGACTCCACTTAAATTTTCCTGTCTGTACCCAAGACATAATGCTTAAAATTGGTAACACCAGAACAATTATCAATGTTCATGGGTTAGAAAGAACTCAAATATTATTACCTTCTTGTTCCTGACTCTTCAGTTTCAAACATCATCCGAAAGCGCATGCCTAGTGATATTTGATTACTGCACACCGCCTTGTAATACTTGGCCAACGGGATGACAAATTCTGATGGACTAGCCCTGCACAAACGTTCATCCAGTGTAAAGTATATCTGATGTACCCATGAACAGTTACTATCAATTCAATTGGGGTGGGTGGGGTGGGGGCCAGCATACTATAATGTAGAAACTGAAGTTGAAAACCTTGGATTATAAAACACAGTAAAGGGGCTGTTATTTGCTGCTGCATGGGCTGCAGCAGCTAGGATCCCAATGTGCATGCTGTCACTTGACAAAACTGATGATGATAAATTAGTAGTTTGTCTATTTGCTCGCCTGATGCCCAAGAGAAGTTGCTGCTTTTCATCTCTGTTCACATAAAATGTCACAAGGTTGATTAAAATAGCTTTTTTTTTCCATAAGAAAGTTAGCTAAACTTTAAAAGTACAACATTGCTCAACATGTAAATGAAAAAAACTAAAAAATCAGTAAAAATCAGCCGTCTGATATCAAAGCAAAGGAATCAAAATTCTTGATCATTACCTGATAAATAAAACCGAGTCGCCAGCAAATAACCTCTTTCCACTAACAAACAGACTCCATCCTGTCGTAAGCAAGTGACGCTTCGGTTGTCCTGAGATGAGACCAGGAATTTGCATGAAATGACAATTATTATAAGCAAGCTAAAACTTATAGGTAAAAATCCCTCATGGTTTCAACTATTTAAACTCCATGGCTGCTAAATTAACATACCACGATATATATGACGGAAGGTCCAGACATTATCATGCAAATCCCTGGCTACAATTTCTTGAGCAGGTGGTTGCATAGAGAAATCCTATAAGAAACAAATGTTAAAAATGCCATTCATATGATCTCCCATTAATATAAAACATTTCTATTAAGAATGCCATTTCATGGAACACCTTTCTGTTGTTAGTATAGCAAAAGTTTCCAAAATTAAGGAAAAACAACTTACAAGAGGAGGAAAAATCTTTTCGGCTGCACGTCGAGGCACAGAAAAACCTCCATGAGTACTCGTGTCACTTGCAGTTAATGTTTTACAGAAAAACTCTGTCTGCGGTTTATTTGACTTCAGTGCAAGATCTGATCTCAGCAAAGCATCTTTGTCAAACTGCATAGAAGTTGTTGATAGATTCAGTAGGAGTTGGCAAATGAAAACATGCTGACATCATTTACAATTTTTTAGACATTGCATCGAAATATTTAATTGCCATTTTGTTTCTATTTGTTTTCCTTGATTTGATGGAACACCTAATACCAAGCATATTCTATCAGTTACTTCATATAAAATCCTCACAGAAGGAACAGGTTGGAGAGTCATCTGAGCATAAACTTCATCTGTTTCTGGGTCCGCCTACAAAAAATATGAGATAGTTAAGTCAACAGATAAGGAAAATTACCAAAATGTGATAGGATTTTGAGGAAGGAAATTTTAAAGTAGAGAAAGTGGGTATTGTACATGCAATGTCACATTGTGAAGCAGACACAATAGCTTTGAAGGAAGATTTGGATAGTTTGGGATTTGAGCATCTATATCCTTCTTCATTGACACTGCAACCTGAAATGAAACCAGCAGTTTCACTCTCAAGTAAGGATATGAACTTTCTTCTGGAGAACAAATACTGAAGCACAGATGATTTTTTTTTCATACATAAAAAACCTCTTTTTCTTTTAATAAGTAAACTAAGTACCATCAACAAAAGATCATATAAGGCTACAAACATATGCTTGAAGACTCTACAAAATGCCATCATAATCTCAAAACTTCTTAAATGTACAAGACAGTAACATGAACACAATTACTCTTTTGTAATATGAGAAATATGAAGATCAATTTTCAAATTTTCAAAATTTATGTAGTTAACATGAATTAATATAACAAACCAATAACATTACAATTTTACAATTACTTGCTAAAAAAGACTACCTTGGACCCATAAGTTGACTTCATAAACACAGGAAAATAAAAATGTATTTAGTAGCTCGTTAATTACTCAAAATGCCCAAGCAAACGAACATACCCATGGAAATAATTCCATTAATATCCCAGACCTACATTATAAATCAACCGACAAAATCTGAGTTCTGCAGGGTGAAAAAAGGTAACTAGCCACCAAAAAAACTTAACTGAAAAATCTTCCAAAATTGATCTGCCTTTTCTTCCCTTATAATCCCAGGCTATTTCATTAAACCCCCAACAACTTCAGATAAAACCTAACATTAAAAATTACAAATAAAAGAGAGAGGGATAGACTATACAGTAGGTTAAGAAAATACACCGATGGGGCGCATAATAGCGGGGACACTGACCTGTTCGCTATGACCTTGAGGGAAATAAACCACAAGCGTCCCAGCCGCCGGCAAGCTGACCAGAGGCCCAGCGCATGCTTGCCATAGCTCTGGGTTTATGCTCTTCTTCTCTCCTCCTCCTCCTGCATCGCCACGTGTTAACCTCCCATTAGTCAATAACCTTTCCATCATTTTTATAACTTTTATTTCTTTTATTTTTTTTTCTTTGTAATCTCTGCTCCTCCCTTGTTTGTTTCCAGAGAAAAACACGACAGAAAAGAAAAGAAAATATTGTAATCTTAGATTGCCAGATTTCAATAAATTTCCCCCTTTCTACTCGTAGATTTTCAATTTTCTTAGTTCTCAAAGAAATAAAGAACAACCAATAATAAATATATACACATAAAAGACAAATCCACCGGTTCTTCCTATGTTGTTCTTCTCCTTAAAGATAAACAGATACAGACATATATAAGAAAAAAATAATAATTGTGACCTTCAGCTGGATTTAAAGCGGCGGCGGATGCTGCTCCTGCACCGTTTGCCGGCGACTTCATTGCTTCCTCCGGCAAAGCTAACTAACTAAAAAGGAAAGTTTGATCCAGTAGTTGTCACTTGCTCATAGTATGCCTTTTATTTTTTAATAACTCAAAAAGGCTAGAACCAGAAAGCGGTTAAGATTTTCTTAACTTAGTTAGATCAGCTTAAAAGTAGAAAAGGAAGCTCATCAATGAAAAGAAAAATAAAAAAAAAGTCAACAACTGAATTAGTTCCGGCGAGAAATTCCGACGAGGTTGCCGGGAAATGGGAAAGATAAAAAGTAGTCGCCGGAGAAAGAACCGACAAAGACATAGAAGCAAAGACCAAATGCCGAAGCTTTGCCCCCTCTCTTCCCCTACATTACCCAGACAATTTTCTTTCTCTCTCTTCTTCTCCTTCAACCAATGTTTTTAGTTTTTTTTTTTTTTTTTTTTTTTTTCTTCTTCTCCTGTCAACCCACATGTTTTTAGTTTTTTTTTTTTTTTTTTTTTCTTTTGGGTTTCTCCTAATCTAATCTCTAAGTGATATTGTATTGAGGTCGTCTCTTCCATTGTCTTTCTCCCTTATATCAAAATGAGCATGAGCTAAAAGTAGCCATCGTTTTTTTTTTTTTTTTTTTTTTCTTTTTGGGTTTTCTCTTTCTATCTCTAAGTAATTGTATTAGTCGTCTTTCATGTCTTTCTCCTTCAAAATGACATTGACTAAAGTAGCATCTGGGTTGAGTGAGGTTTGTTTATTGTCCAAACCATGGTTCATTCATTTTTGTTATTATAATTATTTGCATATTTCGCTAAAACAATATTCTAATAATCTATATTAGACATTTTTCTCAAAAAAAAAATCTATATTAGACATTAATAGTCTATTATTGAGACCTTTTAAGATTATAATATCATTGATGATTTTTTAAAATTTTATATTTATTCACTCTCTTCTAATTTTTATTTTAAATATTTTTCTCACCTTCCAACCAAAATTTACCTAAATTGTATGCATTCTACTGAAATTGAAGCATTGCCAAATAGTAAAAGAAAATTACTACTTTCTAACTAGAAATAAATTATTACAACATGATTAATTCTTTATTAATATCATAAAAGAAATAGAGAACATCTCATTACTATTCACCCCTTAGGAATTAGGGACTCTACGTTCTTGCTTAGGTTTATAAGGCTTGACTGTGATACCAAATCCATAACATCTCAACCTAATAAGGTTTTTTTTGCTTTGGGCCTATCCCACATGGATTTATTTTTAGACTAGAACCATATTATAGTCCAAAATACGTCTTATTAATCTAAAACTTGTCATTTTCTATATATCACTTTCATCTTGTATTTAGCCGATTTTATTTAGGGTGTCAAAAATTCGGTCTCTCTTGTTTAATAATACATTGATTAGTGATTTAAAAAAAAAAAATAGATGATGGTTAGTCATTAATATTTAGCCATGTTAAATTAAGTCAAGTGATTGATGAATCTATGGCAGATGCTTATTATTAGTTTATTTCTCTTCCATCCTTCTTTTATCTAGTTTTTTTGAGTTACTCAATATTTTGTCCGTTTCACTCAAACTGTTGGTTAATTTTTAAAATTTTCTCATTTCATTTTAATTTTTAAGTGTCATTTTTTTGAATTCAAGAAAAATTTTATTGCATTTTTACTTTTTCACCTTTATTTATTAATCTTACTAATATCTAAGGCTAGGATTCGGGAAAGGTAAAAGAGTATTTTTGATGTAATTCAAACTGGAAATTTTAGAGAATTAAGATAAATTAATCATTTTCTTTTGTTTTTCGAAAAGCTGAAAATTAACGTTTTGAATAGAACAAAATGAGTAGCAATTATAATTTGGAAGTGGATGGCAATATTTATCATTCTATTCCTAAGTGTCATTTTAGAGAGAACATACGCCGTAAAATTTCACTATTTAGTTTTTTTTTTTTTATTTAGACTACGTTTATTTTCGAAAAATAACTTACATTTGAAAAATATTTTCCAAATGATTTATTTTCCGTTATTTGGTTGCAATTTGAAAATTAGTTAAAAATATTAAAAATTTTAACTCATAATACCATAAAAATAAAAATATAAATATTATAAATCTTGTATTTAAAAATTTTTATTGTTAAATATGAGAATTTGAACATATTAGTTACAAAATTATTACAACAAATTTATATACTCGATAAATACCGATAAAATAAAAAATTATCTAAATATTCAAAATCTTGTATGGTTAAAAATTTTTTATTGCTTAAATATGAGGAATACATGCAAAGAAAAAAAACAAAAGATACAATTGGAAAGTCGGATGGGCCGGCGGTGGTGGTTTGAAACCGGGGAGGGGTGTATAGTGGCTACCAATAATTAACTAAATTAAACCAACAAATATAGATTATAAGGTTAATAATAAGTCTTGCTAAAATTCCAAAAAATATCTTTACACTATGGCTGTGACTAACGGAATAGCAAAAAACCTATGCACTACATTCTGCATTCCCCCTAAAAATGACTTAATTTCCTTTGACCAGACATAAAATATTTTCTTCTAATTTGACTTGTTTTTCTTGTTACACGAAGCTCATCGCTAAAATCAACAAAAAAATATAAAAACGCTCTTTACTATAAGAATATAGAATCGTCTACAATGAAAACGGCGACGACTCGAAGAACAAGAAGAAGTCAGCACATACTAAAAAAAACAACATAAATCCAACTTTCACACAATTACAAACGTTATAAACTATAAATCAAGCAGACCAAAGCTCTAAAGCATCTCATGAATTTTTCTAAAAAATAATTAACTCGAACAAAGTACAAAAAACAAATAATAAAAAAATCACATCAGATAAACAAAAGACAATAGTATAGCACACACATATGCAAACTAAATAACAAAATAAGTACGAAAAAAAACGTCTAAAATAAAGAAAGAACAAAAAAAAAAAACTAAATCAATTAATAACAAAAGTAAAAAATACAAATAAAAAACAATATTAAAAAACAAATGAAAAAAATTGATAAAACATTATAACAATTATAATAAAAAAAGAAAAAAAACAAATAAAAATAATATAAAAAAAAAAAAAAACAAAAAAAAACCCTAAACAAAGAAAAAATAAAAAAACAAAAATAAAACACACAACCAATAACAGTTAAAAAAAAAAAAAAAAATTAACTCATAATACCATAAAAATAAAAATATAAATATTATAAATCTTGTATTTAAAAATTTTTATTGTTAAATATGAGAATAATGCAAAAAAAAAAAAAAGATAAATTGTGAAAGTCGATGGCCGGCGGTGGTGTTAAACGGTGAGTGGTGATAGTGGCTACCAATAATTAATAAATTAACAAAATATAGATTATAAGGTTATAATAAGTTTGCTAAAATTCAAAAAATATTTTACACTATTGAAAATAGAAAATCATTTTCCTTAAAAATGACTTAATTTTCCTTTGACCAGAAAAATATTCTTCATTGACTTGTTTTTCTGAACGCATCTAAATAATAGAAAATTATAAAAAATATTTTTATGCAAATTATTCTACGGAAACAAATAAAGCCTTAACATTGAGTCATCGCATTTACCAATATATTTACCATACAAAATGAATGAAATTATAATTATGATAAAATTTACCGAGAGATAAATAGTTAGTTATCCATTTTTTATTTTTATTTGCACACGTGTGTTGTTAGTATATTGGATTAAATCTAATTCTAGTTACCCGCTCCAAGCCTATAAGGGACGCCGACCAACTTTGTTGGGGCAATTAAAACTCAAGGATTCCATTGGCATTTTGCTTTGACCATCACTATCACACTCCACTGAATGCTTTTTAGGTGCACATGATCAAAACCTACCTTATTTATTTATTTATTAAATCGACAAAACATATCATGTTCAATTCCTCGATAAAATAAAATAAGTAAATTATTACTTAGTTAATGCATTATTGTGTATTTTATTAAGTGTGATTTCTATTTTTAAAAGTTAATTTAATTATATAGTTCTGTTGCTAATTTTTAATTTTAAATTACGTAAAATGTCAATTTTACCCTATTATCGAATTCAAATTAAGACCTTGTTTAATAATTCATAAAAATCATTCTCATGAACCTTGAACTCATTTGTGCAAAATGGCGTAAGACAAGCTACATGGGCAATATGGATTTAATTGTAATTTCTTTTAAATGGTTAACATTAGACTATAAATTTTTCTACTTGGACACCAAAATAATAAAAATAAAAAATTCCACCAATGGCATAATTATCTTACTCATAATAAGGCTAGCTTGTCACCCTCTTTTAATTTTTTTTTTTTTTTGAATATACACATATATTTGTCTAAATTGATTCATTAAATTAAATTCATTTTGTTTTTCACTACTCATTTTTTTAAAAATAAATTTATAAATCCGACACTATATATACAAACATGTAAATCAATTTATAAAATCTGAATTCATGGTCAAATTTAGTTATTAATCATAAAAATGATACTGTTAAGTATTAGGCATTATTGATGTTCAATTAATTGAACTACAGGCTTGGCTGGGCTGGCTAGCCTACTCCATATGTTATACTCACACGTGAGGATAACTGGAAAAGCATACAAATCACAGGTGTCCTTCCACTCTTTCATATTTGACAAACATAAAATAAATATAAATTTTACTTGGATAATCCTCAACTATTCAATTCTTACTAATAGCATTTCCTAATTTCAAAAAAAATATACTACTACCACATTTGCATGTGCGGTGTAGACTGTTAGGTGGGGCCCAGACGCCGACATGATTTGCCTCGTCAGCATCCTAGTGGTAGGATAGGATGAGAGGCCTTTAATTAATGGGATTTGTTATTTTTAATTTGATCTTAAATGGTTGCCCGTACAGCAAACACATGAGGCCATATGCGGCCCTTCATAAATAATAGTAATAAACTGAAATAATTTCAAAGCATTATACAATTTGCTTTAAAAAATCGTAATCATCACTCTAATTTTACAGCAAATAATAAAAAATTTAATTTCTTTTACCGAAAAATAAAATAATAATTTTAATTAGCTAAAAGTGTAAAAAAATATTTAGTCTGAATCATTTAGAAAGTAAGGAGTTGAAATAACATTACACAAATTTGTGTTTGTGCAATAATTACACTGCTTTTTTGAAGACAATGCAATTCCACTCTTGTTAACCAATAATTTGTGTTTTTGTCCTTATTTCATAAAGCATTCACGATGTCATATCAATCAATATTACGATACACTTGGTAAATTATTCGTCGGCCGGTTGCAAAAATGTGGACGACAATCATCCGCCCGTTGCAACTTTATTTTATATATATTTTAATATTGAAACAAGTGATTCAAACTTGGATCTCTTATCAAATTATTTATACATACACTTACACTGAACTATGCACAAACTTTATACCTTTAATTTGCCTATTTCATTGTCTATTATACATTTTTATTCGTATAATGCATAGCAATTGATATGAGTATGACGTGCTCGAACAACACTAAAATTTTAAGAAGGTAGTTTAGTTTTTGAAATCACGTGAATCTATGATTTATTTAGAGATATAGTATTTGCCTTTGCTTTCTGAGTACATTTTTTCTCTGTATATATCTTGGACAAATTATATTTTTATTTGAATGAAAAATCAGGGGGATTAATGTATTTAATTAAAAAAAATATCGTCCGTTAATTTTGATCAAAATTCTTTTACTATTTTTCATAGTTCATTTAAATTATTATCATGTTATACCATATACATAATACTATTTGAACTTTTAAATGACAAATAATTCAATTTAATTTTTGAATAGAAATTATTTTCCATTGCTTAGTAATTAAACCAAATTTTATGTTAGTTTGATAAATTCATGAAAATCTATTAGCACAAATTATGTATACACAATACAAAGGTGAAACTATAGTTTTTTTTTTACAGAAAAATTTAGTAATAAATTTCGGAACATATCAACATTTAAATTTCTATACAAATAAATTGCTTAATTAATGTCTTGTTTAATATGTAAATTATTCTAGGCCATACTCAAAAAAAAAAAAAAAAAAAAAAAAAAAAAAAAAAAATTTACTTTAAAAAAAAATACTCGTTCCGTTAATTTTGAAATTCATCCTTTTATACTCTCGCGCTTTGTAGCCTAGCTTCGTATTTAAAATTCTTTCATTCTTCGTTGCTTTCGCTCTCTTCCTCCTTCCTCTCTCCTTCTCCTGTATTACCAGGCGTGGATACGATAATGTAGCTTTATTTAACTTTAATGACTAAAATATTGCTATTAGGTATGATTGATTGATATGATAGAGAATATTTTCCATTTATCTTATATGTAATTAAACCTAAATATTTTTATGTGTGTGAGTTTGATGAAATTCATGTGAAAATCGGTTGATTAGCACAAATTAGTAGTTATCCCATGATGACAAAGTGAAACGTGATGTGATGGTGTTTTACAGAAATTTATGTATTATAATGTCGGTAACATATCTAACATTTTAATTCAACCTAAATTAAATTGCTAACTTAAATGTCTGTATATATGGTGAGAGCACTCAGGCGCGAGTAGACGTCAACATAAAAAAATAATCAATATATAAGTATAGTATATAAATATAGTAATATAAAATTGATATGTAGCCACCTATAAACAAATTAATTTAAACTTTGCAAAACCACCTAAAATTCATTCATTTATTTGATATTATCCTTTATGCTTAATTCCATTTCAGTATTTAAAAATTAAAATAATATCAAATCTTTAAGTGATTTAATTTATCTTTCTTGAAAAAACTGCCTCAAACCGAAAAACCGAAACCTCGCCATTAAAGTTTCAATTTAAATTTTTTAATGGCTTTAGCCTTAATTATTATTGCTTTTTTTCAATGATAGGATTAGTTTTAGCTCACATGTATAATGGTTTTTTTTTTCTCTCTTCCCAAAAATGTCATTAACTGCTCGTTTTGATTAATTAGCTTTGATTCCCCAAACCAAACCGACTATACAGCAATGTATCCAAAAAAAAAAAAAAAAAAAAAAAAAAAAAAAAAAAAGCACAAACAAATTAATTTAAAACTTTGCAAAACCACCTAAAATCATTCATTTATTTTATATTATCCTTTATGTTAATCCATTTTTCATATTTAAAAATTAAAATAATATCAATCTTTAAGATTAATTTATCTTCTTTGAAACTGCCTCAAACCGAAAACCGAACCGCCATTAAAGTTTCAATTTAAATTTTTTAATGGTTTAGCTTAATTATAATTTTTTTCAAAATGGATTAGTTTAGCTCAATTATAATTTTTTTTTTTCAAAATGTCATTTAACTGCTGTTTGATAATTACTTTGATCCAAACCAAACCGACATACAGATATCCGGTACTGTTGTTTAAAACATAATTACTGTTTTATCTTTCATTTAATAGATTAAATAGATAAATAAAATAATTTTTATATTTATTACAAATAATAAAATAAAAATTTCATTTAAAATAATAAAAATATTTTATTAAATTATCTAAATTAAGTTTAATAATTACTAATATACATCAAAAACTAATTGTTGAATAATTAAGTAGTATATGATTTTATAAAATCAGAGACAAATAAGCTCTAAAAAGAAACTTTCATTCTGACAATTTATCTTACAAATTCATATAAAACCTGCTAGTTTAGCTTAAACAAACGAACTTATTCGATTGTTATTTGACCGAATAGACTCAAGGTCTAAATAAGTAGTCAATCAGACAAAACAAATAACCTCCAAGTTTTTCATGTCTCTGAAAATAATAGTTGAAGAGATTTAATTCAGGCATAAAATTAGAAGTGTTTACTAAAAAAATATGTAAATTCTAAGGGCTCTCCAGACTACAATGCATTTTCTCAGACAAAATAGGCAAATCACGAGTGCATGTTCAAATAAAGCACAAAACTCAAAAATGGACTGCATCAAAACGAGATACATTCCTCAATTAAGATCAAATTTGGACAATAATAAAAACTTTAGATGCAACCCTCAAACCTTGTTTGCACTGTCTTCTGTCTGGAGTCGAGCAAGTGATGCCTTCCAACAAACCACGGTCATCCACGAGACATACAACACATCGTGAAGAATGTGAAATAAGAATAAATTTCTTCTACTATTTCAAGATTTATTGACATAGAGGACAGGAACTAGGCCAGACATTTTGCCATCCCTTCCAGGACGCTTCTTCTTCACCTGAAACAAATTATGATCAACCAACCATTAAGCATTACTTAACAAACCACCAAATTTCTTCTTCTGGTTTTTGTACCTTGGAAATCCGATTGATAAAACAATGAAAAAATTCACTTTTTTATAGTTTTTCCTTGGTTATGGCAACATGTGATATCTCTTTTAAGACACCAAGCAAAAGAAATGAACATATTTTAATAAGAGAATTTTCTTTTACAATTGCTAAACATTCTCTATAATCAACAAATTGCAGAGGGCTATCCTCTCTGTGAATACTTACATGGAACCACCCATCAACTTCATACTCAATTTCAACCTCTTCTCCAGCTGTTAAATTCAACTGCAAGGAAATTATTTGTCAACTTCATGATTTAGATACAACTAGAATCAATTGATCGTTTATATGTTCAAAGTAATAATACAACAGATAATCATGCTGAAATGACAGAAGATCCAACATTTTTTGGAATTATGAATCCGCACAATAATTTCAAAGACCAGACAAAAGCAACTAGGAGTTGACTTACCTCATCATCTCCTCCTGCAGTGAAGTCATAGAGTGCTGTTCCCGATTGTGGATTTCCGGAAGGTCGTTCTTCATCCTGAGAATCAAAGCTCTGGGAGTCCCGGCCAGGGTTCTCAAATGACTCGTATCTTTGCATGACAGATGATGCATATGATGGAGGTTCTTCTCTAATCTGAGTAATAATAATAATAATAATAATAATGATAATAATAATAATAATAAAATTAGAATTTATTAGTAATGTAAAATGAGAGGCTGAGCCCTTACCGGAGAACCTGCTCCCTCATAAATTGAGGAGGAACCACTATACCTTTTTCCTGTTGACCTCTCCTATATAAGAAAATTGATGTATGTCAACATGTCCCAAGACAAACAATTGAAGTGTGAACATAAGCACAGACAAACTCAAGCAGACAACGCCATGTGATTATGGAAGACTGAGACATTATTTCAATATTAAGGCTCCGTTTGTTTCTGTAAAATAATTTGCAGAAAAATATTTTTCACAATTTTCTATTGTTTGGAGCGTTCAGGAAAATAAATCAAAGGAAAATATTTTACCTGTCAAGAGAAAATTAAGTCATTTTTAAGGAAAATAACTTCCCATTTTCAAGAGCGTAAAACATTTTTCGGATTTTGACAAATTTATTTTGACCTTATAAATACATATATTTTTTTTAATTTATTAATCATCGGTAGCCACTACCACTACTTATCGTTCACCACCACCGACTACCACTATCGGCTACCAACACTAGTTATCGGTGACTTTCATAATTTACCATTTTTTTGCATTATTCTCATATCTAACAATAAAATTATTATTATTATTATGGTTTTATGAGCTAAAAATTTTAATATTTTTAATTAATTTTCAATATTGCAACCAAACAACGAAAAATAAGTCATTTGAAAAATATTTAGGTAAATTATTTTTCGGAAACAAATGGAGCCTAAGGCTCACTTTGTTTCTCAAAAAATATCTCGACTCTAGAAATATTTGTTTTCCAAAAAACTTTTTGCAACAGAAATGCTAAAGCTAAGATTATCAGTTGCTCTAACCATATAAAAACTGCTTTGGCAATATCAACACCCAGAAAATATCTAGGTCTTGTTTATTCTAGGAGCAAAAATTTGAAAGTTAGGCTTCCAAGGAAATACAGCTAAGGAACAAAGAGACACTGCATTAAACTTCCCAAGTATAAATAACAAGATTAACTATGTTCTCCTTCAAACTTTATTAAGAAAACAATGTAGTAACAAAAATTTGTATTAATGTATATTGTAAACATATTTCCTTGGAAGTAGGTGAAAAAGCCACATATCTCAAGAACATAAAAGGAAGAAGTATAAGAATCACATGCCAGAAAGTGCAACCTAGCAAGTATATATCTGTAGAACTATCTACCTAAGAAGGGGAATATGCAAAATGAACGAGGCTGTGAAATAAAACCATTATGTTAAATTTTACCGAGGTTTGTGATGTTCCATAACTGGTTGGCTTTGAACTGAACAATGACGGGTAGTTCATTCCACCAAAATGGGATGATATCGACGTTTCAACTGATCCTGTTGAGTCTGGGGAAGATGACCCAGATGACCTTGCATCCTCCTGCAAATTCAATGGACTGAAGCAGTAAATAACTTTGTTTCTCCACAGCTCATTCGGCATGCATATACTATCAATCTGCAGCTGATTGGCATGCCATGCCCAATTGACAAAACAAATTGGTGAATATTTTCATACCTCTAATTCTGAAGACTCTAAAAGTGACTTGGCCCACATATCGTCATAACTAACTGAAGGTCTAGATACTATTATCTCTTCTTCAACATCTGGAGCATCAGTTCCCATACCAGCAAGAAATTCATTGACCTGCATGAACATGAAGTACATACTGACTCTCATGATAAATGAATAAAACAACCAATGGTATCATATGAAATAGGTGAAGAACCAGTTAAACAACAACAAAATAAAAATAACAGGAGAAACAAGAAGCGGAAAAAAGAAGAAACAACTGGTGAAGATAAGGAAGATACAATAGAACCATGGATATCAGAACAGAAAAGCATAAAAATATATTGACATCAACTAAAATAACTTAACCAATAGGACATATAGATACAAATACACAATATTTAATGTTCTCACTTTGTATTATCAAACTCTCTAAAATAAGTGATGGTCGAAATAATAGCTTATAGTAGACACAATTTATAGTTGTAGAAGAGAGAGAGAGCTTTTGATTCTTAATTCCTCATTTCATAATTGCACATTCTTTTCTCACTGGAAAGGTCTCTATGTTGTAAGAACCAATCTCTAAGTCGTTAAATTGGCCAAGATCCAGAAAACAATGATCTTTTCTGCTATCTATCATACTCTCTATGATTGAAAAGCAGTTTGGATCTGAAGGCACCTTGTCCTCATGAGTATTATCTTCGGCTTTTTATTTCTTTACTTACAATATTTTTGGAACCATTAGTTAAATCATTTATTTGATCCATTTTAATAGGGCATCTTCATGCATAGGCTCAATACTCAACAAAACCAAAAAAGAATAGATTAAATAACAACGACAACAAATGAGCATGGAACGACAACAATAAAAGATGACTCTAATCAAGTTAAAGCATGCAATCCATAAGTTTAAACTTTTTGGCGACACCTTAACAAACTTCACACACAAATATTGGATCTCTGATAAAAGGACCAGCCAACTGAAGATCCTATCAGTCACAAGTATGCACAATTTGAAATTAAGGGGAAAAAAAAAAATTCATGAAGAAGAGGACCTTGAGTTTGTTTGAGAAAAAAAAAAAAAATAGCAGTAACCCACTGAAATTCAATCGCTAAAATATTTGGAAATATTGTCAATAATACTCCTAGAGTCCTGACGTATATTTCTGTGCGGGACTAAATGTTTAGGATTTTAATTATTTGCTTCTGTTTTTCAGATCATCATTCAACCTAAAACTAATTAAAATTCTTACCCTGTTCATTGCAGGTGCACTATTTCCCAATAAGCCATCATCACCAAGATTTGCTGCCCAAGCATTCACCAAGTCATCATCAAGGGCATCAGGTTCGGCACGAGGTGGCTTTGATTCATATATTAGGTCTGATATTCCAGTAGAAACAGCTGGATCACTTAAACCGGTTGTTGAACTTATGTTGTGCTTTTTGCGATAGATGTCAATAAGTTTTGCACTGTCGTTAAATTTCAGAATAGAAAGATTACAAATATCAGAAACACATAATGGGTAAAAATCAAATTGAACATGAAATAAACCACATCTAAAAACTAGGAAAAACACTCATGTACAGCATTTTAAAATTAAGGATTAATGACTAAAAAAGCACGGACTTTAACTAATTGCGATTGTAGCCAATTTTTCAAAATGCATTACTATAATAGCATAAATTTCATGTCCTAGTTACAAATACATTGGTAGCCAACATAAATAATTCCATGCAGCCGCATGAGTATCAAAATGTCTCCAAGATGATTCTTTTTCACACAAGTATCATGCCTAAAAATTGATTCCTGACAATGGTCTGACTGGTAAAACAATACTTACCTAATGATATGGCTTTTCAATCTGGTAGATACTGAGGTCGCAATTTTTATTTAATAGAATTGATATAAACCTCAAGCCTTATGGAGTGATATTGCATTGAAAAATATTATATATATATATATATAATATATAGTTAGTGACCACATTATCATCTAGAAATGTATTTTTGGATTTGGTCAGATTTGTAAATAACAAAAGCATAGAGTAAAATTGCAAATTTAGTAATAGTGCTTTTACTTTTCTCCTTGGTTCGGAATCCCAAACTTAATTTTTTAAGAAATGTTATTAGAAAGCTTCCAGTTCAAAAGTTCAAAATTTTAAACAGTTCGCTACAAGATAACCTTGAAATGGAATGGTAAACATAACATTTTTGTGATTGACTAACTAATGCATATGAAATTATCACCTTGTAGAATAAAATTTTCTGTAAGGTTCAAGTCTATTATTTTGCAACAAAAAAAAAAAAAAAAAAAAAAAAAAAAAAAAACCAAAAAAAAAATGATAAGCATGTAATAAATAAGGGAAAAAAGAGAAAACAAAAGTGAAGTTACAGAAAATATGGGGAAATTTTCATAGGAGAATTATTTTCTCTCTTTCCTTATTTGCCCGGAAGAAATAAAAAGAAATGGGAAGGGAAAAGGGAAGGAGAGTTGATCAAAAAAAAAAAAAAAAAAAAAATGATAACATGTAATAAAATAAGGAAAAAGAAAAACAAAAGTGAAGTTACAGAAAATATGGGGAAATTTTCATAGGAGAATTATTTTCTCTCTTCCTTATTTGCCGGGAAGAAATAAAAAGAAATGAAGGGAAAAGAAGGAAGTTGTCTGACATTGTTTATGAAAGCGAATACAATGGTCAAAAAAGTTATGTATTGTATATTTATTCCATCACTTACCTATCATAAAGCAATTTCTCTCATAAAGTTGAATTCTCAACATCAAATAATCAATTTTACATTTAATGGTGCATTTTTTATATCTCTCTGTCCATATTGATAGATTGAAAAATGATGAACAGAAGAAAAAGCTCTATGGTTATTCTCATCTCTCTTTTCTCTCCCATTTTCTTTTCCCAAAAATTCTTCCACCATTTTCCACTCTCCAAAATAGAGTTGAAGTAATAATAAGATCACATGATCTAATTCCAGAATTATCCTTCAATTCACTAACATAGGTTCACATCTTTTTAACCAAAACAGACATCATTAACTCCAAAAAGCCAAAAGATAAAATGACATGTAAGCAAATTCTACCTTATTGGTCCCAGCGGTAAATACTTTGCTCGAGGAACATAACAGAACAGTGAAACAAGGTCTAGCAACCTCTCATGGGTTTCATAAAGTTTCTTCAGCTCTTCATCAGTCCATTCTTTATTTGTATTATCATGGTGGCGTATATCCCTACAGAAGTGAAAATTTCAATAAAGACCTATTAAAAGAATAAAGTAATAAAGGAAAAGGCTATAGCTCTTACTTAATCAATTCATCTTGAGCTCTGTACATTTCATCAAGAACCTTTATCATGGGACTAATTAGGACTCCAAGGCCTGTTCCACTGGCTCCTTGATCTTCCCCATTACTCAGATGGATTTCTGATAATTGAGACTGCATGCCACCATGTGCTAACGCGTTTAAGAATTCATAAATCTGTAGCCTAAATGGCTCCCCAGATCTGATGGCCATGGTTGTAAGGGCTTGAGCAGCAACAATGCGAATCTGTAGAGCTCAAAGATCAGAGCAAATAAAGTATATGAAGGATTAAAAGCAAACATACAGCCAGTATTCCTTTCAACTCATCTAAGCATATAAACATTGTTCAAGCTTCAAGGACACTATAAACATGAGAACTCATTTGTAAATGAATTCCAATAACTGAATTCTACTTGGAATTCATTTATATATGAATCCTCATTTCCAATTTATTAGTTCTGAACAGACTATAAAAATTGAACTATAAAGCCTAGAGAAGCTAGAATACTAATCCTCTCATCATCATACAATGCGCATGGGCATTACAACTAACTTTGGACACCTATGTATATTTATAATTCAATTGAATTTCACGTTTAAGTTATAGCTTCCAAACATGAGAATTCATTTGTAAATGAATTCCAACAACTGAATTACTTGGAATTCATTTATAAATAAATCCTAAATTTCTAATTCATTTGACAGACTGTAAATAAGATGGTGTGCTTGGGCATTATAGTTAACTTTGGACATCTATGTAAATGCCCCTACAGTCCTACATATTAGTTATTGACTTAACATTACCCTAAATATGCCAGAAATCATTTATTCACAAGGACTTCGAGGGCTTTTTAAATTCTATTTTATCATGTCAAAATCTAATTTTATCAAACTAACACGTAAGTTTGTGAATTCATTCAACTGTATCCAAGGATATGAGGCATGTGTCCAGGGTAATATTGACGGCAAAAGTGGACATAACTTGCAAATGTAGAAAAGGCAGAAAACTCTTGAGTCTTAAAAAACACCAAATAAAATATTTGCAAAATTTTCCTCCCTCCTGAAACAAAATATTCATATTTTGGAAAAGTGTTGCAATTTGATTGCTTTTTGACGGTAAGGCGGGATTCATTCCCTCTAAGATAGCAAGTGGTTTAAATACCAATACATCTGCAATCTCCAAACAGACAATCATTTTATTTCATCACCATTCCAAGTACAAGAAGCACACTTCTAAAAGAATGACCACTAGGTAAAACTTATACCTCCCAGCTGCCGCTAAAAGCACACCTTTGTAGTCGAGTCAAAGCACCAGCTAAAGTAGGGTTACGAGAGCTGGCAGCAGCAACCATTTTATCTGCATCTAGCATCATCAATGCAGTACCAGGAGGAGTTGCAGATTCCCATGCATATTCAGAAGCAGCATAATTTGCATTTTCTCCAAGGAACCATACCTGTAGGCTTCAAATAAACAAATTAGAATGCAGAAGTAGTATTAAGTCAAGCCAAAAAGATCTATGCTATGCTGTTCATTATAACAACAGCAGAATGAAGCTGCTTACTGCTGCTTGGACTAATCTCTGTAATGCCAGAGCTGACTTTGGATCAGATGCAGATACCCTATCTATTGATGTGAGTCCTGACATTGACCCAGGTTGGGGTGGTGGTAGGTCAAGAACTATAGTCACTGCTTCCAAGGCTGTGTGCTTCCCATCAGGACCAGCGCCTACAAGACATGTCTGAAAATGCAATGTTAATGTTCAATTAATTAAGGATGAGCAAATTCCACTGACACAAAGAATCAACAGACAAAACCAGGTCAGTACTTGTCAACCCCAATCTGGAGCTGCTTAAGAAATTACAGTTCGAGACACAAATGAAAACAACAGCAAAATTAAGTTCATAATGCAAATGAACAAATAAAAGACAGACAGCTCAGTAGAAATCAAATTACAGTTGAGAGAAAACCTACTTTCCAAAGCAGTTGTAACACATCAGCATCAATCTTCCCGGGAACTTTGGTCGCAAAGACCCTTGCAATTTCTAGTAGAGTGACAGCCATATCAGGAGTGGCCTGACCAACCAATGAAATAAATCATAAATAATATGTGGAACAATGTAAAAGCATCAAATTAAAGGAAAAAGGCAAAAGTTGCATTAGCTTCCTAGACAATAACCTTAGAAGTAAACCAGCAAGAAACGGCATCGTAAATAAAGAACATTATACTATTAAAGACAAGTAATTTTGGCCCCAGCGCCAAGTAAACAAAAATGTCAACAGCATAACAATGCAGAACATAAAATGAAGTAAACAGCTGAAAAAAAAAAAAAAAAACTTTGCATTAGCTTCCTAGACAATACCTGTAGAAAGTAAACCCAGGCAGAACCAGGCGAATCGTAAAATAAAGAACACCTATACTAATTAAAGACAGTAAATGTTTGGCCCCCGCGGCCCAACGTAAACAAAAATGTTCAAGACGCATAACAATGCAGAACATAAAAATGAAGTAAACAGCTGAAAAAAAAAAAAAAAAAACTTTCTATCAAGAAAAAATCAATCAATCATACTTAAGTTACGCTATCGAGGCTTTGCCCAGAACAATTGGATTCTGATTTTTCCTTGTGACTCCTGTAATTTCACTACATATTTTCCCTTGCAAGAGCTGCCTTAAAGGCCAGAGATTGCATCATTCTACATTTGTTCCTCTTACTTGTGTATTATAGGCAATCCAAAAAAAAAAAAAAAAAAAAACTTTCTATCACAGAAAAAATCAATCAATCAACTTAGTTACGCTATCAGGCTTCCAAACAATGATTTGATTTTCCTTGTGATTCTGTAATTTCACTACATTTTTCCTTGCAAGAGCTCTTAAAGCCAGAGATTCATCTTCTTACATTTTGTTCCTCTTACTTGTGTATTATAGCAATCCATCTAATGTAACTCCGCCTGCCTTATTTTACACCCTTGGTATATTTGATCAAACATGACAATTTACAATCAACTACATTGACTAATCAAAATCATGATGATGATGGCAATCCAAACTGAAAATTGCTCAAGGAGAGAAACTGGGAACTTCACAAACAATATTACACTGTTCAAAAAGTTAATATCGAAGATTGACTAGGTAGAAAAAAATTAACAAGCTAATCCTGATCATGATTTTGAATTTCTTTAATGTTTTCAAATTTTAGCTATAAAGGACTTATGTTACTCATCATCTTCAATGAATGTTTATTTAGAAACTAACTTGAGAATGTAGGAGGAGAAGAAAATCAATATAACATTACAAAACTAACAAAAAGAAACAACAATTTAAAGCTATACGTCTATTCTCTAACAGCAATTTATATACCTTAAAACGAGCATGCAGTGTGAGCAAAATATCATTCAACAGTGCAGCTGGCCAAGCTGGATCAGAAAGCTCTGATGCAATTATGGATTCTAGTTCATCAAATGATTCATGTGGAACTTGCATCCAAATCAATGCCTTGATTACCATTGCTCGAACATAGACACATTCACAGGCTACAGTTGTCCGCACGACCTCCATTAACGAAGCCAACAAACTTGCAATTGTATCCTTGCCACTTGTTGCACTAGATATAGAAGAGACCCTTCGAACTCCTACAAAGAAATGAAAGGGAGGAAAGGAAATAGCACAAGGCAGAACGAATTGAGATGACGATCCAAAATGGATAATGAATGAAAATAATATTATTAGCATCCGGATGTTAATCAAATTCATCAACCCTAAAAATTTACTAAATAAAGTACAAAGAAAACATAGAAGGGTTGGAAGAAACTGGCAATGTACAGAAATATTAAAAAATTCACACTTCAGTGGATAATAAAATAGATAAGGTTGAAGGTAAAAGCAAGTATATATCTGTTGTTACTGATACATGAACAGAACTCGTATTAGGGCTTTTTTTTAATCAATTCTCGTTGAGTTTACATATAGTAATGAACTTACATGTACATATGTAGACATGAAAACAACCAGCTAAATGAGTCCCAAAATTTTGAAACCTCATGAACACCAAAATATATAATGTTTGCAAAAGCAAAAAGTAGACAGAAATGACTAATAATAAAACTTGCAAGCCAGTGAAGAAAGAAAAAAAGAACTTACATTAAACACAACATAAAAGAGAATTAATGAATTCTATAGGGCTAATTGACACACGTCACTTAATCAGCCATTTAAGATAAAATATCATATAATTTATTCCAAATAGATGCAGATTCAAATAATCAAATGATCAGGGATCTCTCTATTATGTGCTATTTAAAGAAAAAATATTACCACTTGCATAAGGATTTTCATTGAATTCTGCATCATCTACAGCCTCAGTGTATGCAGTAACATTAACTCCTTCATCAATATCTTGCAAGCCTACAGCAAAAGCAGCAGCCCTACTTTTTCCCATCTCCTGCACAACTCTTGCTGCTGCATGAAGTACTGGCCTAGAAAAACTACGGAAAGCACTCTCCAACCTGAATCAAAAACAAGAAAGGGAAGGGAAAAAGAAGAACAGAATCAAGTTCAAATAAAAGTTGAAGGCATAGATACTTTTACAACCAACAATACATCCACGAGCAAATGCCACAGTTTAACCACATTAAGCACATTGAGAAACCAAGTAAAATGACAAATACCCAAATTAAAGAGAGGCAAAAGAGAAAAGGAAAAGGAGAAAGAGTTCAATTAACCTCCTCATTACAAGTTTAATAAGAGGTTGTGGACGCCTGGTTTTTTGCGATTTATCTTTGGAAGCTTTTGATGAATCATTTGATTCAGCACCCGATCCCTTCGATGATACGGAGGGCGCTTCTGGCAATTTCAAAATCTCCCTGGTTAAGCGATACCATCCAGCAGCTCGCTCTTCAGTCCTGCAGTACTTAAATACATGATCTAGGATCCGCAAACAATCATTCAAACAGGACAATGGAGAGCAATGGAATAAGAATCGCATGCTATGCAAACAAATCTCCGACAAAAACATGGTGAAACATTTGAACAAATAAAGGGAAAAGCTTTAATTGTGGGAACATAAAATATGTTATATACCTCTCCGTGTTATCATATTTCCCCAATACACATAAGATGGCCTCGAAACAAACCCTTTCGCTAGGATCTAGCAGGAGTTGATATAGCACTGAGTTGAACTGTGATTTAATATCTGGCCTCTCTGTAGACAAGAAATTAAATCGATGTATCTTCATTCAAGGACACATGAATAACATTTGAAGGGGGGAAGACATGATATCGACTTTACCATCTAGTGCACGAGCTCTAGATATTCTATGGCATAACCTGGCCAGTGAAACTCTAGCAAGGACATCATGCAAATGGAGAACATCCTGCAGAGCCCCTGATTCATACAAAAGGCAACAAGTTACAGGCTTACTGCAGTAGCCAGGAAATGTAATAAGAAGGTTATAAGCATCAAGTAAAATTAGCAAATGCCGCCTAATTTGAACGTCAGAACTATCATTAGCACCAAAACAAGCAAAATAGCATGTTTTCAAAAAATGAAATATAACCAAACATTTTCTTTCATCATATAACCACCTAAGACCAAAATGAAATGACACCAAAAGTTTTTGAATACTATTTTGTAACATAAAACAGGAAAGCATACCTCCAGGAAGTACAAGTTTTCCTGCAATAAGATACAAGGATAGCACATCAGGCATAATAAGTGACCAAATTTTATGAATAAGACCAAAGTAAAATCAGTTCAAGAAAAAAAGATAATAAAAAAAAAAAGGGAAACCATTCCAATTGAGAATATTATAGTTTTGTGTGAGTTTACTAGAAAAATTCACCTAATGACATTGCGACTGCATAAGGATCTTTTGCTGCCAATTCAGAGATGATTTCTAAAGCATGCCTTACAGCAATAGGATCCGAGAATGAAATCCTGCAGTCAAAAATGGCAAACTAAGATGTTCAAAATATATAAAGGACTGCAAATTTAAATATAGGAGTTCCACATTGAAAGTACTTGTCTGTACCACTTAGAATTTAGCATCTAATAGTTTGTGGCTGTCTTCTTTAAAAGCCTTTAAAACCAGAGAGTAACTGAATGAAGCAAAAACCTTATATTTTATTTTAAACCATTATAGATATTTTTGTGTAGATGAAACCAGTTCAGCAAAACTTGGTTGCTGTATGCAAAACTTCATGGACGATATTGATGGTTACCATCGTTTGTTGAAGGCTGTAACACTTTTGCCGCGACAGCAGCCTAGTTGTGTGATAATTTTGGAGGGCAACTTGTATTTTGGTTTTTCTTACAGAGTTTGCTGTGTTGGCAAGTCTGTTAATGGGTTTAGGTCAAGAATAAGTTCACTTGTAAATTAGAGAAAAAATATAGATTAGCAGGTTGAGTTAGAGTCATCATAAGGCCCTTTTTTCTGGTATAAGGCTGTTTTTGTACTTATGTTAATTAATAATCTCTCATGATAAGTTCTAGAGAAATCAATGAACTAGTTCTTTGAGGGTTCATATTCCAAAACCTGTACTCATTGTACTTATGTGTGTTCTCTGTCCTATTGAGGTTCAATTTACAGAACCTGTTTTTGCGGTTAGTACTGTGTCTATGTTGTCAGTATTCTCTGCCCCACAATTTTTCTACATGTTTCATTTGAATCTCAGCAAAGCTTGGAACTAGAGGACTAAAGAAAAGATGGAGATAGAGAAGCAACGAGACTCAGTAAGCCTAAATATTGACATGGTTATCCCAACTTCAATCACTACGAAAACAGAAACAGAAGCACAGTTTTGGAAAACAAAAAAACCACATGCTGCTAATTTATCCAAATTAAAGCAGAGAAACCAGATCCTTGAGAAAAAACACACTTATCATGCATGCACAAGTGTTGGCAATTTCCAAGGATACTAAGCTACCCTTTTGGGAACTCAAACTTGCAGGTATTCAAATTCTATTTTGACAATTCTCATTTTTAGAAAGGTATAATTGACAGAATTCAGTTTTTTTAAGTATAGAACTGAAATTCTACAAAAAGTTGCATGATTTTGCAAGAATTCAATTTATTTGATGTGAAGTTTGCTAGAAAAACCCAAAATTTCTTTATTTGAACTAAATGTGTCTTTATACATAACAGTAAAGTGCAAAAAAAAAAGTATATTCATTTTTTTTTATTCCAAATGATGGAATTCAAATTAATACATATGGAATTCAAATTAATTTCATTACTCCAAAATTTATTCCAAACGCATGAATATTATCATTAGTTGAATTGAATTCTATTAATAAAATTCACTTGAATTGAATTCTTCCACATGATTTCTTTCAAAACGGACCCTAAATCAGAACTTTTACTAGCAAAAGAATCTGGAGACTGAAATAAGAGGGTAAAGGACACAATCACTTCAAGCACCAAATTTTCTCAATCAAAGGCTAAACCATGAAGCAAGGATACAGATACATCTGACGCATATGATTGAGATTCTGGATGCAACAGTTTTGACAACTCTTTAGATTAAGGTTAACAATGTGCAAAACATACCAAACAATTCAAAGTCTCACTCCTTCACCTTATCCATAACTTATGTCAATTGATTCGGGATAAAAGTCATCAGAAGCCTCTCCCTGCCCCACAACAAAACAAGTTGAAAACCCTTTGGACGCAGTTGATGCGGTTAACAGGGCTACCTTGTACCATTATATGATAGCCACTGGTCAACAGGGCTTATATATACATAACATCAAGAGAGTCCAGAGAGGATTGCTAATGCATGTTTTGCTTCCAACAAGCTCGTCAATTTGATCCTTTAAAAATTGTCGTTTCATAAACTATAAAAGACCCATACCAGGAGAGAAGCAGCGAGAGAAAGAGACAACGATAGAGAAGCCAACCTATTCTGGAGCAGGTTGATTCAGAAGATAAAAGCATCAAGTGCTTCTCTTCACAAAGTACATAATTTGTCAAAATTAAGGGAATTATGGATTACAGTACAATGAAGAATTAGTGTAAAAGGGAAATGGTATGTTAATATAATCATCTCCTTTGAGGTTTAAATTTATAACTACTAAAAAATTTTAAACTACCATCGAAGATTCAAGATCCAGAGCTAGGATTATGAGGTCAAGATTTCTTATGTTAAGTTAGCATATAGGTGTTCAATGATTTCCCTAGTTCTTTCAACTATAAAAATACCTTTTTCTTCCAATTAAACAAGGAAGTATTCTGAATTTTCAATTAGTTCTATTGAAATCTACTGCTAAGAGGATGATTGCTTGGTTCCTAAAAGGAAAATATGGTTTGCGAAGAGAGATGGAAATTTTACATGCAATAATTTTTTTTATGTTATACTTCCAAATATTCAGCTAATCTTTTTTGCTACCAGATTTCATCTTCATTGATAAATGCTAATATAGAAATCTTGTGTCTGTGCGTGTGTCTGTCCATAAGAGCTAGACCAGAATAACATACTGATATTTGCATTGTTTCAAGTAGTAAATGTGCCTTATATATTCAGTATCATAAAACTAACAAAATAATGTCAACCTAACATATGTAAGTAAGAAATGGTTTACACAAGAATAAGAGAACTTACCCCTGTACAGCACGTTGCAAAAATGCTGGGTTTCCAGGATCCAAAGGAAGCCTTCTCAATGCACTTAGCGCAGCATATTGCAAATTACTCCGTATGATAGACTGACAAAGATCAATCATTTAATTCAAAATAATACGTAAACATATGAATGGAAGCTTATTTTTAGTAAAATGAGTTTATGCCTCTTCCATCATTCAATTATATGATCCAAAATTATGTCACAAGTTTTACCAAGAGTAAACTAGGGAAAAGCGAGCAATCTAGCCCCTATAATCAACTGGCACATAATTATATAAAGTCAACAACAATCACATGTGCTACTGTGTGGTCAAAATAAGTAAAATAACAGAAAATGAGATGGAGAAGAGAGAGAAAAGGAGCTTCGTTGCTTTAGATCCTTCAAGGTGCCTTGCTTTCCTCAGTTAAGCGGTCTCATCTTTAAAGAGGCATTGCTAAAATTCAAATTTGTGAAGGGCATTACAGCTTTGTTCTTTCAGCCTCAATAGCTACAAATTTAATATGCATAAATATCGTTAGAAAACTACAAATCAGACTCTTAAGATTATCTTGTTCTTCCTTTGGGTTTGCAGCTTCTAGAATTTCCAACTTTACCCCAAGAGTGGCTGGTGTTGGGGAAACAAGGAAAAACCAAACAAAATCAATCAATATAGTTAAGTCAAGGGCAAGTTCAAAATCCTCAACTTCACAGCAACGATTATAAGATTTTGAGGATGATTTAAATGACATTGATGTGGAAGAAATTGAAGGATATTTAAACTACTGGTGATGATGATGAAAAAGTTGACTTGCATGGGAATATCTAATGACAACTTATAGGCAATTTTAGTATTTTCAGCTGTATTCATGGATTTTTCAAGCAGTTTTTTAGATTAATATTTTATGGTTTATCAACAACTTTGGATATTTTAAATGGTTAAGATTCGACCATAATATGTCAAAGAGTAGAGTTTTCATACAAAATCACATGGATGATTGTAATTGCTTGTATTAAATATTACATTAACTCCTTCAACATACAATTTATAGGTAACAATTTTAGAGAGTATGCTCGATGTTTCAATCTAGCAAGCTGTTTTTTTTTTTTCCCTTCTTCTTTGTGCTATTGGCAATGGATAGACCTATCACCTTGAATGTATCTTTCACTTTTGAATACCCATCATCACATCAACCCAAAATGAATAATTGGGAATCATTTATGATCATTTAAAGACCTTTTTGGCCATCCTTATGACATGAAACTAATATCGTGCCAAAAACTTATGTGGAGTTTCAGCATGTAACATGAAAATTTTCAATGTGTTTCAAGTTCAAATAGTGAACTTATATGCATATGACTTAATAGTTTCAATTAAGCTACAATCTACCTAAAATTATAAGTCAAATTTTGACTTAAAATTTACGTTGAACATAACCACTCATTGGGTATTAAACAACATCGCAATTTATTTTTCAGCCATTAATTTTCAATTCCACAAAACACACTTTAGTAGAGAAATAGTTCTCAACAACATTGCTAAAGACCCAACAGAATTGTATTCATTGTTCAGTGTCAAAGATCACTAAAGCAGGAGAAAGGCTACCAGTAGCTCAAAGACATGCAAAGCGATAGCATGATAAAAAACCAAACAGCATGTAACTATTTGCTGATATTTTTACCTCTTTATCACCACCTTTAGCCCCAAAAACGCCTTTCTTCCGTTTTTGAGGAGTATCAGCAACCTGAAAATTAATATAAAACTTTAAAGCATGACTTCACAGGGAATATATAGAACAAAATAACTAGGGAATTTGTAATATAAAACAACCAACCATCATATTTCAGAAAATACTAATATTAAAATTAACCATGAATTACAAAAAGTACTTGGGCAGCAATCATGCGTTGCAATAGACATTGAAAGGCCTCAAATGAAAAGTAGATATTTGTGGTGCAAGCTTAATGTCACGTTATTCAAGGAACTATGACAAACTAATGAATAGAGTTTAGCCACTTTAGTTCCTATATATAAGAACAAAAGAGATGTCCAAACTTATACAAACTACCATGACATTAAACTTATAAGCCACACAATGAACCTTGGAGAACAAGTAATAGAGAATAGACTCGGGGATATTCCAAAGGTTTCAAAAAACCAATTTTAGCTTTATGCTTGGTAGAACTACAACAGAGGCTACTTTTTCACTAAGAAGATTGATGGAAATTCATAGGGAAAGGAAGAAGGATCCATCCAGATATGGTTTTCATTTGACCTAGAGAAACATATGATAAAGTGGAGAGAAAAGTACTATGATGGGTATTCAGGGAAAAAGAGAGGTGCAATCACAAGTGTGAGAAAAGTTGGAGAGGATACAAAGGAGTTCCTCATAGCTACAGTGTTACATTAGGGATATTCGTTGAACCCATACTTGTTTACCAAGTTATGGTGAGCTAACAATAGCATGCGAGATGATATCGACATTGCTTCCATTTGATCCAAAATAATAAAGAATGCCAAAGCTTAGCATGTATGCTGATAAGCTAAAGATCAACTTAGAATTTAGGCATAATTGCTGCTTTTATGTCACCTTTAATTTCATTTCTTCCCATGTTAACTTTGTAGATAACGAACTTCTACAAGGAAAAAAATTATTATGCTAGCCCAATGGAAAATGCTAGGATAATGTATAGGAAGTAGATGATGTGTCTAGCACACTTAAACATCATCTCCAGTAGCAAAGCAATACAATTGCAGTAGATAAAATGAACGCATTGTGTAGCGAACAATAGGTGCATGTATAGACCAATGCCAATGTTGACAAGAACCTCTATTGAGATTTGACAATTTGCTACGTTCTCTCGAATATATCTTGATATTTTGGAGGGAAGATTGTTCTAGGTTTTCTATGAAAGAGCTTGTTGTTGTAGCATGTAAGTGGTATCAGGTAGAAGTTAGTTTTACTTTAAGTTACAAAGTTATTAAATCAACTAAAGTAGGTTATATGTATAGACTCCACTATACAAGAGTTAAAACAATGAATGAAATGTAAACCCTATTGAGATTCAATTCTAGAACTTCTTTGAGTTGTGATGCGTGAGTGCATTCTCTGCTCAACCATTCCAGCCAACACAAAGAATATGCAATTGGATTCCAATTGGTTACTTGGAGTAATGACAATATTGTTTTGGGTATCGAGCAAGAGTCAACTTCAGGGCAACTAATAGCAATTCAACGAAGGTTATGGGTTTTATACCACAGTTAGCTGGAATGTGGTACACTTTAGGTTCTAGTATGGGATGGGACGAAATACACCACTTAACTTAATGTGTGGTAGTATGCAATATGTCAATTATACATAATAGTACTTGGGTCAATTTTGAACTCCTTTTGAAATATTATAATATTATAATGGATTTTACCATAATCTTATTTAGCACAATAGACAAAATTGATATTAATGGGTTGAATATTAATCGAGTAATTTCACTTCCACATTAGTCAAACTTTTAAATGAAACATTGGAATAAAATTCCTCTCTATAAAAGTTAATTTATTATACTTATGAATAAACATTGACTGACAAACCAATAAGCCTTTAAGATAAAAATATTACTAATTATTCTCAATTAACATTAAATTGTCTAGATATTAGGAAAGATGTTATCTTTAAATGTTAATTAACCCCAGAAAATAGGCCAAACTATTGATATTTTTCCCGTCAACTTCCCTAGATACGTTAATCAACACTAGAATATTAGAAAGACTAGTTTTATCACTTAATATTAAACAGCCTAGATATTAAGAAGAGCCCAAACATCTCTCCTCCTCGTATCCTCCATTCTTTTTTTATTACTTAATTGTCAGTTGTCAAATTTCACAATCCAGTACATGTATCACACATTCTGAACCACAAAATTACCACAACCCGATACATGCACCCCAGATCATGGTACTTTGAAAAGGGGCAACCTAGTAGTTAACTATGCATTAGGGGAGAGCAAACAATCGGTTTGGTTCAAACCGAACCGGGCCAAGGTGAAAAGATGTAAACCAAAATTTTCAGACTTGAAACCGAACCAGTTGGTGTCTCAACTGGACCGAAGCAACTAGTTTTTGCCATATCAGTTTAGTTTTAAGCCCGACTTGGTAATTTCAGTAAAACTGAGCCGAACCAACAGTAATTTTGATTCAAATCGAACTTCCCTTGAGCAAGCTGACTAAAGTGATCCTTGCAATAACATAAGAGCTTTCAAAAGAAGGAAGTCTCTCACTTTTGCCAAACTCTTGAAGCATAACTAATATGCCAATTCCATCCCCATTCCATTACCCAAGTCAGTTGACATCACTCAACTACATTAGGTGCACAATAGATTGAACTGCAAAAGAATGATATTATCAAATATCCTTTCTTTAAAATGGGATAAAATGAAAACCACAAACAACTGGACAAGCTCTCGACTACAGGGCAGGAATTCCGATGTTGCAATTTATCACAAGCAATTTTCAATTCATCATAAGAGATCCATTACTTGCATTAGAATTTAAAATTAGAAACACTTCTAAAGATCCTAAAGCCAAATCCAAATTATTGGTCCATGGCTACATGAGATTGTTTTATCTTATTCTACACATTAGAAATTTCACATGAAGTTTCTGTTCATAAATATAAACATGGAGGGCAAAAAATAAAGCAGTTCATTCCCTCAAGGAAAGATCTTGTAATGCTAAACATTATCAAGATAGTGCCTCAAATTGAAACCAATGAGATTTTACAATACCAATGCCAACCATATTCTATTTAACTAGGCAAAACAAAAGCAGCAATCTTCCCAATGGGATTCAAACATCAGTTTCCTAGCAAGTAAAAACACAATACCATGCAGCATGCAAAATAAAATATTAACGGAAGAAATTGCAATGGGGCAAACCTTATCAAGAATAGCAAAAACAATTTCATACAATCTAGATAAAATATCAGTATTGCTTGCAGAAGCATTGGTGAGAGCCTTCAAAGCTTGCAACCTCCGAGCATGAACTGCAGGATACAAAATGACTATATGTAAAAAGCTAACCCAAACAGAATATCAGATAACTGTCTTTCCATCCTTAGAAGCCCAAACAGGCAAATAGTAGAAAAAGTTTTATATATAGCACCAAAATCCTTCAATCTCATGATATGTTTCCTCTTGCACCAAAAACAATATCAAATCCAGAAGCCTCAAGTCTTTTTCTGTGTAGCAATGCATTCTCATAGTTCAACAATCATTGCTATGAAATGGCAAATTAGTGTAATAATAAAACCAAATATACTGTCTGATGACAAATTTGTCAATTACTTCTGCCCTATCAACTATTTATGTTGACATAGTTTAACCACAAAAAGTATGATAGAAAGTTAAACTTTGTCAACCCAAACTATCAGTTCCATTGAATTTCTTAAAATGTAAATTTTAAAATGATGTGGAAGTAGATAACAAAGAATGGAAAATAAAGAATCAGCAATCACATAAGAAAAATAAAGGATCATTTTCCAAGAGGAACAGCAGAAATGTCTTCCCTAACAAATTTCAAACTGAATTTCTGTGATTTTATGAATCAACCAGATTTGATCTATAGATGCAAGCGTAGGGACCTGCAACATAGGCCCTCACAAATTCTATAGTAAATAATGGCCTTCCTTTAGCATCCTCAAGCTTAGATTGCAATGATAGTGATATAATTTTGTTCCATGAGTTAAATGAATTTTTAGTAAAAACGTGACAGCTCAAATCAAAAGTGTGTGTGCGTATACACACACACGCACATGCATTAAGGAAGAAAAAGAATAAATGCAACACCCACAACTCTGATATAAAATCTACAACTGCCTACTTGCATAGCATCATATTAGACAATATGATGACTTGATACACACGCGGGCGCGCGTACGAGCACGTGCACATGCATTAAGGAAGAAAAAGAGTAAATGCAGCATCCACAACAACTGTGATATAAATCTACAACTACCCACTTGTGTAGGGCCACATTAGGCCATATGATGAAAGCATGGCCAATAAAGCATTCCTGTGACACAATGTCCCTTTTGAATTGAATACCTTCGATAAGACTGATGATCCAAAAGGACATATCACTAATTTCAAGGGTTTAGCCAAAAGCAACACCTAGTCTTTACCACTACTGCAATTTCAAATTGTGGCAGAAAAGCCCAAGTCAAAAAACCAAATTTCAGTATAATAATTTAAGATGCTCTATAGTTCTCAGAATGCAGGCAAGATCTTTTTAAAATTTTTTAGGTAGAAATCCTGATCAGGCAGTTTCATATATTTTCATTTGTGCAAAATGATGAATATGGAACTAAGTAAAATTTAGTATATCTAATAAAAAAAACCACATTATGGTGAGTTTGCCAAGGTTTGGTAACTTCCTCTTTTAAAAAGGGGAAGTCACTTTCCTTAAAAATGGCTGAGTTTTCTTTTGAGCAGAAAAATATTTTTTATTGACTTATTTTCTAGGGTGTGCCAAACCCCAGAAAATGCGAAAAAAGTTTTCTAGGAAAATACGTTCGGCAAAATGAACAGCAATATTCTAAATGTTTAATTACAAGTGTGATTAGTAGTCTTACATTTTTTTTTTCTCTCTTTGTATAGAGACAAAAGAAAAAAGTCCTGAAGTATGAGATTAGTTTCAATTTAGGCCCAAAACTCAGTCTTATAAAATATTACAATTTAAATTCTAAGAATTTTAAAAATTTCAATTATAATATTTTTAACCTTTTTCCCTTGAATCTCGATATTTTCTCTCCCTAATCTAGCAAAATTAAGTGTTTAAATAAAATATCCATTGAATAGACATGATTATATGTTCAAATTATACAGAAAATTATTGCTATTAATTATACTTACAAAACTTTATAGACAACAATTATTAATGTATGAACACGCCTGTGCCCTGCACCTAAGCTCCAGGACCCCTTGTTTGTGCCTTTTAACTATGAAAACATAAATTAGAAGTTGCTTAATATGGTTAAAACCTGTATTCAATGATATATCGGCAAATTTTAATCACACTTTTGAATTTAAGAAACGTCAAAAATAGAGCACCAACTCTTTAAACCATTGAGAGGAAGACAGATTTTACAAGAAGAGTTGCACAAGAAACATGTGATTTTGCATTTAATTGCAACACCACTCAACATCCAGAAAGAAAGCCTAGTTCCATAGTAAAACTGTCAACACTGAGGTTAACCTTAAATGTACTACACAATAAACATCATATAAATAACTCCCTTGTCTTGTACATAATGGCGCACATCAAAATATAAATAAATAAATACATAAATAAAAAAACAGCATATCTCATACCAAGCATTCAAAATATCAAATGAGATGACTAACCCCTTACATTCATTATCAGCATTCGAGGATTCTACTGACAGTTGTTCTACTATTCTTGGTACAACATCAGCTCGGGTCACTCCACCAACAGCATCAATGTCAGCTAGAGCATCCCAATTAGGAGTTGGGATCCCACCACCTGAACTCAGACCTTGCGCACCATTGTCTGATAAAATTCTGGCCAAGTAATAATAGACATAGCGTAGGACTGTCCTATCTTCACACTGTTGATCCAACTGTAAAATTGAAATGAATCATGTATTATTAACTACCATTGCTTCACCCAGACAAATATTTTCATCAAAGGCGCTTCAAAAATCTATTATCAATATCAAATTAAATTAATCTGCAAAGAACTAGAGCAGTAACTGCACTATAAAATCAGGAGTTCAAAATGCTTCAAACAAAACCATCAAATTTAAATCCATTTAAGAACATCAGTCTAACTTGTGTCTAAGATCTAATAGCGTAGATTGACAGCTTTAAGGTGTAAAACTTAAAAAAGCGTGCCTGTGCACGCGTGTGTGTGTGTGAGAGAGAGAGAGAGAAGCACAATAAGCTACTGCTCATGTAGCCATTGAGTAATTCAAATGGCATCTCAAAACATACAATAACACTGAAATCACAAAATCATTAAATTTGGGATAGGCTAAACTCCCATAAAAGAATTTACCAAACCATAGAAGGTAGAAATCAAGATCAAAGATTAACAAACTTTAGGATTATGATCTAGATTAAGCTTGCAGCCATAATGAAATATAATGTAATATCACAAATTCATCTTTAGTTCAAACATTAATCCAAAAAATGCATTGATTATGGCATACCAAATACAGCCTAAATGTTTCAGTTCATGTTTCCATGCATTACAATGGCATAGAGGTTAATTTAGTTTCGTTTAGATTTAAGAGTTTATTTTCCAACTTTGCTGAGACAAGGTGGTTTCAGATCCTTAGGGTCTAGGTATACTCTTTTGTTTTCCTTGGCATCCCATTTTTGAGCACCTGATGGACTAGGAAGGTATTTAACTATTTATCCTTTCAATTTTCTATAGAAGCCACAAATCCTACTAGGATAGGGGCTAAGTTACACCAATTCCTCAAGGTTTTTAAATTATTTTCTGGTCTATAAACAGCCATAAAAGAGTATTTTCTGGTCTATAAATAATGTACAAATTCTCTTATCAATCAATCAGTCCATAAAAGAGTATTTTCTGAAGTTCTGCTTCTTTGAATTATATAATGCAATATACCCTAAGAGTGACACCTCCAAAATGCAGGGTGTGATTGATTGCCATGGGATTGCAGAGTGAAGTTTAGGACCTTTTGCATTTCTTAAGTTTGGAAGTACCTTCTACACCCTTAAACCCTCTCCTAAAACCTTCTTTATTTTCCTATCAAATTACTGAGTTGATTCAAAGAACCAAATCTGCACCAAAACAGCCCAATTCTTGTATTCTCTCATTCAATTTTGATAACAAACCATAGCCTTTTTTGCTAACCCTAATTGCTCATGGAGCCCTACCTTTTCTAGCTTTCAGATAAACCTAAAGCATGTCATATCGAATTTGCACAATGCAACGCATGAAGAACCTACTAGAAACACAACAACAAGCTAGAAGAAATAAGAAATTGTGGGAGGGAAAAAAAATGAAGTATAACATACCATAAGAAGTGACGGTGCCAATGACGGGTCAACTGAGTTGTAAACGGCGAGCTTGGGAAACACATGATGTACTAATTGCTTTTGAGAACTTTTCTATTAATAAACCAAACAACAACGCACATAAGAATCACCTAAAAGCACGCCAAAATCACACAGAAATATAAAGACGGTTCATGGATACCTGATCAGAAGTAGCAGCTAGTTCATGGATACTCCTAGCTAGCTGTGAATAAGAAACTGGCTGCAAAGATAAATGAAATTGCACTGAGCTATAAGCACCAAAATGGCCCAAAGAAGCAAAAATTTCCAGGAAAGATTAATATCATAACAATGTACTTCTAAATATAGATAGGCATGTTTTAATAGTCACTGGTAAGCGTTTCAATTTCTCAGATACACATGTATATACAATTGATCAAAACAGAAGAAAGACTGGAGAGATGGTTAGATTGGGAGAGGTAAGTTAACGGACCTTCTTCTTTTGTTTCTGAGGAATGATGTTTGTTTTCATTGGATGTAAAGCAGCTTTAGCAGCTGAAATGGTATCGCTTTGGATCTGCAAAAGCGTCGCTCTCTTTGACTTCCTCTCTCCTAACGTCGTCTTCCCTGACGATGACGATGTAGATGTCGTTGTTACTGATCCCGTCGGCAGCTGCGAGGCTGATGCAGGTGCAGAAACCGGAGGAGCAGTCGTTGATCCCGATGTTGCGGCCGACGGATCCGCCGTTATCAGATCCATTAACGTCGTCCCCGATGAATCCTAAAAAGAATAGAAAACAAAATGACCAGAATGGCAAATTTGATTATTGAGTGATTTACGAAGTGTGAAATTTTCTAGGGAAAGAGAGAGGAACAGGAATACTTACAGCCATGGTAGGTTGGTTGATTCGTGAGCGCCCGGTTGTTACCACCACTGTGTCTGTATATCCTTACCTGATAACAAAAAAGAAAATTGCGGAAAAGACGAAATTATTTAAGTAATCTCACTATTTGGTCAAATATTTAGCGCATGCTTGAGGGTTCATCCGTCATACTAAGTAACTAATTATATGGTTTAGCCGTTAAATTAGGAGGAAAAGACGAAAATATCCTCAGACGTCAAACCCAACATCAAAAGTCTCTTCTCCCTTCACCGTAGCACAACGACCTTTTAATATGCCATTTTTCATCTCAGCATCTCAGCTTTGATCTAATCAGTCTTCAAATATATATGTACCCAAATAATAAATATTAATATATTAAAAAACAAAATCTTTGACCAGCTAACAGTAATAATCTACAATTTAAAGAAAAGAAAATAAAATAAAAAACTTAAAAAGGAAGACGCTGCGAGACGGAGTATCTCCGGTTAATATTTTCGAGGGCCCTTCTTCATCTCAAATATAAACTGTTCAAAACCATCATTAGCGCTAGGCGACGTATCCCTATCGAACCTGTCGAAGCCGCGGCGCCGGAAGGCACAAACAGTGATTACGTGCCGACAAGGTATTGAAAGCTGCGCAGGCGAGTAAGGAGCGGTGGTTGCCACCATGGTCTAGTTGTGTCACACCAGAATGATGAATGTGCTTTGTTGGAACCCATTTCCAATGATGTGGCGTTGAGGTGGGTAAAAAATTTCCACATTAATCATTTTCAATATTGAGAGGTGGGTAAAAACTTTTCACATTACCCATTTTCAATAATGAAGACATTCTAGCTTGTGAATCGTATGAAGCAAAGTGAGGTGATAGATACACACAGAAATTAAGAATGAAAAATATTTGAATATGAAAATTTTTTAATGTTGATAAATGAAACATATTATGGAGAATGACTAAAAAGGGTGTGATTTATTCAATTAAAATTTAGTAGTGAAATTATGAGTTCAACATATATTGTGACACCGACAATAACTTCGCTTTTATGATTTTATATAAATTATAATAGAATTTTTATTATAGTAAAATTTTAAGTTATGATAAAATAAAATATAAGAGAACAAATATAAAAATTTAAACAATATTATAATTATAATAAGTTCATTGCAGCGGTAAAATGTTGAGTAAGGAGTAAAATGTAATAAAATAGTAAAATTTTGAAATTAGTATATATATCAATTTAATTTTTAAATATATAGGTTATAATTGCAAGGAAGTGAAATAGCTGGGACAAATTTGACCATTAGGCCTTTATTTTTATTATATTATCTTTCATTTTTCTATGATTTTCTTTAAAAATAGAACGCAATTTGCAAGAATTTGATCAACCTATTGGAAAGACAAATAAATAAATAAATAAGATTATTAAGTAGATGTTTATATGTGGCATATGATTACACAATTGAGATTTATACGTGGAATACATACTTTTATTTCTGAATTTTTACTTTAATTATATGTTATTCTGAATTTTGCGATTTACCTATTATGTACCAATTTTTATATATTTTTATTTTAACTATATGCTATTCTGAACTTTGCAATTGACCTATCATCTACCAACTTTTATTTTTTGATATTAATATGTGTTCCGTCGCACTTAAGAGATTTGGTATTTTGAGTGAAATATAAACTCTCTCACTTTGTTTATTGAGAATATAAATACTTATATACAACTAATTATATGTATAAATATCTTACTATCTAATAATCCTAATACCCTCTCCTCAAATTGAGCATGTCAATGCTCAACTTGTACATAGATAAAAACCTATTATATATAAATCCTATATATGTACAATTTTTTTAAAATGCTATTTCTTATTAAGCACCAAGTTCTAGAAACCAAAAACCAATACCACACAACACCCATCTTTATAGTCTTCACAGATCCACACTCAAATGAATCTACAAGCTGAATGTTTTGTGCAATATTATCACCAGAGTTAGCTTGTACCTCACCTTCTGCATGCAATATAAACAATTGAAGGGGTTGTTGTCCACCATTCTCTCCATTACTAAAAAATTTGAATCTTTATTCCTATTCTTATGTAAAAAAGACCCATCAACATCACTTTCACATAAACCCAATTGAAGTACATAATCAAGGGACTGTAGTATAAGTAATGAGACAGCATATAATCATGTCACGATGATGAATATCCTTCCTCTGTACTACTCTCATTTTTCTTATTCAAACCTTTCCCCAGTCTATCTACAATGGTATTTAGCTCCACAAAATCATCATATAACTAATCCAAACTGAGAATACCTACGAAGCATTTCTTTATTGAAGTTCCAACTGGATAAAATAGAAATATCCTTAAACAAATCTATAAAATGAACTTTGAATCCATGAATTCCATAAACCAGCACAGATACAATAAATTCCTTCGATTTTGCATCACATTCCCTTGATTTCATATTACCAATGGTCTTCGAAACATCCATTTTGCATTATAGGGCCAACTGCTCCCTCAAAATATTGTACAACTGATTATTTCAATAGTAATACTTTCCAAAGAACAACACTTTAAGCTTTGGAACTAGGTTCTCCATATCCTAAAAGCTATGGATTTTTTTTATTATGTTTTACTGAATAATTTCAGGTTGCCAAGCAGAAAATAAACAACAGGAAATATGAAAAAAAAAAAAAAAAGAAGAAATCAATGAGTGAATGAGATAATTTTGAGTTTGAGCGTGAAAGAAGAGGCAGAAAATAAAAAACGTAAGAACAAGATTTATAAGTATGAAGAGATTAACAATGATCAACGGTCAAGGTCAACAAATTCAAAAGACCAATCTAAACATCAGGTCATCAAAGCGGAAATACTCCACATATCATGTAATCAATGATAAGGTAAAATGTGAAACACTCCACCAATCAATCAAGGTAATGCTTGATTCTATTGAATCTAAGCACAAATCAAAATATATGAGGGATAAAAACCTTAAAATCAATGGTAATAAGAGGGATTAAAACCCTAAAATCGAAATTAATCGACCAATAAACCTCAAAGTAGAGCCAAATATTATAAACCTAAGAGAATAATCTTAAAGGCAAATCAATCAAGGTAAATTCCAGAAAAAATGTAGAATCAAAGTAGAAATTTCTGGCAAACTCAACCAGAAACCAAGACAATATTCAATTGAATTGAAATGGCATCAATGAAATCAACAAGTTAAATGATGAAACAATGAAGAGACTAACTCTGATTTGGATGCGTAATGATGATTTAATTTATTTTCTCACATGATATACGGAAAGAACAAATCGATTGAAAAGAATGAAATGGAGAGAAACGAAAGTAAACGAAATAAGAAGACCGAAAAAGAAACTTGAACAAATTTGGAAAAAACTGATGAAGAAACCATAAACTATTGATCCAATAGAGGAGGAAAACAATGGAAAACACAAGAAAGCAGTGAAAATATGAAATAAATATGAGTAATTATTTTTGTTTTTACTTTTTGGGAGAGAGAAAGAGGCTCTGATATCATGATGAGATCTGGTATTTAGGTAAAAAATAAACTCTCTTTCACTTTGTTTATTGAAAATATAAGTATTTACATACAATTAATTATATGTATAAATATCTTACTATCTTATAATCCTAATACACACTAAAAAGGTGAAACATGGCCTCAAATGTAAGTATGAGCGCGAAGACCTATTATACCTATTATTTATCAGATGTATCATAAATGATGTTAATTTTGGATCTCCTGCACTTATTGCGAGTGCTTTTTATCATAGGCTATCTCTCTTCAACTTCATTTCCTTCGATCTAATATATGAATCTCCAAAAAGTAATTCTTAGGGTTCAAATTCACAATGAAATCTTCAATGAAGTAATAATGTACATAATCTTAACTGCAACAATGGCAAACTATCATGTTCAAGGTTTTTTTGCATACATACGAACCCAGGAAAGAGGTCCTTTGGTATGAAAGAGGTTTTTTTTCATTCATGCTATGTCTTAATTCTAGAAGTCAGTGGCTTGTAACTTCTTCCAATGGTTGGATCCACCAATACACAAACACAAACGCGTACAATTAGTATTAGTAAGGCGAATAAGGGATTTTGAAGAAAATTTGCATTTGAATTTTTACTGAGATCTCTTGTGGTCGGAAGGTCTCGAACCTGAGACCTCTCATTTTCTACATAAGTGAAAAGACTAAAATATATTAAGTAAAAAAGTAAAAGTAAATAAGAAATAAAACACATTCTAAATATGAAAATATGTGAACTCAATCAGAAAATCCAGAAATTAAATATGGAAATCTGAAAATTAAATGTAGAAACTAGATATGCATATCTTCAAATTAAGTATAAAATCTGAAACTAAATATGAATATCTAGAAATTCAAGTAGAAAATCTAGTACATTAATGGGTGAATTCAAACCAAAAGGATAGTCAAACCAAACATCCTCTACATTACTATATAAACGTATGGACTAAGATAACCAAACAAATACACTTTTGGTTCTACTTGCCTTTGCAAGACTATAATACCTCAAAATAGCAAGATAACCAAAACACTCCCTTTTTTATCCTTACAGATAATGAATTCATTTCAACTTCAAACGCCTAAGCCTCAGGCTCAAACTCAAGACTCAGCTAAAAAAAATAGAGATCCTGTAAAAATGGAAGAAGCACAGCTGGTATTCGTCCCTGTCCCTGGTATGGGCCATCTTATATCCATGGTGGAACTGGCAAAGCTTCTTCTTAACCGCCACCACCAACTGACCATCACTGTCCTTATCATGAAGCTATCAAATTATGATTTCAATGTTATTGAAAATTATACTCAATCAGTTGCAGCCTCCACTTCTTTATCAAATCGAATCAGATTCATGGACTTACCCAAAGATGAGCCTGAAGTATTTGGTTTTTCTTCTTTTATTGAGAGGCAGAAACCTCATGTCAAACAAATTGTTTCTGAGATCACAAAAAATGAGTCTAATTCGCCTCGACTCATTGGTTTAGTGCTTGATATGTTCTGCACGCCGATGATAGATGTTGCTAATGATTTTGGTCTTCCATCTTACATTTTCTTTACTTCAAGTGCAGCTTTTCTTGGTTTCATGCTTCATATGCAGGTGATTTGTGATGAACAAAAAGCTAATCCGACTGAGTTGAAGGAATTGAACCCTGAGTTGGTAGTCCCCAGTTTGGTAAATCCATTTCCTACTAAGGTTATGCCCTCTGCGCTGTTAGGAAAAGAGATTCTTCCTCCTTTGCAAAACTTTAGAAGGTTTAAGGAAGTTAAGGGAATTATTGTAAATACGTTCTTCGAGTTAGAATCCTATGCCATTGAGTCTTTTTCTGATGGAAAAGTTAAAAACCTCTCTCCCTTGTATCCAGTTGGTCCGATTCTGAATCTGGGTGATGATGGAAGAAGCAAACATCAAGAAATCATGCAATGGCTTGATAATCAGCCTGCATCATCGGTGGTGTTCTTGTGCTTTGGGAGCATGGGAAGTTTGAGTGAGGATCAAGTGAAAGAGATTGCCAATGCACTAGAGCATAGTGGACATCGATTCTTATGGTCCCTACGTCGACCACATCCCCCAACAGGTAGAATGGAGGCTCCAAGTGACTACGATAATCCACAGGAAGTTCTACCTGAAGGATTCTTAGATCGAATGGCTGGGATTGGAAAGGTAGTTGGATGGGCTCCACAAGCAGCAATTTTAGCACATGAAGCTATAGGAGGATTTGTTTCTCACTGTGGATGGAATTCTATGTTGGAGAGCATATGGTATGGTGTTCCAGTTGCAGCATGGCCAATATATGGAGATCAACAATTTAATGCTTTTGAAATGGTGATTGAAATAGGATTAGCTGTGGAAATTAAAATGGATTATAGGAAAGACAGCGAAATAATTGTAAGTTGCGATGAAATTGAAAGAGGAATAAGGTCTGTGATGGAGCTGGATAGTGAAAAAAGAAAGAAAGTGAAGCAGATGAGTGAAAGAAGCAGAATGACTATAATGGAAGGAGGATCTTCATATATGTGGTTAGATCGTCTAATGAAAGATGTCATGGACAATATGTCATAATTAAAACATTCCCATTATCTCAATGGACAATATGCCCATCTTAGTCGAACAGTGAGCAGAACTACACCTTTTGTTTTTAAGTTAGACTTTATAATTTTATTTGTCATTTTTCTTTCCTTCCAATTTTGCAAATGTTGCCGGCCATGGTTCCAACTCAAGGATGTATTCTGCTTCAATTATCTTTTGCTTAGTTTAGAATGTTTAAGAATTTGTTACATATGCCAATCGCTCTCTTTTCTATTTTGACTAGAAACAAACACATCCAAATTTTTCTTTATCGTCAATCGCGGTGATAGATCTGCTATGCCCATATGTAAGGTTTTACAAAGAGTCTACTTCATATTCTGTACGTAAGAAAATAATGAGATAACTTGTTTGTATATAGATTCTGATGAATGATGATCCATTGACTTCTTTTTCATTCTCAATTAATTTTCTTTTGCTAATAACAAATTTTTATTTATTCATTGATGAATAATCCAGATTCCAAAGATGAAGTCCCTTATAAAAATTTTAAAATCTTTATTTTATTTTTGGTTGGTGGAATGGAAAGATGTTCATCTTGTGGCTTGTTTTCTGTTTAGAGGTTTGACCCGATCCAAACCTTATAGATTTGACCTTACCCAAATCACAGGGATACCCATTAATTTGCACGGGCCAGGCCGGATTGATCATAATTTTGACTATTATGAGGTTGGGTCTCGAAACCAACCCAACCTGAATTTGAACAGCCCCTGTGGTGTTTATACTAATATGATAAAAGCCTACACCAAGTGTACCAGAATCAAATCAAAAGTGTTGTAGAGTGTATTATATCGTTCCGGAAATCCCCATAAGTAACCATACTACAATATAAAATGTCAAAAACATGGCAAGAAAAACCATGTTAAAAGAACATATCCTTAAGCATTTATGCATTTTATCAAACAAGTGTACAAAATGTGCACAAGAGAAAGAAAGAAAGAAGGTATATAGATACTATGTTCGCCGTTACATTCCATTAAAGACATGAGATCATGAAAAGAAAGAGACTAACAAAAGACCACCCTTACAAAGGGCTTGTGCACAAAATGAGATTAAGAGTATATTTGGAAATTTTAATCTCATTAATGTCCTACTTTCATTCTGTGTAAGAGACAAATCCTTTCATTGTTAATCCTTCAAAACTTTTCATTTTATGACTGGACAAAAATCTTTTCTTTTTTAGGAAGAAAAAATGTGATTTTGAGATTTTAAATCATAAAATATTTTTATTACTTAAAAACTAAAAAATAAAGATCATTATTGTTGTCATGTCAAAATTTCGGATAGATTTGTTTTCAATACAAGTTCTCAATTGAGTCCTAATTTGGTCAAAAATTAATTTTGGGCGTACATTAGATGAACAAATTACTTGTAGCCAATAAAACAAACAATGGCAGCATTACCAAGAAAGGACAAGAATTTGCAACTTAAGGCCAACAGAGAAAATAACAGGTCTATTACATGACAGTTGAAGCAGCCAGCAAGGCAACTAAGCAAAAATTTACCAAAACTTCATACTACCCTTCAAACGGGAAACACGATATGCTTCACAAGTTGTCAAAGACAGCAAACTTACAGTACACTCATGGACATTATCTGACGAGCAAGACCCGGATCTTGCTGCAAAAGCTCCCTCAAGTTGTTCTCTACCTCTGCCATTTGCTTTTCTAAGTATTCTTTTGAGGTCTGTCCAAAGCACAATAGAATTGATTATTCCCTGAGAACTTAAATGAAAGATAGCTCCATTGAACTACAACTGTTAGACCAAAACTTATTCTGGAGGTTGTTTATAAAATCTTAGAAAATTACAGCAAAAAATTGTGAGCCTTCTCGGTGAATTACATTGCAATTCAATGAGTTCCATGATGTATGTATATAGTTTGACATGAACAAACTAAAAGTAGAGTCGGGAGAGAACTAGAATTGGGAAGAATTACAAAGTAACTGTTTCACACAAATTTTCCTTAGTCTTTCAATCACCATTACCTCCTTATATTTGAGGGAATTGAAGAGTTTATGGCAATTAGTCCTCAACAATTAGGGCTAGAATAGCGATTGTGATTGGAAAAACTTAAATTAATTGGTTTTAAAGAAAACCTCAGAATACAATTATGAATTGAAGGGGAAAATACAATACATAAAGTGACTATTGTTGTCTTAGTTAGGACGAATGCTAATTCTAGATTGAAAACTATTCCTTTTAATTAATCAACATACTTTGTTGGAACCTTAAATAAAGAAGGAAAACTGAAGACTTCCTAACTTCCTAATTAATTAACATACATTATAGGGTTCCTAGAAGGAAAACTACAAAACTTCCTAATTTAATTTGGATACTCTTGCATCACTATTTCTAAGGGATAATTACACAACTCGTGTCTGAACTTCTTTAATTTTTCTATTTAATATAGGAATTTTATTTATATAGTAGCAAGTCTTCATAGGGACAATTTGCTCAGTCAGGTATATTTGGCAAAAATTCTTCCAAGACTACCATAATATAACATTTACCTAAAAATTAAGAACCACCTTCAAGCCTCCACTGTTTTTTTATCTCTCTCACTTCCTTTTTTTTTTTTTTTTTCCTTTTTTTTTTTTTTCTCTATTAATTTTATTTCCTTTTCATAAAGAAAAACTTCCAAAAATTTTTTTACATTTATCCAAGAAAAGGAAAAATGAGAGATGATACCAATAAGGACAGAAAGGCAGAAATTGAGAAAAGATAAGCAGAATAGGGCATGGATAAAAATGGTTCCATTTTGAAATATTCCAGAACAAAATTCCAATTAAAATATGCCTAATTATATATATATATATATATATATATATAGATAGATATAGATATAGATATAGATAGATAGATTAGATAGACACACACACATGGTATACTATATATATATAGATAGATATAGATATAGATATAGATAGATAGATAGATAGACACACACACATGTATACTTGTTCAAACACTTGATTGTAAAAGAAATAATCTGAAATAGAAAACTTGAAAAATTTCAGGCACCAATAATGTAAGTATCCCCATTTAATTTCTCTCCAGAATTTTTTTTTTTTTTTTGAGGAATTCTTCTATCTGATTTCTACTTGAAAAATATCATGTTTTCCTTGTCTCCTTACCACTGCCATTCTAGAAGAAATCACCATCTCTCTCAAACAACTTACATTACATATGGCCTTGGCATCTAACAGAGAAATACTAGCAATAGATGTAGAAATCAAGCTATAGAAAACTTCCAGAATGTAAGAATAGAACAAATGTTGAGCAAAAACATCAGACAGGTCCTTTGTCGTGATTAAGTCTACTGCATAGAAGTTTTGTTAGTATATTGCATGTTGTAAGAAAATAATTTTCTTTGGTTTTTTAATTGTGCATGCATGTTTTTGTCAAAATGATGTACATAGCAGCAGTTATTTTCGGAAAACAAAGAAAAAAACAAAGAGAGAGAAAGAAAGACAGAAAGAAATGAGAACATTCATGGCTAATGCCACCATCAAAACCTAAATTTTGTTCGCTTACAAAAGCAAGGCCAAAGGGAAATCACTATATTAGCATACCTGAAATTGATAAGAAACTCAAACAAGTATTTGCAACAGCAAAAGAAAAGGTATCACAGGGAAAGCAGACAGGTGAAAAGTGGAATTGCTTTTCATTTACTACTGAGATATACCTGAAGTGAGGCTATTGCAGTCTCACTATCCTTGAGCTTTTGTTCTTGTTCACTCATTAAAACTGGCTTTGGCTCTAAGATAAACCTAGCCACACAAAACCCGGAGATAGAGACAGAGAGAAAGGAGAGGGGAGATGCATCAGAGTTTTCATCTATTCCAAATATCAAATAAATCATGAATTAGCTGAATTCATTTGGTTTGTGCAATACTCACGTTCTCCCTGCAAAGAAAAAAAAAAAAGCACCAGTGAACCCAGGAAGCCAAAATGTCAAATTTATAACTCATCTACCAATAGACAACAATTAATAGATGAGCCAAATTCCAGTTAAGAAACCTTACCCTAATTGATATAGAGATAAGGAATCACAGCAATGAGGTTCAAGTCCTTAATCAAAATGGTGGGTTTGACAATAACATACATCTAATGACTGCAGGTGTACAACACAAGTTTTTGGCTATTTACCTATAGACTTGTATGTATTTGTTTCATCAGGCAGTTGACGCAGTTCTTCCAATGTCAAGTAAGCACGCTTCTTTTCTCCCTCCTTGGTTCGCATCTGGTTTTGCACCTGAAATACCACAGTATTACTCAACTTCAGTGAGATTATTGAAGCTTACCTACATACAAATACTCACATTCTACCAAAATTATAAAAAGAACACAGATACTAATTAAGTATATAATCATACAAAAAGAAATACACAGCAGAAATTAAGAAAAATAAAATAAAATAAAACATGCCAAATGAGAATCACAAAGAAAAAACAACATATATACATAAATCTATTGATCTCATACAACAATAAAACCTAAACCTCACTCCCAAACTAGTTATTGAAGTCGGCTATATGAATTCTTTATTTCCATTTTGTTGTTCATAACTAAGTCCATACTAATAGCAAGAAGTAGGACTGAAACCGATTAATTGAGAAGTTAGCCACTTTTTGTTATATATTTAAAGTTTTATTATATTATAATATAGTTAGAAAGGCTGCATCGGGTCATTAGGACCTGAGATAAACATCCCCACCCAGAGGTAATAAGTAATAGGTTTTTTGAGACAACTTCCCTCCATCTGGTCCTAGGTCTACCTCTTTCTCTTCTAATACCCTCCACCGTCAATGTAACACACTTGCAAACCAGAGCACGCAGGGTCTATGTACTATATGACCAAAACTGTTGATCTCATAAATCAAGAAATGCCTAGGAGCTATATTCTTGAGCAAATTGGCAAAATAACATAATTTATGTATGAGGAACACTGCTCAAAGCATAAGGTCCTCCTCAACCACAATGTGATTCTCAAGAAATTGAGATAGTATATAGTATAACAAAATACTTTGAAGCATAAAGTTATTATCCTTATACCCAAGGGTATAACTGAAGCGTTCACGTTCAACAAAAATGTGTACCATTGACAAACTCAAAATTGATGTATTTCAAAACAATGACAGTGAACAATGATGGGTTATTTCGCTTCTTTTCATTGAAACCAATTTGTTAGGAAATACCAACAACAACAAACAAAGAAATCGAAAGAAATTTAAACTAGGAAAATAATTTAAGTTCCCAGTTGGTTAACTTAACTTTTCTTTTTTTTTTTTTCTTTTTTTATGGGAAAAAAAAGTTACTTTTGCGGACAACCAAAATCAATACTTGAAAGAACAAAAGAGTGACATCTTATATAAAGAAAAATTTATAATTCATTTTCTTTTTTCATATGAAAAAACAAATATTGAATGGTTACATAAGAGTGTAGTTTTTGATTGATCCATTCTCATAAAAAATTTGATGGAAAGTACATTTTGTTTAGAAAAGAAAAAAAAAAAAAAAAAAAAAAAATTGATGGAAAGTACATTTTTGTTAGAAAAGAAAATAAAAAAAAAAAAATTTTTTTTAAAAAAAAAAAAAAAAAAAAAAAAAAAAAAGAGCATACAGTTCGTGAAGGCTAAAAATCAGACCTAAATGGAGAATTAAGATCCATTTCACCTAAATTAAGAACAACATATAACTCCAGACCAGAACTAAGACATACAAAAAATTCCTAAATGATACTAATATCAAACAGAACAAAAAAAAAAAAAAGGTTACCTGCTTCAGTTTAGCTGTTGTTTCAATCATGCGACCCTGAATCTCTAGAAAAGCCTATATTGGTTCGAACATAAAATCAGAAATCAAATCAACTACGGCAATTTAACAAACAAGAACAAAGAAGATCAATATGGGAGAGAGGAAGTGAGATAAAAATTATTTATTACAGTCCTATTGGTCTCGTCGGCCATCGGGAAACTGGGTGTGCTATAATCGCCGTTTTTTTTTTTCTCTCTCTCTCTCTTTCCTTCTTTGAACTGGAAAGAACTGCGGGTTCAATCGGGAAAATTCGGAGAGGATCAACAAATACTGATGTGCCACATCCAACAGGGTTATACGGGTCGCTCTTGATCCGACATACACTCTGGTGGGTGTAATCGGGCTGAGAATGGAAATGAGTCAAATGACCTTTTATTTGACTTTTTTTTTTCTGGGATGAGACCTTCTATTTGAGTTAGTCATCTTCGTGTGTAATTTTTTGTATATGTTCGAAAAATAATTTATTTTAAAAAAATTCAAAGAAAATATTTTTTAAATAATTTATTTTTCATTATTTGATTGTAATTAATGTAAATTGTTAAAATATATATTATAAAATTTTAATTTATAAAATCATAAATATACTTATATTTTAAAATTTTTATAAAATGATAAATAAATTTTTCTATGGAAAAATGCTCATTTTTGCGCTTTAAACTTGAATTCAAAATAAAAAGGCCTCAAATGAACTTTTTTGGCAAGTTACACCCTAAGTTTGACACATCTGTTCATTTTGCTCGTGAATTTATCTAGTCAATGCGCATGATTATTGAAGACAAAGAAAAGAGGGTGAGTTATTAAATTCTTCCTTTTCCCTTTTGTATTTCTTTTTCTCCATGAAAAACACCCATCTCTCTCATATTCACAGGTAACTGAAAAGTTACAGGAAAAAAGATAACTTCATTTACCATGTCTGTGATTGTGTTTGTGATGCTTACCTCTGCAATCTCTATATAAATACACCTTATTTGCTTTCAGGTTTTGGTTTAAATATAACTTAGGTTATTGATCTCACAAAGAGATAAGTTTTGCAGGATTTCAAGTTTTTTGGGTCCGTGATTTGTGTGTTTGATATGAGTGTTAAGATATCAGTACATAAAGGAGCAGATTTGGTCAACACGTTTGGTTTAATTCTCTTGATTATGTATATATTTAACTCCGTGATTATTGTGTATATTAACTGTGTCAGGATATTTTGCCATTAACTTAGCTATATATTTAACTCCGTGATTATTGTGTATATTAACTGTGTCAGGATATTTTGCCATTAACTTAGCTTCAGTTACATTGTATTTGGCTATATAAAGCCATCAGTTGACAATTCATAAAAAAGAGAAAATATCTATTCTTCTCTATTGTTTGTACATGGTATCAGAGCCATGACTGAAACAACAAACCAAATCTCTTCCCATCCTATGAATGCTCAACATTCTTTCTCTGTTAAACTAAAATCCACCAATTATTTAGTATGGAAAACACAATTCCAACCTCTCTTAAATTATCATAATTTTAATCACCTAATTGATGGCTCTTCCCCACCTTCAAAAACCATCAAATCCCCATCCAACCCAGAAGTTGACATTCCAAATCCAGATTATCAATCTTGGTTTAAATAGGACCAGCTCCTGCATTCTTGGCTTCACTCTCCCCCTAATCTGAGGAAGTTTACTCGCATATTGTTGGGTTTAATACTCTACCACTGAGGTTCTGGACAAGCCTTGCACAGGCTTTCGTTCTCTATCTCACAAAACAAAGCAAAACAACAACTTCAAATTGCATATTCGAACTTCAAGGAATTAAAAAAGTAAGATTTCGTTCAGTATCTTGCCATTATCTTCAATCGTGCAAAAGCAATTAAAAGAATGAAATTACAGGTTGCTGGTAGAGCTCCTCTTTCCCGACGGGCAGAATTATAGCTATTATTTACAGATATCTGGTATTGAATATTTAGAAACATTAATCACTGTATGTCGCATGAAAGAACATTAAGTACCTCCGAGCCTGACCAGTACCCTTTCAATATGAGAACTTGCAAGTAGGTCACGCTGCTATCGCCGTCATTCTATGAATTAATATCATACAACCTACACAAGTAGTTTGTAGATGGCCTATGATCTCACCTCAAGCAAATATGGATTCTCAACCATCCAACAACTCTCTGGGATCCTCACCGCCACCGCACTACTTCAAACGCCCAAAATACAAAATACCAGTTGGCAAAAGAAACTCGTCTCATCAAGCAAGAGGTCCATGTCAAATCTGTGGCTAACCGAAACCATACAGCCAGACAAATGTACGTCCCGTCGAGCTCGATCGTACCACGACAGTGAGCCGCTCATATATCCAATTGTCGCGAAAAACAGAATCAAGTTCGTTACCTCACCACCAAATGGCCATTACTCTTATAGTTATCCCTCACCACACCTATAGATCAGCTCACTATCTTTCATTACTCATTCTTTCATCCACCAAAATGTCATATCTAGAACGAGGACTCATACTACCATGCTCCAGCCCATGGCAAATTATTCCGACTCCAAGCTACAACCTACACAAACCTATATCTGAGCAATCAAACTGAAACTACCATAGCTCAAGCGAGGCCAATCTATCATGTCACAGTAACCTATCATCCAATCTTTTAAGTGCTACCACTTGATTTATCAAGTGTCATGATACATCTTCAGTTGGAAATGGCGCTTGGATTACTCAGATTTCTCATATCGGTATCATACATGATCGTCAGTGGTCAGTTATCCCTCTTCTAATGTGTTACGCTTCTCACACATAAGCACTAACCTTTGAAGTGATTACGAACATCTAGTTATAACAGAATCTTATTGTGCTGTCAAAAGAATTATCTCGCATCGGAAATTAGGTGGTTGTATGTGAATTAATTATTAGGCCTACTAATTGTTTTATTTTTGTTAAGGAAATCAGGCTTCACCAAGAACGTATCTTATTCGGCAGCGTCACAAGCTACGAATGACTGGTATACGCGCCTTACGTCCTAAATAATCAAACATACCACTATGAAAAGTCCCCGTCATGTCCAGCTAAATCCTTACAGTATCCAACATCCTTTTCCGATTGGCTTCTGCCATTGGGTCACCCATCATCCTCAGTCGAACGAAGTAGCGTGTTGTCCTAAAGTATAATTCTTAGAATATTCCAAGCCTTGCCTTGTTCATAGGTTTTCAGTTCAATCCATGGATGGATTATCTGCCCATGCAATTTAGATGGTCGAAAAAAGTACCTAGTATCTATTAATTCTAGCTGTCTGATGGGAAGCATAAGACAGACGACCAGGATTCCCGTTTCCAATATAACATTTCACCTGTCACCAGCATATGGGTCGTCATGCAAACATGCTGCCCTCACAAACAAGTCACCGGTTTATTGTCTAGGCATATACAGCATCTAAGGTAATTATGGGTTATAACAATAAAAACTATAAATGAATGATAAATATTACAACACACGTTTTTAACGCTGCTATATTAATACTACAAAAAAATATAAAAAGTAGATATGTGTATACCAAGTTAGTTTATCTTCAGTATATCCAAATCCTTATATGAACGTCCAATTTTAATATATTTAAATATTTAGCTTTTCATTCTGATTGGGAAGAGAGAATACCAAAATATGGAATAAATATTTCGGCAAGCTTGAGTATAGATTCATAGGATAAGCACTGATCCTATACACACAAATATACCATCACAAGCCTGAACAAAATGGCACTGCTGAAAGGAAATTCCGTCATGTTATGATACCACTCTCACAGCTTCTTTCATCAATAGCTCCAAATACCCTTGAGATATTGGAATTATGCTGCTGAAACTAGTGTTCAATAATAAATTTTTTTAATGCCATCAACCGTCTCCAAAATCAATAGTCCTTTTATGACCCTATACAAATCATTCCTACCCAAATTATATTGTCCAACAAGCTTTTGGTTTACTGTCTAACCCTTTTCCTCCGACCATGATCCCTCAATCATAAAATTCTCATTCGATCTACTCCTTGTATTATTTAGGAACAAGTCCCTCACATCAAATGCTCATCGATAGTTTTAGATCCTACAACAACACTGTCTATCTAGCTTAAGGCAGGTCAAATTTGATCCAAAATTTGTTTCTTGGTCCTCAATTATTGCACTATCTCGTTCACCTCCTACCATGGCTTTCCATTACAAAAATCAGATATGCACATCACTTGGACACTCCGGTTGAATCGAGTAATGACGTTATCTAATACAAATCAATTGCAGAGTCTAATTTTATTGGCAACCTCACCAAATCAGACCCATCAACCTCTCCCCTCACCCACCAATAATCTGCCAAACTGTAAAATTCTTCTAAAATCAATTGTACCATACATAAGCTCCACAAAACCAACCACCATTACACCCTCTCCGCACCCACCCAATGAACTCCGCCCAAGCTACTAGACAAAGACAGAAAAGATATGCTTTTAATTGTGTACCAAAAAGCTTGATTATTTGACTTCATAACCCCACTTAATAATCAATTCAACCTCATCTTCTGGCCGGCAGGGCAATGGAAAGTGAAATCAATGCCACTTTTACAAAATATACATGGCATTGGTTCTCTCGGCTCTTAATACCAATATTGTGGGAAATAAAATGGTTGTTTCGTATTAAAAGAAAGCTTAATGGTGATATTGGAACGTTCAAGCGCGGTTGGTGGCGAAAGAGGTTTTCCTCTAACAACCCGAAATAGACTACAAATGAGAACCTTTCAGTCCAAGTAGTCAAAAGGCAACAACAATCGCACTATTTTGTCCTCTATGCTACTGTGCGTAAATGGCCAATTCGACAACTGGATATACCTATGCAATTTTTGCAAATGATACTATGAGAAGATATATATAATGGACCAGCCACCAGGTTTTATTTTGAAATTCGTGTTCATCACCAAGATTATGTTTTGTCAAGTTACAAACAATCACTATACGGGCTACGGCAGGACCGCGTGCGTGGTTTCAAAGGTTGAGTAATTTTTTATTACAACTTTGGGTTTAAGGCTTCCAAAGCCGACACATTCTTTGGTTTATTTATCAAAATGGTTAACATCAATGCTTTTATTTGGTTTTACGTTGATGACATCTTACTCACATGTTCCTGATTAAGCAAATTAGAGTTCTTTTTGGCACGCTTTAAAAATCTGCCTTCCCGGTTTAAGAGACTTGGCAGAATGACTTATTTTTTGGGTATTGAGTGATTCCAAACCTCACATGGAATTCTAACTATCACAACACAGAAATATGTTCGAGATTGGTTGCTTCCATTTAATATGAATAACAGCAAGCCCACCTTGACTCCTATGGCAACAATCCTCCCTTTCCTAAAAACATGGGCGTGAAATTTTTGGCTTTTGCTTGCCTGATCAGTTTCGAAAAAAATTGGTTGGTACTCTTCCAATATGTCACCCTCACTCGGGTGTCCGGATGTTTCTTTTGCAGTTAATAAATTGGCCCAATTATGCATCATCCTACTGCAGCCTCACTGAATAGTCAGGCAAAAACGCTTCTATACGGTATCTACACGGACTGCTTCTTATGGTCTCTTTTCCTCTTATTGATTCTCCCATTTCTTTGCAATGTTTTTTTCAGATAGTGATTGGGGCTGGCTGCCCTGTGATCGTAAATCTACACTGCATTATGCTAATTTATTGGGAATAACGTATTCTCTTGGTCCTCAAAAACAATCCACTGTAGCCGATCCCTCACTGAAAGTGAATACCGTTCGAATTGCCCATGCTACATTTAGGTCGTTTTTTCAGAAATTATGTGGATTTTTGTCTTGTTATCTGAACTTGGAGCATCTGTTTTAACCAGCTACTTATGGTGTGATAATATGGGGCAAATCTACTTAACCTCAAATCCGTTCTTCCATGCTCGGACGAAAACATAATTGAACTCCGATAGTTCCGCACTTTGTAAGAGATCAAGTACAACATAAAAAGATTCAAAGTCAAAGTTGTAATCTTCAGGTCAGGACCAGAGTTGCTGGATAGTACATGACGGAAAGACCTTTGGGGTCGTCGCCTGGTCTTTTGCGGCCATCGTGACAAGCTTCGTCTTCAAAGCTCCTCCCAACTTCAAGCTTGAGGCGGGCAATGTTTAAAGATATCAGTAACGATAGAAAGGAGCAGATTTGGTCAAAACGTTGGGTATTTAATTCTCTTGATTATGTATAATTTAACTCCGTGATATATTGTGATAATAATTAACTGTGTCAGGATATTTGGCCCATTAACTTAGCTTCAGTTACATTGTATTTGGCTATAAAAGCCATCAGTTGACAATTCATAAAAGAGAGGGTTTAATTCTCTTGATTATGTATATATTTAACTCCGTGATTATTGTGTATATTAACTGTGTCAGGATATTTTGCCATTAACTTAGCTTCAGTTACATTGTATTTGGCTATATAAAGCCATCAGTTGACAATTCATAAAAGAGAGAAAATATCTATTCTTTTCTATTGTTTGTACAATGAGTATAGATTAGAGGTTAAGGTTTTGTAATTTTTTTTTTTTTTTTGAGTATTGAGAGAAGAGATTTGATCCCGAATTTATTGTCAGGTCGTATATGCACTTACCACTAGGTTATATCCTGATAAAGTTTAGTATGATAAAGTTAAACTTTGACCATTTGTATTTTAATTTTTATGGGATAAAATTTGGAAAAATAAAAAGGGAATTACTCTTGACATCATTGCTTTGAGTCTTGAAAAAAAAAAGTTTAATGAAGAATTATGTAATTAATTTCTTATTTTAATTTTTTTAATGTGATTTTTGATTTAAATAAATCTCATATTGATTTCAGACTCTATTATTAGGGATCGATTAAATCGAATTTGGTGTTTAGTCACAGTTAAGACTCTTCGTTGTTTTTCTTTATAAGTGTGTTTAGTAGAGATCGAATTCGAAAACTCTTCTCACATACACAGTTTACATTGTCAACTAAACCTTAATGGTAGGTTTTTATAGAGTTTTGGAATGAAAATATAAAGTTACTGACAATAAATATTTTTAAACAAAATATTTATTATTTTTTTCCTTCGACCGCTAGAACCACACGGTGTATTTCTAGCCCATGGGCAAAATGAACAAATATATCCAATTTAGAATGGAATTTGTCACAACAAGTCATTTTGGGGCTTTTTATATATTGAACCAAACTACGGGGTAAATTTAGCCTTTTTCCATTTTTTTTTTTAAACTTAAATGGACTTCCTTAAGCCTCATTAACAATTGCGCATTTGAAAATTTTTGAGAAGTTCGGAAGGAAAGAGGAAAGAAACACATCCTTGCCGTCCACGTGGCGTAAATCCAATGGCTTACAGTCAATAAAAACCGGGACCCATGCAGCTCTCCAAAATTCGAAAACGCAGCACTGGGCGCGAAATTTGACGACTAAAGAAACACATATTGTCTCTCTCTCTGATGACAAGAAATTGAATGTATCGAAAAAATCACTGAGATTCGTTCCCTTTCGTTTATTTTATTAATTTACTATTTCGCAAATTTTTGAATTTCATGTTTTCTTGTGTTTATTTCTGTTTCGTTTAGTACAAGATAGGGTGAGAAAAACTTTTCTTCTTTTCGCTCTGTATGTTTTTGAATCTTTTCTTGCTTTAGTTTTCTTAGTACTTAGATTGTGTTTGGATGCAAAGAAAATGGAAGAAAGCATAGGAAAGTAGTCATTCTCATATGTGTTGTTTCCTGTATGAGCGTTATTCTTTTGTCTGTCTTTTTTTTTTTAATTGTGTCTAATAGTTAGGGCTTTCTGTTTCTTAAGGTAATTTTTGAAGATTTGTCTTTTATTTGGAGTAGGTTACTAGGAAATTTTTAATTTAAAGCTGTGTTAGGACGCGAACTTGTTTGTCAGTTTTGATATGAAAATTTATGCTTGCTTTGATTTTTCTTTCTCTAATGTCATTCTTGTGTCTTTCTAGGGTTTTGAAATGTGGAGGAATGGGTTCTTCTATTGGGCTCAATGATGTGGAAAGCGTTTGTTACGACGGTGTTCAAACTCTGAAGAGTTTTCATTTTTTCTATTTTAGGCAGCGACAATATGAACTTTGAAAGCCGCAATTTTTAACTTCTTTTTTTGCATACTAAGGAATTTTTGTGTTGGAACTTCCTGCAAAAGATAAATTTAAAGATGAAGGCTCAGGCACAAATGAAAACCAGAGGTCCTTCTAGGGTCAATGTTCAACAAGCAAATTTTGAGCTTAGACAAAAAATAGTTTTTGCACTAAACAAGCTTTCAGATCGAGACACATGCCAAATAGGTGTCGATGAGCTTGAGAAAACAGCCCAATCTTTAACCCCAGATGGGATTGCACCATTTCTATCTTGCATATTGGAGACAGATAAGGAGCAGAAGAGTTCAGTTAGAAAGGAATGCATTAGATTGATGGGTTTACTGGTGAACTTTCACAAGAGTCTTGTTGGACCCCATGTGGGTAAGATGGTTGCTACCATAGTCAAGAGGCTTAGAGATCCAGACTCTGTTGTTAGGGATGCTTGTGTAGAAACAGTGGGGGTTTTGGCTTCTAAATTGGGTAATTATGGAGATGAGAAAGGTGGAGTTTTTGTTTTGTTGGTGAAGCCTCTTTTTGAAGCTTTGGGTGAACAAAATAAGCAGATGCAGTCAGGTTCAGCATTGTGCTTGGCTAGGGTTATTGATAATACCCATGATCCTCCAGCTTTTATTTTGCAGCGGATGTTGACTAGGACCATAAAATTGCTTAAGAATCCACATTTCATGGCAAAACCAGCAGTGATTGAGTTGAATAGAAGTATTATTCAGGTCATTTTGTGACTATGGCTCAAACATCCAATTTTCATTATATATTGTTGACTATTTTTATGGTCTGTCATTTTAGCCAAATGTTGTTGTGCAACTGCCTTGCATCTGTAGCTGAATATTCAAGGCATGTTTAGTTTGAATGTGGGCATTTTCAAGTAAGAATGATTAACTGAGAGTAGAATTTGTTTACATTATTTCAGTTCTAGCTGTTCTCCAACATGGCATCATAGGTAGGTGGATGTAGTATCTTTTGATTAAGATGGATTATATCTGAAGTCACAATATTATGACGATTTGCTCTTTATTTTCATATTTACATAAAATTGGGTTCATGTGGACCATTTTTTCCTCGACTATATTCCATAAGCTTTCAATTTTTAAATAATTAGGCAGATCTGGATAGTTTAAGTGATAGTTGTTTCCATCATTTAATTGATTAGTCTAACATCTGCTGCTAAAAGAACACTCTAAAAAAGTTTGATATTAACCATACATTATTTGTTGCATATTCCAAAATTTGGGCATAAGGTGAAGTTTTCTGTCTATTTCTTTGGATGTTGTGTTATAGAAATGTGAGAAACATGACCGGGGTTTCTTTTAGTTAACAGTGGAGTTATGACTGTTAGTTAAGATTTTAAATGGACAAGTTTGAGTTCTTTGGTTTAAGTATTCATTTACCTGTATTGTTGTCTTGTGCAATTCCTATACTTAAGAATGGATTTGGTGTCTCATGTTGAACTCATTTCTTTTACCTTGCACAATGTCATTTTTTGAATATTTATTCAGGCAGGGGGTACTCCATCACGAAATGTTCTGTCTGCAGCAATTGCTAGTATCCAAGAAGCACTCAAAAATAGTGACTGGACGACGCGCAAGGCAGCTTCTGCAGCACTAGCAGAAATTGCTTCAACTGGTGGATCTTGGTTGGGATCTTTTAAGTATTCCTGCATTAGCTCTCTTGAGTCATGCCGTTTTGACAAGGTTGAAGCTGATTTAATAATTGTCTTTGCATAATTCAATTTGTTAAATGATTGAGTTGTGTGATTTTGGATACTTGTTGTGTTTCTTATAGGTCAAACCAGTAAGGGACACGGTGCTGCATGCACTTCAGTATTGGAAACGTCTTCCAGGGGCTGATACTCCTGAACATTCAGAAACTGGATCTTCAATAAAAGGTCTTTTGGCCCATATTTAGTCTTGAGAAAGTCATTCTCGATTGGGTTTTAAGAAATGCGTGAACTTTCTTCCTTTCCTTTTTTTTTTTTTCTTTGGCTTTAGTGTTGAAATAGGGGAAAAAAAATGGTTTCCACAAAACATAACATTGCTAGTAATCTGAACTGAATCATTAGAAATAAACCACAAACAAAAACTTTTTTAACATTTTAGGATGCAAGAATATTGCAATAAGTTCAAAAAGGCAAATATGGGATAACTTTCTCCAATTAAATTGGAGTATGATGGTTTGAAACTGAGATAACATAAAAAAAAAATGAAAGTGATAAAACAAGTCCTTTTACTTGAGGAAATTAAACATGTCTCTATATTTGTCTAGTTTTATGGTGTGTTTAGGCTATTGGGACACCTACAAATGTTTAGACAATTTGAACATTGTCTGCTTGTTTATCAGAATATCAGTTTGCCAAACAGCCAGCTCCTTGATCCAGAAGTCAGTCATTTTTGCAGGCTGTTGCTATTGATCTTGACCATATAGAGTCCCTGTACCCTTTTCTATTCTCTCTTTGAGAAGTGTATTACTCTCAACATAGTGAATCAGAAGATTATAGCTCCTTAGTTATTTTTGAACTTTCACAAAGCCTGTTTTGATTGCCTGATATACACTTTGATTAACTCCATTAATCCAAAATTTGAAAGAAACTATGTAGGGTTTGAGTGCCTAACTTGACATGAACTCCATACAGAAAATTTCTGCAGAGGTGACTATAGTGATCTCACCAATACCAGTGACTGTCTGAGGAAGGATGTAACACCAAATAAAGTTGTTTCAGACTCGGCCAAAAGAAGGATTCCTTTGTCGGTAAAAAAAACATGTCAAAATTACCTAGACAATCAACATTCCAAAGCAGATGAATGGCAAATTGAAATTGCAGTCCCAAAGTCCCGTAATGTTTCATTAGCATATCTTTGTAATGAGGAATCTGAGGGTAGTTCTATTACCAAAACAATTGAAAGATTTGGTTCTGACATTACAAGTACAACAGATAATAGGTTTGCATATGGACCAGTTGATGACAAGCAAGATTGTTCATCAGTGTCCAACTTAGTTGCTGACAATTTTGAGACCAAGTTTGTGACAGTTCCTCATGACTTGCTTGAGGAGGGTAATTTGCTAAGTTCGACGAGAAGAAATCAAAAGTTTGCAGCTGATGGGACAAATAGTGAGGAAAGAAGACGGTCAGCAAAGATGCGGAATCGTATAAGTCTGGATTCTACAGTCACAGATGTTAGTTTTCAGCCTTCACATGGATGTTGTTCACAGGTAGCCAGTGAAATGTCTTGTATCCAGAAACAACTTTTGGACATCGAAAATAAACAGTCAAACTTAGTGGAACTGCTGCAGGTAAAGATCTATGGCTGCAGTATTGTTTTGGGGCTTTATATCGGTCCAAAAATGTTACGACTGGCAGTTTGTTGATGCACTATATTCTTGTGACCTTAATGCTAAATATACGGGCTTTTCTAAAGTATGGGGTTTTTAGTATTTCTTTATCTGCACGTGGGACAGCATAACAAATGCTATTCTTTTTTAGTTTGTTCTATAAATATGTTATTATTTAACTAGCTTTTAGGAAAGCAGCATTAGAATGGAAATTAATTTAGTGAATAAGTATATATCCATAAGGTGGTGGTTTTAAAACCTAGCATATTGTTCAATTTTTTCACTTCCATTTAAGGATATCTTTGTGTTTGTCTTCAGTGTTTCTTGTCCTATAATGCGTATGTCAAATCTTGGTTTACATTTGCTTCTTGAGAAGACAATCTCTTATGTCTAGCTTATTTAGCTTGGCTATTTTTGAAGACTCCATTTAAATGAAGAATTGATGAACAGAGGAAATGCTACCTGGCAATCTAATTTGTGGGTTTTACTGGATTAAATATCATAAGTCATTCTATGAAAGAATTGCTTATTTGCTCTGAAGCAACAGGGAATTTTATCTTGTATAATACATTGTCCTTATCAAGGTTCTGACAAATTTCTAATCAATTTCTAGTGACACAATTTATTTACAGGTGTTTTCGACTGGCATAATGGATAGCTTATCCTTGTTAAAGTCTAAAGTGTCAGTTTTAGAGCATGAAGTTGGTAAAATCAGTCATGCTCTTCTGCAAGGGGGGAGGCATTCTGATTCAACAATTTCCAAACCGAAGGAGCAGAACCAAAGTGTTTCTTCTCCCCGAATTTCAACATCTACTCCAAGGCCATCCGTTGATATTCGCAATAGACAACCTTCATTGTTATCAGCAAACAATTCTTATATTTGGGAGGAAAAAACAGTTGGCAGAAGCAGATCAATCCATTCTGCCAGACAGGGCACCGAGATATGGACTAATCCAGCTATGAAGACTAATAGGAATGCCATAATGAAGGACATGCAGAAAACATCTGGACATGGAGGATCAGCCATGAATTGTACACAAAAAGTTGATGCTGTAGGTGCTTCAATTTCAAGTGCCAATGCCATGGAAAATGGTCCAGATAATAACAAATGCATGTGGCAGCGTGTGAAAGGTTTTCTATGCAAAGGGGACCTTGACTCTGCATATGTGGAAGCTCTTTCTTCTATTGATGAACTTGTTCTCATTGAGCTTCTTGATAGAACTGGTCCTGTATTGGAAAGTTTATCACACAAGACCGTCATTGACATTCTTAGCACTTTGGCATCTTTCTTCTTAGAACAAAGATTTACAAAATCTATAATCCCTTGGTTGCAGCAGGCAAGTACTTCTCTCCTTATCTTGTTTACATGTTATACTATCCGTGTGATATGCTTCATTATCACTGCCTATCATCAAATGCTGGATCTGAGATATATATATACATTCTTAGCAACTGTTGGCATCTTTCTTCTTAGAACAAAGATTTACAAAATCTATAAATCCCTTGGGTTGCCAGGCAGGCAAGACTTCTCTCTTAATCTTGTTTACATGTTACTATCCGGAATATGCTTCATTTATCAACTGCCTATCAATCAAATGCTGGATCTGAGAATATAATATATAAATATATATTATATATATTTTTTTTTCTGGTTATTACTCATTAGCTGATATATATATATATATATTTTTTTTTTTCTGGTTATTACTCATTAGCTGGATGATACAAAGCTGGCATAAAATTGGGAAACCATTATATATGAATTTGCTAGGGTGTCCAGATCCTGGATATTGGGTTCTTGATGGTAATATACTAGTATCAACGAGAACTATGAGCTATCTGTGTATTTAAATTGGAAAACTGTTAAATTTTCATTATCTCTGTGTTAACTTTGCTATTTGTTCATTTAATTGGACAAAATATTACCGTTTCTTTAGTAAATAGCAAAAGCATTATGTGGTTATAACTAGGCCAATTATTTAAACTTAATTGCGCAATCAACTTCATAAAATGCATTTTTTGTGGAATAACATGAATGAATCTCTAGTCGTGATTGGTTATTTAAAAGTCCTACAATTGAGTTCGCCTTTCTATCACTCAGTCGTTCAAACTGATAATATGATCTGTCACTTCTGTCAAGTTTTCAGAACTACTCGGGTAATTTTCATCTAGTACATGCAAACTTTCAAATGAAAGACGGTAAATTTCTTTCATTTTAGGTAGTGGACTTGAGCACAATACATGGACCGGATTATTTCGTGCTCTCTGCCAAAGCAAGAAGAGACTTCTTGTCAGCGATTCAGGAGGCTGCTAATATGGAATTTTCCGATCCTGCAGAGAGAAGAACTACGACTCAACTTGCAGTGAGATTATGCCGCCTATGGGGTAAGAGAACTTCAAATTGAGAATTTCTTTTTCGTTTTCACTTGAAAGACCTAGGAGGAATTTAAAACTCCACGGACTTGGTACAAATTTTTTATCTACAAAAGTACTCATTAAATCCGTGGGTTTAATTTATATGCTAAACAAGAAATATTAGTATATAAATTCATGGGAGTCTAAAATTTAAGATTTTAATTCTATGGATTTTAACAATTTCCATGAATTTTAGAACCCTCAATCCAAACATCGTCATCATTCATGTCAGTTTTGGTGGTTGCACCTCGTGGTTTTCGGAGTCTACTATGATACTTGCCCGTAAATAGTTGATTTCAAAATTGGCTAAACATATCCCATAGTCTTATTCTTTCAATTTCAGATTATCTAATATTCGCTATCAAGCCTCAGAATTTTGTCAGTTTCGCTAACAAACTTCCATGGATTTATTTTCTTTATATTGACCCCTTGAATTCCAATCGCATTGAAAACTAATTTAATACTTTTCAAAAATGGCTCAATTCTGTTGTAATTATTAATAGTTTTACAATTTGATGTGCAAAATTTAACGTTTTTGAGGAAAACCCTTGGCTGAATTTTTAATAACCGCTTTTTTCCAAAAGTGAAAAAAAAAGAGCAAATTCTATTATGAAAACTCAAGTAAATATTAATAGTTTTACAATCTTGGTAGTAGTTTTCGCTAATTGTTTCTTTGTTTTTTTTTTTTTTAAAGCAAATTCTACTGTGGAAACCAGAATAAGAGAGAAAAAAAAAAAAAAAAGATTACAGTCAAATTAATATACCGAGATTTCTATTTTTGAAAATAAGCTACAAGTTTCTTCAGTTATGTGCCTTACTGCTTTGAGGTTATGGGTAAGAATTCTATTATGTTGATAAGCAAACATTAGGGATGGGAATGTCTCATCCTCGCTTCATTTAAGCACTTGACAAAATGTGACTGCACGTTTAACGCAACTATTTCATTTGTTGTATAGGGCTAATTTGGATTACACTTTTCTTTTGTAGGGAGAAGCTGCCAATAATCACCAAATCAAATGCTTGGCTTTGTTTTTTTTATAGAGAGTAATTTTTCATTTGAGGCGTTCTATTTATATAGAGAAATTACTCGATATAAAAACTAGTTTAATGTAAAATGTCCTCTATGGCTTCATTTGTAGTTTGTGTATGCATTAAATTGACTCCTTCATTTAACGTGTTTAATTTATCGATGCACATCTTTTTATTTTTCTCTCATCGTCTTTATCTAAGATGTGCATTACTAATACTTTTCGCGTCTATATTTTTATGCATGTAACGGAAAGATACGTATATGAGCTATTTGCACATAGGAGGGCATAAGCATTAGACGTTCTTATCAAATGCAGGGTGAAAAATTTAAGTTCTCCCTAATCTTTTGTGCTCTTGCTTTATTAATGTACACATTTGTTCTTTCCAATTTTCCTAAACCCTGCCTAAAATTACCTGAAGTATCCAAACCAAACCGATTTGATTTAATTTAGAGTTGGTTTCGTTTAGTTTGATGTTCAGCATGATTTTTGTTAGCCGTTTTCTTCTCACTTCGGTTTCAGTTTGTTTCAGACTGACCCACACATGTTTGTTTATTTAAAATTCCCTGCTATTGTATAGTATGAAAGGAAAAAAAGAAAAAAAAGAAAAAAGAAAACAGCAAATTAATCGAACAGAAGCGTAAAAACAAAGTCGGGAATTCAACTTGGGTGCCAAACATTTAGCAAAGTGTCTCAAATTTCACTAAGAAATGGACAAGATACCAATGCCAAAAACATATTGGAAGACCAGTTGATACATTTCTTACAATTTCATCTTCCATTCATATTGATACATCTTCTACTATGGTAAACTCTGGTTTCTCATCGGACTTGAGATTGAATCATCTGGACATGGGCTATAAATATCACTCTCTGTTTGGGATTCGCTATTGCCTCTTCCTTTTGATGGTTTGCCTCTTCCATTACCTTTCAGGTTTCTTCTATCTGGATTATAAGGAGAGAGCCCTGGATCTTCATAAAGAGTCACCCCTTTTTCGTTGCTTTGAAACATGGAGTCTTCATCCTTTGTCTGAACACCTTCAAGTAGTTCAACTACCTGGCTCATTAGGGGTCTCCCTTTCGGATTTTGGCTAAGGCACTGGTATGCTAAATTGGCTACTTTCATTGCAGTTCTAACTGAATACTGCCCTTCCATTCTAGGGTCTAAGATCCTTAAAACCTTTTTATTGTGGTTCAGAAGCGGGCGAGCCCACTCAACCAAGTTGTGTTCTCGGCTAGGTCTGCCCTTGTCCAAGGCCCTCCTTCCGAGAAGCAATTCAAGTAGCACAACTCCAAAACCATAAACATCACTCCGAGCCGTTAAATGTCCTGGCTCAGGTAAATTATAGCTTAGTTCATTGCTGCTATAATCAGTTGAATGCAAAATTTTATATTATAGAACTCAATGAAGTTACCACAGAGAAATAAAGGCTAGAATAATAGCAAAGGTGCTCAATGTACATTGAATAAACTTTCGGCGTTCTCATTTTTGCTCCCTCCATTTCCCTTCGATCTGGCAGAGGGATAGGGGACAAGCAGGAAACCACTGGCCTGCAGCCTACTGACCCAATGGCATTTCAATGTTTATTTTCACATCAACTACTAATATCCTTTCTAATGTGGAGATCAAATAATTTAGAGGAAAAACAAATGATTCTAAAATACTCAAACTGTAAAGGCTGGGACAGTGCTTGGCGGTACACAGCAAGGGGGCACGCCTTTCTCAGCTTTCTCAGTAATGCATGTTTCTCTACATATTTGGCTCATTTATAACTGCACTCAGTCCCACCCCAACCAATATTCTTAGAAAGTTATAAATTATATTTATTTAATATATAAATCCCACATTTATGTCTTGCTTCTTTTACAAATCTAAGTGAAACAAGCAGTAAACACCAACTTTCCTTTAAAAGCTTAATGTAATCTTATGAAAGATTAAATATTTAAGACATGAGCTTGAATTATTTGAGCATTATATATACAAGTTTAATTTCCTATACTAAAGAAAGTTTAAATTGATTTTCATTCATAATAAAATTTATGAAGGTTTACCAACTGATGCATGTTATACTTTTGAACCTTTTATGTATAATTTGAAATAGACATAATATCAAGTGATAAAGGATTTCGTCACTAACAATCTCTAATAATAAATTTGAACTAAACCCCCCCCATAATACAAGTGATATAAGAGGATTCCGTCATCTAACAATCCTCTAATAATAAATTTTGATACTAAACCCCCCCCCCCCCCCTTTCCTTTCTTTTTTCAGATAAAATATTTTACATTCTTGTCCATTATCTTTCCTCTTTCTTTCTTTTCAGATAAAATCATTTACATTCTTGTCCCATATGCCCAAATCCCGCATCTGCCATTGATTCAACCCCCCATCTGCCACTGATTCAACCCCCACAAGACAGATAAATATGCTTCTACCATTTTTGCTTGGCATAAGACTTCAAAATTTTAGCCAAATGAAAACACGCACATGGACTCCTTAAATCTCAAAATTATCAACACCAAAGGAAGCAGTTAACAGCAATTCGTAATACATACCAGTCATTACGTATTCAGGTGCAGCATATCCATATGTACCCATCACCCGTGTTGACACATGTGTCTGGTCTCCCATTGGTCCATCTTTTGCAAGCCCAAAATCTGAAAGCTTTGCATTGAAATGCTGCATGTCATATTCCACAGCCATTCAGCAAAGGAACAAACAAATTGACAAAGAAAGAAAGATCTTCCTCAAGAGCAGGCACCATTTCTAAGAGAACTTAAATCATTTTCCCCTTATTGATAAAACATACTCGAGAAATTCTAATTAGGAAATCCCAATCCGATTGGAATATGAATCGGGAAAAGGAGTAATATAAAGGGTGAGGGCAAGCCTCCATCCTACAGCCTGAGGTCTAGAAGGCCTCCAATGGACCAGCAATAATACCTTGGAAAAGGATATATTGGTAACTTTAAGAGAAATAAGTTTTCAGCAAGATCATATAAAGTCAAAAAGATTTTTGCAGTCATAAACAGAAAAAAGCCCATACAGGTGTATATCTAAATAATGTATAAACTAACAATACAATGAGAACTAACCCAATAACCGCAAATAATAGGAATTCATAAATAACAACGCAATGCAACTAACCGCATCCAGTAGGATGTTGGATGTCTTGAAATCACGGTATATGATGGATCTTTCTGCACAGTGAAGAAAAGCAAGTCCTTTTGCTGCATCTAAAGCAATCTTCATTCTTTTTGACCAGGTCAAAGTGCAACCCACTCCTAACACCCACAGACAAATAAAAATAATAAAAACACTTACTTTCATCCTTTTAGGGTTAATGGTACAAGAAATGCATACATTCTATCAAATAGTTTCCTGCAGGAAATAATACAAGTTTTCACACCTCAACAGTATTGATAAACGACACTAAAATAACACCAAGGAGATGATAGGTCTCAAAGATCCATAGCAAAAGAAATATTTGGAGGTTTAACTGCATAATTAGAAGTGCACTGACAGTTGCACAAATGTAATGTAAGGTTATTGGGTAGGCATAGGACAGTAATCTGTAACAAATGATATGGTATGATGTGACAGATTTAGGAACTAGAAACTTAGTTTCAGCATCAGAAAGTTTCTGTTAGCAGGCCTCAGAAAGTTTACAAGCATTTCACACATGGTCCAAAGAGAAAGGTTTGATGCGGTCAAGCCTGAGATCAGATCAGGCAGCTGGAGCTTCCATGTTCTTGGTGCTTCCGTGATATTAGTCCATGATGTATATAGTGGATGTCAGTAGTCAATATTTTGTTATCAGCATTTTTGTTTAGTTATTTTCTTTCTTGGTTATAGGAGGGTGTTCCTCCAAGTTTGTTTATAGTCCAGATATGTAAAGTTAATAAAATAAGTATTATTAAATTCTCACAATTTGAGTACTTTGAACTCAAGAGGTTTTCAGGTTCTCACTAATGAGCCTGTTCTTTTACAACCATAGATAAAAAAAATAAAAAAAGAAACCCCTCTCCCAACCTTCACACACTTGCGCTGCCCTTTTCTCCAAAGACCCATAACAAAATCCATATCATGGGACCACAACGGCTTCTCTAGGCCATATTAGCCCAAATTAGCATATACAGCAGTTAAATTAGTAAATCGTTAAAAGTAATGACCAGAAGCTTTAAGAGATAGGAGAGGTGACTGTTGCTGTTATTAGTGCCTTAGCTGGTTGGTATTCAGATGAATTGTAGACAAAGGAGTTTGGAAAGCTAAACTTAGGAAGTTTAGGCAATATAAAATCCAATTATTCATGAAAAAAATTGTTGCATGACGTATATATCCAAGTAAAGGTTGATCTTGTAATAAATACAACAATGAATAATTCCTGACTTGAGAAATCATAGTAACCATTAATTTGCCATGTATAAACCATTGTAGATGTTTTTTACTGTTTTCACAAAATGTCAGAATATTGCAAGAAAAAACTAGCAATTAAAAAAAACTGAAGAGACTAAAGTAAAGGTTGATCTGCTAACATTCAGTCTGGAGACACAAATATGGATGACACTCATAAATGTAAAGATTTCACCAAGCCAGCACTTCAAAATTCACGGGCAAATTACCAAAGAGGAAAGAATGAAGCAGGAAATGTCACGAAAGGCCAAATTTAGGAACTCTGCAAATACGTTAAATCTTTTCTTTCTCTGTCATTGAAACTTAACACACTAGAGTTAGTTTTACTAGGCTTGAGAATTTAACTTTACAATAAATATAGTTTAAAAGGAGTCATAAGCATGTGTCAGTCATATAATTTTAGTTGCTTCAACTTAGCATAAACATGGTATTTAGTCAGCTTTTACTTTTGAAGTCTGCATTGACATTAAAATAATTTTGGTTTCAATAGATTTTGTCAAGAGCTATCCAAGGTGGTGGACTAACCACTCTTATTCTCATTCTAAAATCTTATATGTTACCCTTTTTTCTTTTCTTAATAACTGAAGCTACATCACACGTACTTGATCAATGGGGAGCCCAAAACTCCTGATTTGCAATTGACGGAAAAAAAGACTAGCTTGAAAGTTAATGAAGGAAAACAGATAGCGAAAAAAGACGATCCCATGAGAAATGAGAATTGGGTGGGAGAATGACCATAAGCAGAATGTAAAGCTCGTTGACTAGAGAGATAATCAGTTTTCATGCTAGAGTGATTGAAGATAGGAAATAATTGTTAAAAGTACATTGACATCCTTGGCTTAAAATAAGGTTGATGAGGAAAATAATTGTGGAGAGATATCAACATACTACAGCTTCAAATGGGTTTGTCAATAGAACTTGAAGGAAATTGTTGCATGTAAAAATGAACATCCTCATGAATTTGCTAACTAAGCTTGAGCGTCCAACTTTTAGATGAAATTGAGTGAGGATGTGAATGTTGAAATTCAGAAGAGATATGTGAGATCGATCGTCCTATGCCCAGGGTTACAGTAGAGGGTCTTTAGAGCAGGATCCTGAACTGAAACACTCAGTAAAATGTGCAAGGGCTAAATCTTTTATAACCAATAATATATGTGAATCACAAATCACATTACAGCAGAAATATTCAATGTTATGTTGCTGGAGCTGCCATACCACAATGTGAAACTTAAATGAGCCAATCATGATCACATAGAGTTAGATTTGGGTGACCATTTCATTGGGTAAGTTCATGAGTTTGAATGGAAGACATAGTTCATGAACCAAAAGAGCCAGAGTCCAAGAACCATCCCTAAGAGTTGCTTATGTTTATCATATTGCATGATATGCCATTAAGAATGTGGTCAGAGAGCACTAAGGTTAATTCAGATGCAAGAGATTGTAATGTCTATCTTGATTAAGGATCTATTTTGATTAAGAATTCTAGAAATCCAGGATGGATCATAACACATTGAGAGAAGCTTTCTTCTTATGAGAATCGAGATTTAATCGCCACATGATGCAAGCATTCACAAGAAACTTTAGAAATATGACACTAAGATTAACCTTCTTGAAGTCATTCCAGTGTAAAAGGACACCGTCGTACCTGTGTGACAATTGGCCCAGCAACAACATTACAGAATATATGCTCTAGAAACATTATAGAACACACCAATGCCCATAATTTGCAATTTGTGTAACAGCATAGGCAACCTTATTAAAGATACACTGCATAAGATATGATGATGTTCATAATGATTACACAAAGAAATGTACACCCTATTTATGGGACTTTTTCCATAAACTCGGTAAATATTAAATTTCACATTTCTTTTAGTAATATCACCTTACATCTGTATTCAATTTCAATCATTAAATTCAACAGTTTTGATTATATGCTTCTGTAAGATACTTCACTAGGTCAAAAGCGTAACTTATCCTAAGCATCCTGTACTTCCATTTCAAATTTTATTTTAGACTATTAAAGGAAAATTTGTTACCTTTAAAATAAGACAGTTGTGTCCAACATAAATATGTTAGCTCGCATAACCTAACTAAAACATCCACCTCCAATAATATTAAGAAAAAGTAGGCACTTAAACATCTCAGTCAATCATTCTATTTTAAAGTATGTCACATAAAACCCCATTCCTTATAAACATACATGATTTAAAGTTGCAAAATTCACTTACGGCGAAAAAGATGTTTCTCCAAGCTCCCACTTGCCATGTACTCATAGACCAATAACCTGTGCTCATCTTCACAGCAATATCCAATAAGCTTTACAAGATTTGAATGACTGAGTTGGCCTAAATAGTTGACTTCTGCCTGCCAAGAAAACAATGAATACTAAACACAAGCCACCACAGCACATGCATAAGCAGATCATTTATGAGAAAACAAGTTCCATTTTTTGGGTAAATGGTAAAGAAATAGCCTTGTCAAAACAGAAAGATAGGCCATCCACTATGGCCCTATATTTTTAGATTGATACCTATGTTGCATGAGAACGGAAATGTGGAAGGATGAAAATGGTATTTGAAGAAATATAAGAAATAGAAATGTGGGAGGAACGCATAAATATAAAAAATATGGGGGTATTTAGAAAGACAAAATTTAAGTTATTATAAACCATTAAATATTCAACAATATGATTTAACTATATTGGAAAGGAAGAAAAAAAAAAACTCATTTACAAGTTCTATACTCATAAAAAATACATGTTTTGTGGACTTATATTTGTTTTATTTTTAATTTATTTTAATTAAAGAAAGGCGTTTGAGTATTTCTGAGACTCCTGCAAAAGCTCTAAGCACATGGCATTCGAAAGAGGAGTTCACACAGATTGAGTATTTAATTACTTTAGGAATTTTTGTTTTTCCTTCTTTAATTAAGATTCCTATATAGTATGTTAGTTAATTAGGAAAAATTCATTTTTCCTTCTCTATAGGATTCCTATTTAATAGAATATTAACTAATTAGGAACTCTTCAGTAGAGAATTAGGATTTGTCCTAACTAATATGAATAGGACAACGATAGTTAGTTTATGTATTGTATTTTCTCTATTAATGTTTGTATTGTATCTTCTCTATTAATTCAGAATTTTAATTCTAAGGTTCTATTCAAAACCAATTATTTTATAATGTTCCAACCACAATCACCCTGTTCTAGCTCTAGTTGTTGAGAAATAATTGCCCTAAATTCTTCTGCTGCATCAGGAGGGGGAATTATGCAGTAGCAGGCCACAGGTAAGTTCAAATTAAGAGTTAACTGAGTCGAGTTTTACTCCTTTAGAATAAATTTATAAATATAATCAAATGTGTGTAGCTATATAGACAAAATAAAACAAAACGCCTCCTTAAGAAACTAATTAAAAATTTTGCTAACATAATCCAAAAATAAACATTAAGTTCATTAATTATAATTCAAAACCATGATATCTGAATATACAGAAGAATAAGTTCTTCACTAGAATGTTCAAAGGCTCTTATGGGGACTATGGCTAGGAAGAGTTTAGATGAAAACCTATATTAAGGCATTTGGACAGTAAGGTGTGAGAGTGAGTGTGTTCAATGTAAACATGCCCTTCATGGAAGGTAACATTTCAGAAATTTTCAATCTATAAAAGAAATAAACATGCTGAGAAAATATGATTAAGGCAAATACCAGCCATTCTCTGTCACCTTGTAACCCATCTGGATTAAGCTCTTTAATAGCAACAGCTGTAGTCTCATAACCAGGCCTTATGCTTTCATCTATGACGCCCTTATAAACAACTCCAAATCCACCCTCACCAAGAATGAAATCTGGTCGGAAATGTTTTGTGGCCAATATCATTTCCTCGTATGTAAAGATATCAACATTGCCATATCCAGGACTCTGGCGAAGATCAGTGACATTCTTGGGGACCAACGGGGCACTCATTGTCCTTTTAACCTCAAAAGACTCTGGCTTATTTAATTTACTTGGAGACTGATTAAAGCCTTGTCCTGCTTTGATTTCACAAGGGAAAAAAATTATCAATAAGTTACCACATAAAATACAGTTACAAAATTTACTGATTTCATGCTTTTTAAATTTTTCCGACACTTGTAATACCTGGCCTTATTTTAGATTCAGAAACGTCAAGAAAACAATGACTAATTATAGAAAGTCCATCACGCAAATTTTGGAGTAAATTTCTACATTTTGTTCTGCCATAGTTTTCACAACTTAACATTGCATGTCAACTATCTACATATTAACTGATCACTGAATTGCAAAATTCACTTGCATTAATCAAAACCAACATAAGACTCTTAATACTTTAGAACAGATTTATCAAAAGCCCCACATGTTTGCCTCATCAAAAACGAAAGAAAATTCCCATTTTTTTTCCATGAAATCAAAATGCAAATGAATCCCATTTCATTAGTTACTTACAGAAGAGGAAAATGCAGGAGGAAATCAAAACAAATACCACATACAGTTAAAACGAGAATTGATCGAGTTTCCATAGGAAAGTTTTGCAAAAAGGTTCTGGTTTAAATACCGTTCTTAGAAGAGAATTGGCGGTGCTCGTTAGATAGTTGGTCATCTTCAATACTAAAGCAAATCCCCATCAATTTCGACCTTAAAAGTCACCTGGATCTATTACATTTCATCTTCCCATTTATCAGACCAGACCCAAACCCCTTATCCAAACAACAAAAAACAAATCCGACCAAATGAGTTTCCCCACGAAGGAGATAACAACGGCAAACCCCAAGAGATGATAAATGGCCTCGGGATCCGATCTGGGTCTACCCGAATCTCAAATGGGTCGCCAGAATTTTACTCTGGTATCCGGAAACACACCACAACGGGACCCAATTAGTCGTAGAGAAATTTCAACTAGGATTAGATGGGAAGAGAGAAATCGTTTTAGAGAGAGAATCAAACGTGTTGATTTGCAGAAAGGCTTCTTCTCCTTGGAAAAAACAGCCGCCAAAACAGCCAAACTAGCGGGCCCTCTGATGCCTGTTAGCACTCTGTCTTAACACATAAGCCTTCATCTTTAGTCTTATTTTCCATTTTGCCACTTTTGATTTTTGAATTTTCACCGACGCGTAATGACATGGGAAATTATTTTAATTTTTTTATGGTATTGGAGACCTGAAAATTCTTTGGATATTGACATGCAAAAGCAGAGTAACGACGCTGTGCTCCGTAGCCATTTTTCCTCATAAAAAAAATGAGAATAATATGATTAAAAAAAAAAGTACAACTTAAAGAAGCATGATCGGTTCTTAATAATATGATTAAAAAAAAATACAACTTAAGAAGTATGATTGGTTCTTATAAATTTGAAGTTGCCACGAATTTAAATGCTTAAATAAATTTGTTTAGAGGTAAATTTATGTAGTTGTGGTGAATTTTTTTTACTATAGAAGATGCATAGTAATAAAAATTACGATAATATATAAATTGGTATCTAAATCATGTGCAAATTAATACACGGATTCTCTCTATTTTTAAAAGGTAATTCTGACATCTCTTCTAACTTTTAATTCTATGAACTATAGAATTCTCCCATCTAAAATACATACACGGTGACATAATGCTCACACAAATATCAATCACAAGGTTAGCGAGAAATTAAACAATGGATGAGCTTAGTTAGCAAGAATCAGAAATTTATTGGCAACAGTCAATCTGTCTCTCGTTGCTGAGAAGACTCAAAGTCAATATGAAAATGATTATTCCTGCATGTTAATAAAGCCTAAATGGTCATCCCAGTCCATATTCTCAAATCATAACCTGGTAATTTTGCTTTATCCAATTTCATCCAAACACCCAAAATTTCAATTTGTGAAACATCAATACGGTTCCACTGTTCGTCAGTGGCACGCCCTCTCTTATTCCAATATGAGATCACGTCTTGGCTCATTGTTTAACAATGTTAGTTTGTTCCCGTTGTCCAAGGTTCAATCGAGGCTCACTTCTGGTTTGTTATTATTTTCAAAAGCCTATAGAAGATTCCATGAGGTCAAGCTGGTGTTGTGTTTGTTGTTAAATTTACTGGTTTCCTGAGTTTATAATTCTTTTTTTCAACTTTTTCAATCTTCAAGTTTAGTAAAATACAAAGTATATGTAGATTTTGATACTTTTTGGATAATGAACTCTGTCAGAAACTTCCATTAAATCTGAATAGATTTGTTTGATAGTTCTAATTGTTTGATTTATCTTATGATTATCAAATTACATTTAGGATCAACTCTTAGCCATTGTTTTCATACCCTTAGTAATATCCTCCTATCGCTGGAAAAAAAAAAAAAAATACAGAAGACAAATTTTATTTCTCTTTGCCAGTTTTCTTAACACATAAACTCAAATATATGTTACTTTAATTCTTCATTTTACTCAAAGCTCTCAGTATGTATTTTGATACTCTGCACAACAAATTTTCTACTTATAGAAGTTCTAACGTTGTTAACCTAATGAAGGATTTTATAGGATGATGTTATTTACTTTTATTAAAATTTTTTTTATTCATTGAAGGCCTGGGCTAATATAACATTGCGGGCTACACAATATAGAGCGATCCTTCTCTAAACTCATCAAATTGGTGAAAACACTTACGATCGAGAGAACTTAAACTCGAGATCTTTTAATTTTCACATAAGTGAGAAAATCAAACACACTACACCTGATTGGCTTTTGTTGTAACAAAAGAGTGACCTATTTTTTTTGTTGATACGGCGAACTATTTTGTTGGCTTTCAATCTCATGACAATCTGCAGTTGATTCACGCTATACTTTTTGGAAAGAAAGCAAAGACGCTGCCTTAATTTGGTTTTGTGGTAGCTATATTTCCATGCAGAATGGGATTTTAGCTTTACACTTTGTGTTGTTAATCTTTATCTTTTGTTCTAATTGATTTTTGTTCCTCTCATTATTGATTATTTGATTTAACATTATCATATTACTACTTTTTACGGTTTCGTGCACACAATTTGAAGAGAAACTATTTTTCGCGCTACCTTTCGACTTCTGTTATATCTCTTTTTTTTTTTGGGTGAATTGTTATTACTGATCTTTGTGAAATGTTGTTGTTAGGAATTTATGGAAATCAAAATTAAGATACCTACTAAGATCAACAACCAAAGCGAAAGAGGAGGAGAAGAAGAGAATAAACAGCCATTGGATGCTTCCAAGAGGTAACCAATTCTTCTCTTATTCTCCTATTTTTTTTTTCTTCTTTAGACTTGAAAATTGAAAAGTATGTACAAAATATGATATATGGGGGAAGCGGATAATTTTATCATGTTAAATCGTAGAGAAATTGAATTAATAATTAAGTATTTGGGTTCTGATTTAATAGCATAATTTCACTGAACAATTTGATTTACCAATTTTAAACAACCATGTCCTTTTAAAAAAAAAAAAAAAATACCCATGTCCCTGTATTTTATACAATTAAATTTGACCTGATAATTTAATGAATGATGGCAGAGACATAGTTATATATATATAGACAAACTAAGAGTTTGTTTCATTTCCATAGTTTACTAGGAAGAATTGTGTTTCCATTTCAATAATTGGATTTTATACATTTATATTTGGGTTGAGTTCGAAAAAATGTTTGATCGGTTATATTTGAATTAGGCTTGCCATATAAATATTCATGTTGGACTTGCTTTATGAATACCCTTGTTGGGTTTAATCAGCATCACAGGTTTACTACGAGTCTCGATAGACTTATGCATATCCGCAATAACGTACATAACAGTAATTAACCAATGAAACTTGAACAAGACCAAAATCTAGTCAAATATAAACCGATTCAATATGCAATTAACATGTTGAGCTTGCAAATATAGTTTGAATTGAAAAACTTTGACTTTAAACTTTGGCAATTCTCTCCTTGGTCTCTGGAGAGTTCAATCATAATACTGTTCACACTTCGGTAATGATTATGTCTCTTGCTAAAATGAAATGTTAAAGAATAAGTTATGATTAAACTTTGCAAAAATATTTCATTTCAGCTATGGACATATTATTAAAGTGTGAAAGTAAAAAGTCATGACTGAACCATTACAAAATCAATGAGACCACAAGAAAAATCAACTAAAGTCTAGGATCAAATTTATGCAATGGTCCAAAAGAAAGGTAAGGAGAAAATGATAATTTTGAAACAAAAATTTCAATTGTTTATTTTTTTTTTATTGTCACAAAATTATGGATTTTTCATAATATTTTGTGAAATACATTTGTTAGAAAAATTGTATAAAATCATGTAATACTATCAAGTTTTTAATAATATAAACGGCTTATAGAATATATAATTGACAAAAATTAAAAAATTTGAATCAACTTAAAAATTTTATATATGAAAAAATTTAAATTATAGGAATATATAAAATGACGTTAAATTTCTTTTACAAAGAACATAAATATATAATGGGTATGGATGTAAAAATAAAAACCTAACCCTTAATCAGCATGAAAACGAGGTAAGTTTAAGTTTAAATTAATGCCTTGAAAGGAAGCGGAGCTCATTCGGTTTCCAGTTGCAAAACTCATTTTCCTTCCTTAAACAATCTCTCATCGCCGCTTCGTTCTTCTAGCCGTTTATCGAAAGATTAATCTGACTACACGAGCGGCTATCGTCGCGCCGCAACAAGCTCTGTAACGAGCTCTGTTGCTTGCGTTAGCGAGACTGTCACTGGCTTGCCTTATTGGTTGGTGAGTTTGAATTTTGAGTGAATTAAAGTTCTTTACTCTGTATTTATGAACAATTATGCATTTGGTGGATTTTGAGTTATTGCTTTTTTGATTGTTTTTCTTTCCCAATCCATTTGAAATTGAAGGATTTTGATTCCTTCTGTTTTGTGTTTGCTTTACGGGTTTTGTTGTTTTTTCAGTTGCTTGATAAAATAGCACGTATTTGATGGAATTGAAATAATTTGTTTCTTTTAGTTGGCTCCCTGTTTAATTATGGTTACAATCAAGTTTTGGTCTGAATTCATTGGTTGGAGCTAAAGCATGGATTTAGTTTATCTGAAAGTTCTTTCTTTTACTTGTGACTTGATGTTTTATGTTGTTCTACACATTGCTTGAAACTGTTGCTAGATGTTAATCCTAATTTTTGTGAGCCTTGATTAAACATTTGAATTGAAGATCTAATTACATAAAAATCTATTTTTTGAGGTTTCATCCTTTTAACTAGTAATGTATATTATATGCTGATCTGTGGGTTATTGGATGCCATTGCTTCATAATTATGCAAGTTGTAATTTAAAGGGGGTTTCAAGGTGCCTCTTATATAATTGATGGTTCATGTATGGTTTGAATGGAGTTCGGTTATGGCTGGGCATTTTCGTGGTATCTGAGCTGTTCGCAATCCCTATGAACTTTCGACAATTACACTTTATTACGAAGTATAATGTTTGATCTTCAATGTTTATTTTATTTCTTTGACCTTGTTTTGAAGGCACTAAGACTTGTGCCTTTATGTTCTACTGCTTACAAGCCATATTAAATAATTGTGATATGTTTTTATGCTCTGTGAATTGAGAAGTTTGATTGGTGGCGCGAGTTTGCATGTCTTAATGACAAATCTTCTATGTCATTTTGTATGACTTAGCTCATTGATTGAACTTGAAAAGCTTATTATGTCTTGTTGATTTATTTTTGGGAATTACCTGTTTTTATTTTGTTGAAAAGAATTCTCTTTCCTCTCATGAATAATTACAAGAGTGCGTTGAAATGGGTGTGATAAAAACATGTACAGGAAGGTTTGTATGGAGCAAGACTTGAGTAAATTGGATGTAACACACGTTACATTTCCACTTTCCCTGAAGTTTTATCTCGCAGCAACTATAATATAATTTACTTTTTATTGTCATCTCACATGTTGAATTGCTTTTAGTTGTTGTAATATTCTAATTGCATGCACTAGTGTATCTAGTCAGTGTAGTTTATGATCAGATGGGTTGAGATGGTATTTTTTTAGCACATAACGTATGTGCACATGGGAACTCAACAGTTGGAACAAATATCTGTGTTCAGAAGTCGATTTAGCTTTTTACAGGGGCAATTTGTAGTTATTTAGAATGCAATGTTTATTTCTTAAATTGACTGTTCAACATCCAGTTCTGGTAATTTTTTTTTTTTTTTTTTTTGTTTTGGCAGTCTTTAAAACAAGCAATGGGCTTTCTTAAAATTTGGGTCTCCTTTAAACAATAACCATGTGCCTTGTTTTTATTGATTGTCCTTTATGTAGATTTTTTTTACTCACAAGTTATATTAGTCCATTGACCCATAAGTATAATCCTTTAAACTCAAAATTTATGCTATTGATAATTATCAATTTAACATTTGTTTTTTTTCCAATTTTTCTTACCATTTGTTATGTGTATTTCACTTTTTAAAAGTTCTAAATAAAAAAGAAGTTATGAACAGCTTTTAGGTGTAAAATTTTAACCAATAAAATGCTTAATGAATTTAATAATTATAAATTGTGTACCACATATCAAATCAGTGTACCAACGAAGTCTACCCTTATTTGGGTATTTCTTACCGGTACCCATATCGTGACCAAAATGTGCTATCTTCCAGGTAACTATGGCATGCACCATATAAAAAATACTAGCTGTCGGACTTGCTTTTGTTGCAAATATAAGTAACTTTGCTCCTTATAACAGGAAATCTGCTAGTACAAACATGTTTAGTTCTAGCATATGAAGAATGTAGAAAATTAACTTTTTCCTTACTATTACTCCTTGGTACTTTAATATCTTTTGCTCATCTTTTGGTCAGTTCAATTACTTGGTTGTGGAATTATTTTCTAGACATCATCTTAAACAAGGATTCAACAGTAGCTAAGCTGGTCCATGCCATTTCAATTGGCCTTAGTAATTAGATGTGATCGTTAAAATAGGATGGATAAAATGGAGGAGTGGTACAAGCGTGCTATGTGATAGGAAGATATCTGACAAAGTGAAAGGAAAGTTCTATATACCGGTGGTGAGACCCGTGATGTTATATGGGAGTAAATGTTTGCTCCGAATGTCCAACATATTAATAAGATAGATGTTGCAGAAATGCGGATGTTAAGATGTGTGTGTGTGTGTGTAGTCACACAAAAGCGGACAAGATTAGAAATAACAACATACTACAAAAAGTGGAAGTAGTACAAGTTTGGGATAAAGTTAGAGAAGGACGTTTGAAATGGTTTGTCATGTCCTATGTAAACCTGATGTTCTTCGTTTTGTAAGTGCCATAAATCGAGGTGGAGGGTGCTAAAAGGGGAAGAGGTAGATCTAGAATCATATGTAGGGAAGTCGTCTCCAAAGATCTGCTACTCTTGACATTAGTGCGAACTTAGTTATGAACAAAGCGAAATGGAAACAAAGGATTATAGCCGGTCCCAACTAGTTTGGGATTAATGGTTGTTATTATTGTAATTAGATGAGTTATTATTATGTTTTTGTTATTTATTTGCAGACTGTTCGTTTTAAAAATGAGTTGGAACGCAACATTACAATTAAGCTTGGATATGCAAATGCAAAGATATACAAGTGTGAAGATGAACGGTGCGCACGGCCTACGTGCTACAAGTGAGTTGGCATATAGGTGAAGCTTACGGATCAGTTAACCATTCACGTTTTAATCTGAGAAATGCTTGTGCAGGGCATATGGAAGTGGCAAGGAAGATAGTCCCATGTGTGACGTACCTGGATTTGAAAATTGTAGAATGAAGTTGCTGAGACACGTCTCTTTTGTTGATTGCCCGGTATGATGAACCTATAACTTTTAAGTTTTTTGCTGGTGCTGATAGATCAGTACCTATGGTATTTCTTCTTGTCCTTTCTTGGTTTTTGGCATGAATTCTTCTTTTCACAGTTATTTACCCTCTAATTAATTTGTTTTGCTGCTAGATTTGTTATACTTCCTATCTTTTCAGATTTTGCTAATTGAAGGGAAAACCTGGCTGTTGTTACTGCTGTCTTGTGCATCTAGATCTGTTTACCCATTTAAGTTGCATGTACTGTCTGTCTTCTTATAGGGTCACGATATTCTCATGGCTACGATGCTTAATGGAGCAGCAATTATGGACGGTGCATTACTTCTCATAGCTGCAAATGAAAGCTGCCCCCAACCACAGACTTCTGAGCATCTTGCTGCTGTTGAAATTATGCGTCTCCAGCATATCATAATTCTTCAGAATAAAGTTGATTTAATTCAAGAAAATGTAGCCATCAACCAACATGAGGCTATTCAGAAATTTATTCAGGTTTAGTATTCCTCCCTCTTCTTTTGTTCCATAATTATCTCATTATTGATAATAACTATTTAATATAGAATCTGCAGTAAACTTTTCCTTCCACCACCTCCGAATTGCAGATATATGATTAACTTAATTCAAATGGAATCAAACTATGATGATTCTAATTGCAATTTCAAGGTTAAATGAAAAAACTCAATTGGCGTTAGGTAAAATCCAACAGTGTCAATTATCCAGTGATTAGCATCTATTTTTTATTTGGAACATGACCGTCTTTTTGGTTTTTTGTTATTGAATCGCTCAAATCATTGATATGTGGAAACTTTGAGCTTGCTGCTAAATCAGTCTCTATTTGCAACCCATATTTTATAGAACAATTGAAAGAAATAGAAGGTAAAGTATGTATCATAAACAGTGGTATTTAATTCATATAAAAAATCAAAACAGAAAGATACGAACCATGTTCATTTGTTACTTTAAGTGTATGATATGAGATGGAGTGTATTGCATTATCATATAGCATGGATTATTCATTCATTTAAGTTTTTCTTTCCAGGGAACTGTTGCTGATGGTGCCCCAGTGGTACCGATTTCTGCACAGCTTAAATATAATATAGATGTCGTGTGTGAATACATTGTGAAAAAGATTCCCATTCCAGAGAGGAACTTCATCTCTCCTCCTAATATGATTGTAATTCGCTCTTTTGATGTCAATAAGCCTGGATTTGAGGTTGATGAGATAAAAGGTGGTGTGGCTGGTGGAAGCATCCTAAGGGTATGTTTTAGACAATGTTGCTTGATATTTATTGTTTTCGTCTTCTTCTTCCTCTTCATTTATATCTTTGTTATTTGTTAATTTCTTTTCAAATTGCATATTGTTTGTAGTTGGGTTTATTTGTTTATGGAAGTGGCAAAATGTGTTCATCGCATGATTTTGTATCTCAATTGCTTCCTCATTGGGCAAGTTTATAGAGGCATTTTAGCAAATCTGCGCGAGCATGTGCATGTGTTTTTGTATTATATTTCATTTATTTACTTTGAGGTGTGGTTTGGGGTTTGGATGTGCTGGTGAAGTTTAGGTGGTATTTCTTTTAGCTTGGTTCTTGGTGCTGAAACTCTCCTCTTTAAAGCCGATTTCTGAGGTCACCCTTTTTTTTTTTTGATAGCTTAACATATTGATGACAGAGTGATAAAATATGGCCTCCACTTTCTTTAGAAGGGGCTCCTTAAGATTGGTAAATGGAGGAATGTTGTAGATTTGTTGATGTATGAGTCCATGTTAAAGTTGGGCAGCAAATTATTATGATGGGTGTTAATGAAAAGAGGTGTTCATGGTATGTTTGAATCTAGTGATTTTAGGCGATGGTTCCGAAATTGTTTTAGTTTAAATTGTTCATATAAGAGTTAACCCATTCTCTAGTTAAACTCATTAATAAAGATTAGATTCATAAAATATAGGGCAGCCCAGTGCATGAAGCACCTGCTATGCTTGGGGTTTGGGGAAGGGTTGGACCATTTTGGGTCTATTGTATGCAGCCTTACCCTGTAGTTTACAAGAGGCTGCTTCCACGACTTGAACCCGTGGCGTCCAGGTCACACGTCGACAGCTCTACCATTGCGCCAAGGATCTCCTTTATTAGATTCATAAAAATGCTGCTGATAATTCATTTAAAGTTGACTTCAAATCATTTTTTTATCTTTTATTATAAGGGTTTGAGTCCGCATTCAAATGCTATTTTCCATATTCATAATCTAACATAGATTTGTAAATCTAATCAATTAAAGTAAACCTTTGTATTATCAAATTCAAATTGTTCATGTGAGAGCTAACCCGTTCTTTAGTTAAATTCATTAATAAAGATTAGATTCATAAAAATGCTGCCTATAATTTGTTTGAAGTGGACTTCAAATCACTTTTTTTTTAAAAATTTTTTAATTATTATAGAAGTTTGAACATACATTCAAATGCGGTTTTCCATATTCATAATCTAACTTAGATTCGTGAATCTGATCAATTGAAGAAAACCCTTCCTATTATCAAATCCAAATATTACAAGTTCATATATCTCCACCTAAATGCAAGGTCTGTTTTATTTGTATCATCTTTTATCATCTGTTAATAGGTTTTGCCTTGCAAGAGGCAAACTCTTCATTATTCTTATTGGTTTGTAGGTGATTTCCTTTTTTTTCCTCTTTTGGCCTATGATCATTAGAAAGAATTATACTTGAGTGTTAGCAAAGTATTTGTTTAATATAATTAAAAGTTTAAATGTTAAAATTTACGGAAAGAGAAATAATAAGTCCATTTGAGTCAAACCTGAAAAGTTCAAATTTGGGTCAGCTCATTAAGTCATAGTTAGCCTAAGATGGCACTTAAATTTCTCATGAGTATGGGTCTATAATGAATTTGGCAGTACAGGTTGAGTTTGTGGGTCAAGTGAAAAAAAAGCCACCTCATTTTGGGCACTATCGTGTGCGTGAAAGTGTTCTTTAGCCTTTTGAGGCATTTCAAATCACATATCCTTCTCATTCAAAGGGGAAAAAGAAAATCATCCTTCTGTTTTTTCATCTGTCCTTAGCCTTTTGAGGCATTTCTATAGAAGTTCAATGCTTTTTTAATTTGAGGAAAAATGATTTTCATGGGCCTTGCGAACCTTTGATTGAAACTCTTTAAACTCTCAGTTTTACGGTAGCAATATAATTTTTTTTTTCCATCAACAGTATAGTGGAATATTACTGTTTTAGTTTTTATTATTCGAGGAAAAGTGACCTACTAGAAGATCAATGCTTTGAGTATTACTGTAAGTAATTTAAGTTAGACTAGCCAATCCATAGTTGCATTGCTGTCCATTGTAACTTCTATAGTTTTCTTGGCTTCTTTCTCTAATGTTCTTGAACTAGGGATCAGTATAAACTGGATCACATACTCGGTTGTATTTCTATCATTCAAGTTTGTCAAGCTCTCAACAAGGGTCTTCTTATTTCTAGCTACTGCAGTAGTGCAAATACTTGCCACTTCAACTTCCTTGATGGTCTCTTCAGTTTGCCCAATTACCATTACTTGGTTTGAAAAAAACAGCAGGTGAAGACTTTGTTCTTGATTCTTTTGGATAGTAGAATGTCTCATAGCTCATCTTTTGGTTTATGTGCTAAATGAGCTGGTTAAGGTGTTTATAGAAGGTGATGCTGTCCTTCTTATTTGCTAACTAGTGACTTGTTTAGGGATGTCATTGAGTTTCAGAACAATCTGCAGTGGTAAATTTCCTTCTCCAAGAGTAAGCCTTTTTCTATATTCTCCTTGATTTGAGTTGCTGTTGGAATAGAGGATGGGAGCTAATTAAATTGAGAAACCATGTCTGATACTGCAACTCATGTAAGCCTGGAAACAAACAGAAGATAGATAAATGAATGGATTTTAAGATCTGAACAAGTGTGGAAGCGTCCTCCAATGAACAGACTGAAATTATCTAATGCTGAGAAAACTTTGGAGTAACTGGAGACAAATATACATAGAATTGGTTTGTTGCATTTCAAAAGCATACAACATATCATGGTTTCGTGATCTAGTTATGGACCTGTTTAGTTGAATATGAAAGAAATCATTAACAGTCAGATTATATTTAATCCCCTACTACCTATTTACAATTAATGAAAGTAAGAGGTCATTGGAGAGAATTCTATAATCTTTGAGATTAGGTCTCAATTCTTGAATAAAAATTCTTCAGATACAGGAAAGTGAAAGTAAAAAAAAAAAAAAAAAAAAAAGACTTCTGATAGATTCTTGAGTTTCCTTATGGACTGCATTTAGTGGCTTCTTATATATAGTGTTTGACAAATGTAAATCACAAAATGTTTATGATCAATGCAAGATCAAATCTTCCAAATATGCTATTTTAGGATGTTTCTGATCAATGGAAGCTCAAGCTTCCAAGTGTGCTATTTTAGGAAGCCTGTGATCTAGCCTTGCCAGCCCGTGATGTGCACCATGCTATCTTCTCCGAGGGTGACTCAAACCCTGCTGTATGTCATTGATTCTGTGTGCTTATATTAAAATTCTGTCATATGCAGGGTGTTTTGAAGGTCAATCAATTTATTGAAGTTCGTCCTGGGATCGTTGTTAAAGATGAGACTGGGAATATCAAGTGCACGCCAATATACACGAGAATAGTTTCGCTGTATGCTGAACAAAATGAACTACAGTTTGCTGTGCCAGGAGGTCTCATTGGTGTTGGCACAACCATGGACCCTACTTTGACTCGGGCTGATCGGTTGGTGGGGCAGGTTCTTGGAGATGTTGGGTCACTCCCTGAAGTTTTTGTTGAGCTTGAGGTAAGATGCTGAACTAGCAACAATTTTTTTATTGTATCTGATATTTATGCTTCTGTTATAAGTTTGCCGAGCAAATAATTTGGTGCAGGGTCTCTTACTATGGGCATGCATGCATATAGATGCATTGGTGGATGGATGTACAAGAATGTACACATTAATACATGTCTCATTCTTATGTTGAATTTATTTTTAAGGTTGGGAAGGGAAGAAATTTATGTTGTTATTTGTGATGTATTACAATACTGGTCTTCCCATGTATCCATTGGAACATTTTTAAGTGAATTTGACGCTACTCGTTATAATTTGTCTTGTCTGTTTGTATAGTCTTACCTTTTCCACACTTTATTTTGTTTCTGTTCAAGTATTACTTCCTGTTTTGTTACATTTCTCCACTTCTATGCGAGACTCTTGATAAATTTGAAGTCAGTCTGATACCTTCCTGTGTATCACTGGTGCTGATATCATGCTCTTTATTATGCAGGTGAATTTCTTTCTTCTTCGGCGACTTATTGGTGTTAGGACAAAGGGCTCAGAGAAGCAAGGCAAGGTCTCGAAGCTAGCAAAGGGAGAGATTCTTATGCTGAACATAGGGTCCATGTCAACTGGTGCTCGTGTTATTGCTGTGAAAAATGATTTGGCAAAGCTGCAGTTGACTTCTCCTGTGTGCACGAGTAAGGGAGAGAAGATTGCACTCAGCCGACGAGTTGAGAAGCATTGGCGTCTTATTGGGTGGGGCATGATTCAAGCTGGAACAACCCTCGATGTCCCACCATGCCCCTTATAAGTGATCTCATGCGTGTGTTGGTGGGAGAGAGAGCATAGAAGAGAATTAAGATAAAGAATTGAGTGGAACATTTGTGCGGTGAAGAACTATACCTTTTACTGATGCTTGTTATTGTTCGGCACTGTTTCATTTTTCGTTTTTAACCCGAGTTTTCAAGACGAGTCACTTTAACTGATCAGTGATTATTGCAGCGGTATACTAGTTAAAAAATCCAGATGGAATCACTATAAGAAGTTTTATTTGTTTGTTTATTTATTCATAATATTTGGGTTAACTTACCAAACATCCCTTTACTGAATTCAATAATTTCTGAAATTTACATACTCCAAGAAACATTCCTTCCATTCTCTATTTGGAAAATTATTATCTAGTTCCTACTCTGTTCATATTTTCAAAACTTTTATTTAGCCTAATTTATTTTAACTTGAAAAATGAAAAAGCTGATTGTTTAATTCTTGTCGCGGTGAAATATCTATTTCTATGTAATTTCGAATTCTATATCATTGAAATTCTCATATAATCTGCATTATTTGTCAAATAGTTTTAAAAAGGTATTATTTTGCAAACATAAATATTGATTCCAAATTGCTAAATTCTGTTGGGGTGGCACAAATTTTCGGAACGAATTTATATAAGAGTTTGTAGTTCTAAATGAGTCATCAAGATGCCGATATAATCATGATCTGCAGCCAAAAGATCCAAAATTCCATGCGGAATATCCTACCCGAGCTGCTCACGTTTGATTACTGGGCTTCTTAGAGTAAAGGATATGCCTTTGATTTTTTGCGCCTGAAGGCTTCGGCTGTAGACTGAGTTCAATATTGATGCATCCTATAGCTCAATAGAACAAATAGAAGACCCTATATGAGTTGTCCGTCAGATGTGCAAACGATATCGGCTACGGGGAACCTTGGTTACAAAGCCTTTTAGAGCAAAAGGGCACAACTTCGAAATTTTTGCTCGGAAGTTCCAACATGGACTAACCCGAGCCCGATATCAATACCTCATACTGGTAAATTAACCAAATTTTATTGTCTCAAAATGTCAGGCCAAACAATAGAAGAAAGATGTTTGGTAGAAACTATCCAATGCTTTCCGAGTAGCATGAATTTTGGGATGAATTTATATTGCGCATGCAATTCTGCATGAGAGATCGGGTAGGCGAGATAAGCATGTTCGGATGATCATAAGATCCCATACTACTGCCTAGAAGATCCTGCATGTGCTGTCCGTTAGACGTATAGAAGATATTGACTCCTGAGTAGGCTTTTATACAGAGCTTCTTAGACCAAATGTGTATACCTTTAGATTTTTGGGAGGCGACAGCTTCAGGACAAAATGAACCGAAAATGATTTTTATGCTTCCTACAAGTCAATAGACAAAATATTATGATATTGAAATTGTGTGCCAAGTAATAGATAGGGAGATATTAGGAAAAAACTATCGAATGCTTCCGGAGTGGCACTAATTTTGCGCATGAATATATATCGTGTAGCAATTCTTTATGATGCATTGAGCAGGTGAGATAAGCATCCCAGGAAAACCATGAGAGCCCCAAACTATCGCCTATAAGATCCTATACGAGCTATCCATTGGACCTACAGAAAATATCGGCCCTGGAACAGGCCTTCATAGATGACTTCTTGGACCAAAGGGACCTTTGGATTTTTAGGCCCAGAAGCTCCAACACAGAATGACCTGAAAATGATTTTAATGCTTCCTACAGGTCTTAGACAAAACATTATTGCATCGAAATGACATTCCAAGCAACAGCCAGAGAGATATTGGGCAAAAACTGTCGAATGCTTCCAGAGTGACACCAATTTTGCGCATGAATTTATATGGCATATGAAATTCTTAATGACACATTAAGCAGTTAAGATAGGCATATTGGGGTGACCATGAGACCCCAAACTATTGCCTAGAAGACCCTATATGAGCTCCTTGTCAAGTGTACAAACTATATCGACTCCAAAATAGGCCTTCATACAGGACTTCTTAGATCAAAGGGGTAATACCTTTGGATTTTTGGGCCGGAAGCTCGGGTGTGGAATGACCCGAAGATGATTTCAATTCTTCTTACAGGTCTTAGACAAAATATTATGGCCTTGAAATGGCGTGCCAAGAAAACGACAGAGAGATATTAGGCAAAAACTGCCGAATGCTTCCTAAGTGGTACCGATTTTGCACATGAATTTTTTTGGCGTATGCAATTCTTAACGACGTATCAAGCAGGCGAGATAGGCATGCCGGGCTGACCTTGAGACCCCAAACTAACACCTACAAGACCCTATATGAGCTGTCCGTCAAGCGTATAGACGATATTGGCTCCGGAACAGACCTTCAGACAGGGCTTCTTAGACCAAAGGGTATACCTCTGGATTTTTGGGCCCAGAAGCTCCGGCACGGAATGACCCAAAATTGATTTCAATGCTTTCTAGAGGTCTGAGACAAAATATTATGGCCTCAAAAGTGTATGCAAAGCAACAGACAGAGAGATATTGGGCAACAATTGGCGAATGCATCAAAAGTGGAACCAATTTTGCGCATGAATTTATATGGCGTACGTAATTCTTAATGATGCATCGAGCTAGCGAGATAGGCATCCTAATGCTTCCTACATGTCTTAGATGAAATATTATGGCCTCCAAATGATGTGGCAAGAAACAGAAAGAGAGATATTGGGTGAAAACTGCCAAATGCCTGCGGAGTGGCACTGATTTTGTGCATTAATTTATATGGCATATGCAATTCTTAATGACGCAACGAGCAGTCAAGATAGGCATACTGATTTGACAACAAGAACCTAGAATATTTCCTAGAAGACCCTATACAAGCTGCCCATCAGGTGTATAGAATATATCCACTCCGAAACAGGCCTTCACATAAGGCTTCTAAGACTAAAAGGGTATACCATGGATTTTGGGGCCCAGAAGTAAGGGCTCAGAATGTCCTGAAAATTATTACAGTACTTTTGATATGTCTTAGACAAAATATTACGGCCTCAAAATGCAATGGCAAGCAACAAATAGAGAGATATTAGGCAAAAATTGCCAAATGCTTCCGGAGTGGCACCGATTTTGCGCATTAAATTATATGGCATATGCAATTCTTAATGACACAACGAGCAGCCGAGATAGGCATACCGATTGGACCATGTAACTCTAAACTATGGCATAGAAGAGCCTATATGAGCTGCCCTTCAGGCGTACATAAGATATCGACTTCGGAACAGGCCTTCACACAGGACTTCTCAAACCAAAGGGGTATACCTTGGATTTTGGGGCCCAAAAGCATTGCTCGCAATGGATCGAAAATGATTACAATGCTTCCTACATGTCTTAGACAAAATATTATAGCCTTGAAATGGGATGGCAAGCAACAGAAAGAGAGATATTGGGCGAAAAACGATTTTGCGCATTAATTTATATGGCATATGCAATTCCCAATGATGCAACAAGCAACCGAGATAGGCATACCAATTGGACCACAAGACCCTAAACTATTGCCTAGAATAGCCTATACAAGCTGCCCATTGGGCGTACAGAAGATATCGGCTTCAGAAGTTGCCTTCAAACAGGGCTCTCAGATCAAAGGGTTATACCTTAGATTTTGGGGCCCAGAAGCACCGGCTCGGAATGGCCCAAAAATGATTACAATGCTTCCTACATGTTTTAGACGAAATATTTTGGCCTCAAAATGGCAGGGCAAGCAACAGACAGAGAGATATTGGGCGATTGGGCGAAAACTTCCAAATGCTTATGGAGTGGCACCCATTTTGCGTATTAATTTATATGGCGTATGCATTTCTTAATGACGCAACGAGCAGTTGAGATAGGCATACCGATTGGAACACCAGACCCTAAACTATCTCCTAGAAGAGCCTACAGGAGTTGCCCATCAGGTGTAAAGAAGATATCGGCTCCAGAACAGGCCTTCACACAAGGCTTTCTGAACCAAAGGGGTACACCTTTGGATTTTAGGGCCCAGAAGCACTGGCTCAGAATGGCCCAAAAATTGATTACAATGCTTCCTTCATGTCTTAGATGAAATATGATGGCCTGAAAATAGCGTTGCAAGCAACAAATAGAGAGATATTGGGCATAAATTGCCAAATGCTTCTGGAGTGGCACCGGGAGTGGCCGATTTTGCGCATTAATTTATACGGGCGTATCATTCTTATGACGCAACGAAGCAGCCAAGATAGGCATACCGATTGGGACCATAAAACCTAAAATTATCACCTAAAAGAGGTTATACTAGCTGCCCCTAAGGCGTACAAAAGATATCGAACTTGGAAATAGGCCTTCAACAGGATTTCTTAGACCCAAAAGGTAACTTGGATTTTAAGGGCCCAGGTACGCTCGGAATGACCCGAAATGATACAATGCTTCTTATTATCTTAGATGAAATTATTTTGGCCTCAAATAGTGTGGCGAGCAACAGACAGAGAAGATATTGGGCATAAACTGCTAAATGCTTCCGAAGTGGTACCGATTTGCGCATTTAATTTAGGCGTAATGCAATTCTTAATGACCCATACGAGAAACCGGAGTAAGCATACGTAGTTGGACCACAAGAATTAAACTTATCGGCTAGAAGAGCCTATATGAGCCTGTGCATAGACATACAGAGGATAATGGGCTTCTACAAACAAGCCTTCACACAAGGCTTCTAAGACCAAGGGTATACCTGATTTTGGGGCCCGGAAGCACCAGCTCGGAATGGCCTGAAAATGATTACAATGCTTCCTACATGCCTTAGAGGAAATATTATGGCCTCGAAATAGTGTAGTAAGCAACAGACAGAGAGATATTAGGCTAAAACGGCCAAATGCTTCCAGAGTGGCACCGATTTTGCGAGTTAATTTATATGGCGTATGCAATACTTAATGATGCAATGAGCAGTCGAGATAGGCATACCGATTTGACCACAAGACCTTAAACTATAGGCTAGAAGAGCCTATACGAGCTGCACGTAAGAGATACAAAAGATATAGGCTCTGGAACAGGCCTTCAAATAGGGCTCGTAAGACCAAAGGGGTATACCTATGATTTTGGGGCCGGCAAGCACCGGCTCAGAATGGCCCAAAAATGATTACAATGCTTCCTACATGTCTTACGGAAATATTATGGCCTTGAAATGGCGTGGTAAGGGTCAAACAGAGAGCTATTAGGCTAAAACTGCCAAATGCTTCCGAAGTGGCCTTGATTTTGCGCAGTAATTTATATGGCGTATGCAATTCTTAAAACTGCCAAATGCTTTCGGAGTGGCACCGATTTTGCGCATTAGTTTAT